TTTCATTTAGCCTCTTACCCTAGATTTTCTACCCTCCTCAACCGGGAAACCCAAAATCAGGGCCTAATTTGTTTTACTTAGTTCTCATTCCTGTTTGTTCTGCTTTCATATAACAGGCATGGTTAGGTCCAGTTGGAATCTTCATAATTCGGAATAAATTCGGAAAAATTAACCTTTTGAAGTAATTTTGAACTTTTTTAGGAAACCGAAAATCCCTTTGACCCTTCTGAAGCTAGTATTGCCATTTTTCTTCCAACTCAGGAAGTGAGTCGGAAATTATTCTGGTCCCTGGCCTCGGCTCAAGCCAAAAAAGCCAGATTTAAACCGGGGAAGGCTGAATTTCCTCCCTTTGCTTTCCTCGCTTCTGCCTCAAGCCAGAGAAGCCAGTTTTAAACCAGAGAAGGCTGAATTTCCTCCCTTTGCTTTCCTCGCTTCTGCCTCAAGCCAGAGAAGCCAGTTTTAAACCAGGGAAGGCTGAATTTCCTCCCTTTGCTTTCCTCGCTTCTGCCTCAAGCCAGAGAAGCCAGTTTTAAACCAGAGAAGGAAGGAATTTCCTCCGCTTGCTTTTCCCACTTTTGGAGTAAAACAACTACTTTCAAAGTAAAGACCACCCAATGAAACAGGAAATAACACTTTCAAACCATTAAGGAAGGATTCGGAAGTCTCAGAAGTTTCAAAAAGTTTTGAATATTTCTTTTCTGTGAAAATCAGAATTGACTTTAGAATTGAACCACCATCGAACTCTTCATCCGAAACGAGTTTTGCCTAATAACAGTCACACTGTGTAGTTATGGCAAGGTTGGTGCTACTGTGCTCAGACTGTTTTAAAATGTTACCCACATAAAAGAGTTATAGCTTCCAGTTATCTTGGCAACCAGGAAGCATTCATGTCACAATCTTTTCACCAACAGCTTCCTTTAAAAAGGGATCATTTAAAACAATAATAAAGCAGAAAGTTTGAATGAGAAGGGCTGCTGCCTCACCACTGGATGGGCGATTGGTGCCAAAACAGCTTGTTGCCTATACAACATCGTGAATGTCCTAGGCTAGCCATTTAATACTTCCTGCCTTGTTTTAATTCCGGTTGGAAGCTGTGTAAATTGTATCCTTAAATGGGATCTGAAGATATTATTACTGATTTTGTTTAGATGCACATTTATTTGCTTAACTTTTATTTGTACCTAAACATATAAGAATACAAAAAAGATCAAGTTTTTCTTTTTTGAAGTCTTGAAGTGACATCTAGTGAAGGTTCACTTACATTTACTGTTTTTAGACAAAGGCAATTTGAGGTATAAACAAATTGTAAAAGAGAAACTTGTGAACACTGATGGTCAACTGTACATACATATACAAGCATACATATATTTTATACATACGTGCATAGATACACATGAACTCAAAAAAGCAATTCTAGTAGTCTACCACAGTCCAGAGCCCCCAGTGGCACAATGGGTTTGTTGGAGCTCAGCCTGTGATTGTGTTTCACAGTATTTGTGAGTACACAGTATTTTTTGTTGTTTCTTTGTCAGTGTTGATGTAGAGATTGTCTGGTTTGCCTATTCTGGAACATGCAACATATAATTGTCCTTTGAAGGTCCCTTTCAAATCTATGATATTATACCTGTCATATAAATGTTTGTGTGTGTGTGTGTATCATATATATCTATCTATATCTATGGCTGGATGGCTCTTTGTCAGGAGGGCTTTGATTATGTTTTCTTGCCCTGGTGAATGGAGTTGGACTGGATAGCCTTAACGCAGCATTTCTGTACCTGGAGGGGACCCCTGGGGAGTTCGCGAGGGGGTGTCAGAGGGGTCACTAAAGACCATCAGAAAACACAGTATTTTCTGTTGGTCATGGGTTCTGTGTGGGAAGTTTGGCCCAATTCTGTCGTTGGTGGGATTCAGAATGCTCTTTGATTGTAGGTGAACTATAAATCCCAGTAACTACAAATCCCAAATGTCAAGGTCTATTTCCCCCAAACTCCATCTGTGTTCATATTTGGGCATATGGAATATTCGTGCCAAGTTTGGTCCAGATCCATCATTGTTTGAGTCCACAGTGCTCTCTGGATGTAGGTGAACTACAACTCCCAAACTCAATGTCAATGCCCACCAAACCCTTCCAGTATTTTCTGTTGATGGGAGTTCTGTGTGCCAAGTTTGGTTCAATTATATCATTGGTGGAGTTCAGAATGCTCTTTGATTATAAGTAAACTATAAATCCCAGAAACTAAAACTCTCAAATGACAAAATCAGGGGTTTTTTTTTGAGTGATGGTCACTCCTTGGGTTAGTAGGTGTCTTGTGGCCAAATTTGGCGGCAATTGCTTCAGTGGTTTTTGAGTTATGTTAATCTCAAAACGCATAGAGCATTTATATATATATAGACGAGACAAAGGAAAGTAGCAATTTGGACCCAAGTAATCATGGGCTGACATACAACACTATCTTGCCCCTGCAAATGATTCTCAAACAGTGCTGAATCAGACATTGTTGCAAAAAAACAAAAAACAAAAAAGTAATTCCCATTCAGTTATTCTTTATTATTTGCTTTTTTCCCAATGTGGGACTCAAGGGGTTTGAAAACAAGGAATGCGTGCAAACTGCCCATACGCATACTGACACCAATGAGGGTTCAGTGTGAGAAAGTACATGATTCCAAAGGATAATATACTGAGTATTCATGTAGAAGCATGGGGAGGGGCCCCAGTAGCACTTAGACAGTAGAGGGTAAAGAGCACATAAATTCTGTATTGGTTGAGGAGAGAAGAATTAGTGTAGTGAGTATTTTGAAGTACTTGATCTCACTCCCTGCTGGTTGCGGAAATATGCATTAGCACAACCTTTAAACAGCTCGGATTTAGCCTGAGAGCACTTAATAAATTTGTTCTCTTTATAAGAAGAGAGATTATCCCAAGGAGAAACGAAAGTATTCAAATCTACCACGTAGCGCAGAACACCCTTAAACCTCACTGAAAAACTCTCTTTGGAACGTAGATTAGTTTGAAGTATTAATTGTTGTTGAACCCAAAGCTTGCACGCTCAGAACTACAATAACTATGATTCCCAGCCAGGATAAGTAAAGCCATGAGGAAAGGCAGGTAAGTAAGTAAGTAATAATAATAGGATTGAAGAGAAACAACTGGAAAAGCTGACACGATATGAGGATTTAAAGATTGAACTGCAAAGACTCTGGCACAAACCAGTCAAGGTGGTCCCAGTGGTGATCGGCACACTGGGTGCAGTGCCTAAAGACCTTGGCCTGCACTTAAACACAATCAGCGCTGACAAAATTACCATCTGCCAGCTGCAAAAGGCCACCTTACTGGGATCTGCATGCATTATTCGCTGATACATCACACAGTCCTAGACACTTGGGAAGTGTCTGACGTGTGATCCAATACAACAGGCAGCAGAGTGATCTTGTTTGCTGTGGACTCATCTTGTTGTGTTTCAAATAATAATAATAATAATAATAATAATAATAATAATAATAATAATAATAAACACAACAAGATGAGTCCACAGCAAACAAAATCACTCTGCTGGCTTTTGTATTCGATCACATGTAAGACACTTCCCAAGTGTTTAGGACTATGTGATGTATGAGAGAATAACACGTGTAGATCCCAGTAAGGTGGCCTTTTCCAATTTGCAGATGGTAATTTTGTCAGCGCTGATTGTGTAAGTGTAGGCCAAGGTCTTTAGGCACTGTACCCAGTGTGCCGATTACCACTAGGACCACCTTGACTGGCTTGTGCCAGAGTCTTTGCAGTTCAATCTTTAAATCCTCATATCGTGTCAGCTTTTCCAGTTGTTTCTCTTCAATCCTGCTGTCACCTGGGATTGCAACATCGACAATCCACACTTTGTTTTTTAGCACGATCGTGAGGTCAGTATTATGCTCAAAAAACTCTGTCTGGATTCGGAAGTCCCAGAGTAGCTTGGCATGTTCATTCTTTGTAACTTTTTCTGGCTTGTGATCCCACCAGTTCTTTGTCGCAGGCAGATGGTGTTTGTGGCAGAAGTTCCAATGAATCATCTGAGCAACTGTGTTATGCCTCTGCTTGTAGTCTGTCTGCGCGATCTTCTTGCAGCAGCTGAGGATGTGATCTATGATTTCATCTGCTTCCTTGCAGAGTCTACATTTGGGATCTGTCCTCAACTTTTCAATTCTGGCTTTGATGGCATTGGTTCTAATGGCTTGTTCTTGGGCTGCCAGAATCAGGCCCTTCGTCTCCTTTTTCAAAGTTCCATTTGTGAGCCACAGCCATGTTTTTTCTTTGTCAATTTGGCTGTCAATTTTTCCCAGGAACTGTCCATGGAGAGCCTTCTTTCGCCAGTTTTCTCTTCTGCTCTGGATTGTGTTTTTACGGTATTCACTCTTTGTGTTTTGCACTTGAAGCAGTTTACTATTATTGACTTTCCCCAATGTTGGTATTATTATTATTATTATTATTATTATTATTATTATTATTACCATCATTATGGCAACCTAAGAGGTGTAGCCTGTAATAGAAACCTGCAGGGGATGGATCGCACTCTGTGAGATCAGCTAATTGTATAAGGAATCAATATGGCACATATTGAAGGAGAGTGAAGAACCTGTGCTCTTCCAGATGCTGTCTTACTCCAACATCTATCCCTCCCAGCCACAATAAGTAAAAGTCAATGGCAGTTCTTGTGAAAATTCCTTAGGCCCTCAACCTGCATAGGCATTGACCTGTAGTCCAAAAAAAAGTGTGGTATAATACAGTATAATACAAATTCTTGTCCAACAACATCTAGAGGAACAAAAGTTTCACATACCTGTTTCCAAGCCTATCTCAAGTTTTAGAAACTTGGTTTAAAAATAAACCTAAAACCAAAACTCTTGAGCTATAGGGTTAAGTGCCTAACGCCTATTATACAGTTACATTGCAGAATCAGAGGATATATTCAGCCTTGAATGTTATTGCCTATGGAAAGAACAGATTCAAAAGAGATACAGCAATATCTTTTCTCACATATACATGTATATTTTCTCCTTATTGACAACACAAACACCAATAATATCTATACAGAATTTTATGAAATCATGACAAAAGAAAGCACATTGTTCACAATGCCCATATAAAAGTATAAAGAGTTCCCCATGTACATCCAACTTTTCATTTTAGAGTACTATAAGCTGAAACTCAACCGCTGAAAATTAAATTGCACATTTGATTCTCCATAGGAAAAACAAAAATAAGATGCACACACACACATGCATTAGTGTGCCTTTTTTGTTCGGAGCCTCCTCTTTATGATTTCATGATCACTTTCCTTTTGATCCATAACAATCTGAAAAAGAAAGAAAAGGTGTTCCTTCTTTTAAACTGTATTTTTATCTCCTTTTAATACATACAGAATAGAAAAAGACACAAAACACACTTTAAAAACAGACTAAATGGCTTTAAAAAAAATAAGTGAACCTGAAATAATCAGAAAAATTACCTCACAAACATGTTCTGGTAAGTTCCAGGACATTCGTGTTATTGTGTTTTATCCCCCAGATCTCAATACCATATTTCATTTGAGCAACTATTTTCCCTAAAAATATTTTCACTGTTGGAATTACCAGCATACTGCTTCTAGAGTAGAAAAAAATCAATGCAATGTAAGCTGACATCTGGGCTTTTAATTTAATGTATTGTAACTGGATTTTTGGTTACTTCTGGATGATTTTTCAACCTGGGGATCACAATCAGATACAGTGAAGACATCTGCCCTTGTGCTTTGCTACTCTGCTGCTGAGTTCGCCTGCCAGTGTGACATGCATCTCACCAGGCTAAAACAGTGGATGTGGCTCTTAATGAGACATGCCGCATTGTCACAGGATGTTTGTACCCTACACCACTGGAGAAATTACACTGTTTAGCTGGTATTGCACCACCTGACATCCACTGAGAAGTAGCAGCCTGTAATGAAAGGACCAAGGCAGTGACACCTCCAGCCCATCCCCTGTTCAGATATCAGCCAGCACAACAATGCCTTAAATCAAGAAATAGCTTCAAAGATCTACAGAAATACTTGCAGGAACACCTCAGCAAATGAGAGTCCAAAAATGGCAGGCTAAAACTCGGAACCTCAATCCATGGCTGATATTAAATGAGAGACTCCCCCCCGGGCACACAGAAAACTGGGCGACTTGGAAGACTGAACAGACTGCGCTCTGACACCACGAGATGCAGAGCCAACCTTAAGAAATGGGGCTACAAAGTGGAGTCCACGACATGCGAGTGTGGAGAAGAGCAAACCACAGACCACCTTTTACAATTGCAGCCTGAGCCCTGACACATGCACAATGGAGAACCTTCTTTAGAGCAACACCAGAGGCACTCCAAGTGGCCAGCTACTAGTCAAAGGACATTTAGTATAATGCCAAGTTTTTTTAAAATAAAACAAATGGTAAGAGAAAAATAATAGAATCATAGAATCAAAGAGTTGGAAGAGACCTCATGGGCCATCCAGTCCAACCCCCTGCCAAGAAGCAGGAATATGGCATTCAAATCACCCCTGACAGATGGCCATCCAGCCTCTGTTTAAAAGCTTCCAAAGAAGGAGCCTCCACCACACTCCGGGGCAGAGAGTTCCACTGCTGAACGGCTCTCACAGTCAGGAAGTTCTTCCTCATGTTCAGATGGAATCTCCTATCTTGTAGTTTGAAGCCATTGTTCCGCGTCCTAGTCTCCAAGGAAGCAGAAAACAAGCTTGCTCCCTCCTCCCTGTGGCTTCCTCTCACATATTTATACATGGCTATCATATCTCCTCTCAGCCTTCTCTTCTTCAGGCTAAACATGCCCAGCTCCTTAAGCCGCTCCTCATAGGGGTTGTTCTCCAGACCCTTGATCATTTTAGTCGCCCCCTCTGGACACATTCCAGCTTGTCAATATCTCTCTTGAATTGTGGTGCCCAGAATTGGACACAATATTCCAGGTGTGGTCTAACCAAAGCAGAATAGAGCATGGGGAGCATTACTTCCCCACTATGCTCCTATTATTGCAGGCCAAAATCCCATTGGCTTTTTTTGCCGCCACATCACATTGTTGGCTCATGTTTAACTTGTTGTCCACGAGGACTCCAAGATCTTTTTCACACGTACTGCTCTCGAGCCAGGCGTCCCCCATTTTGTATCTTTGCATTTCGTTTTTCTTGCCAAAGTGGAGTATCTTGCATTTGTCACTGTTGAACTTCATTTTGTTAGTTTTGGCCCATCTCTCTAATCTGTCAAGATCGTTTTGAATTCTGCTCCTGTCCTCTGGACTATTGGCTATCCCTCCCAATTTGGTGTCATCTGCAAACTTGATGATCATGCCTTCTAGCCCTTCATCTAAGTCATTAATAAAGATGTTGAACAGGACCGGGCCAGGACGGAACCCTGCGGCACTCCACTTGTCACTTCTTTCCAGGATGAAGAGGAAGCATTGGTGAGCACTCTGGGTTCGTCCATTTAACCAATTACAGATCCACCTCACCGTAGTTTTGCCTAGCCCACATTGGACTAGTTTCCTTGCCAGAAGGTCATGGGGGACCTTGTCGAAGGCCTTACTGAAATCCAGGTACGCTACATCCACGGCATTCCCCGCATCCACCCAGCTTGTAGCTCTATCGAAGAAAGAGATCAGATTAGTTTGGCATGACTTGTTTTTGATAAATCCATGTTGACTATTAGCGATGACTGCATTTGTTTCTAAGTGTTTGCCGACCGCTTCCTTAACAATCTTTTCCAGAATCTTGCCCGGTACCGACGTGAGGCTGACCGGACGGTAGTTGTTTGGGTCATCCTTTTTTCCCTTCTTGAAGATTGGGACCACATTGGCCCTCCTCCAATCTGCTGGAACTTCTCCCGTTCTCCAAGAACTCTCAAAGATGGTTGCCAATGGTTCCGAAATGACTTCCGCTAGTTCCTTCAATACTCTGGGGTGTCGTTGATCTGGCCCTGGGGACTTGAACTCATTTAGAGCGGCCAGGTATTCCTGGACGACTTCTTTCCCAATTTGGGGTTGGATGTCCTCCAATCCCTCATCCACTCCATCTTGCTGAGAAGACCGAGGCAAAGAAGGCATTAAGTAGTTCTGCCTTTTCCCTATCCCCTGTCAGCATTGCCCCATCTTCTCCTCGAAGAGGTCCTATCGCCTCCTTGTTTTTCCTTTTTCTACTGACATAAGAAAAGAATCCCTTTTTATTGTTTCTAATGTCCCTGGCAAGTCTGAGCTCGTTTTTTGCTTTAGCCTTGCGGACCTTTTCCCTACAGGTGTTGGCTATTTGTTTGAATTCTTCTTTGGTGATTTCTCCCTTTTTCCACTTCTTGTGCATGTCTCTTTTGTGTCTTAGCACAGTTAGAAGTTCTTTGGACATCCATTCTGGCTTCTTTCCACTTGTCCTATTTTTTCTCTTTGTTGGCACGGTTTGCAATTGCGCCTTGAGTATTTCACTCTTGAGAAATTTCCATCCATCCGTAACTCCCTTGTCTTTTAGTATCTGTGTCCACGGAATGCTGCTCAGCGTTTCCTTCATTTTTTGGAAATCAGCTCTCCTAAAGTCCAAAATGCGGGTTTGACTTGTCTTAGTTTCGGCCTTCCTTTGTACCTCAAATTGCAGGAGCACATGGTCACTTGCCCCTAAGGATCCTACCACTTCGACCGCATCGATCAGGTCCTCCGCATTTGTTAGGATGAGATCAAGAGTAGCCAATCCCCTTGTTGCCTCTTCTACCTTCTGGACCATGAAATTGTCTGCAAGGCAAGCGAGGAATTTGTTGGACCTTGTACTCTTGGCCGAGTTTGTTTTCCAGCAAATATCGGGATAGTTGAAATCGCCCATGACTACTACATCTCTTCTCTGTGCCTGTTTGGTCAACTGTTGGCAGAAGACTTCATCAAGTTCTTCCTCCTGGCTTGGGGGTCTGTAGTAGACGCCTACAACGACATCTTTTTGAGTCCCAGTTCCCTTGATTCTTATCCAGATGATTTCAAGCTGGTTTCCCAGATTGCTGTCTTGAATCTCTTCTGCAGCATAAGAGTTTTTGACATATAAGGCTACTCCGCCTCCTCTCCCCTTTGTTCGGTTTCTGTGAAAGAGGTTATACCCCCTCGATATCTACATTCCAGCGATAGGAGTCATCCCACCAGGTTTCATATTTGTGGTGTTGTGCTAAAAGTTGGAGTTCGTCTTGTTTATTTCCCATGCTCTGTGCATTAGTGTAAAGACATGTGAGCCCCTGAGATCTTCCCTTGAGCTGTTTAATTGGGATTATTGTGCTTTTGGTACTTGGTCCTTGTTGTGTTTGTGCAGCCCTCCGTTTAGCCTTCTGGCGATTCCCAGACATTATGGGTAAAGTAGTGTTCGCAAGGCTGTTGTCCCCCTTCCCCGTGGACCTAGTTTAAAGTGCGTCTAATGAGGTTTGCGAGTCTGTGAGCAAAAAGGTGTTTTCCTACTTGTGTGAGATGCACCCCATCCCTTGCCAGTAGGCCATCCTCCTGGAAAAGCAGGCCATGGTCGAGGAAGCCAAAGCGTTCCTCCTGACACCATTTTCTAAGCCAGTTATGACCTGTACTATTTTTCTGGCTCTTGTGGGTCCGTGTCTTACAACAGGGAGGAGGGATGAAAAGACCACCTGTACATTACATTCTTTTAACTTTGCTCCTAGAGCTCGAAAATCATTTGTGATCTTTTGAAACGTATGCCTTGCAGTATCATTGGTTCCTACATGAATCAACATGAGGGGAGGACGGTGATAGGGCTTGAGGAGCCTGGTGAGCCTCTGAGTGATAGGGTGTATTTTTGCCCCCGGTAGGCAGCATATTTCTCGAGCCATCCCATCTGGTCTGGAAATGACAGCTTCCGTTCCTCTAAGGAGGGAGTCGCCTACTACCAAGACCTGTTTACTTTCAGGAATGACAGGGCCCCTTTTGTGCAATGTAGTGTGTAGGTCTCCAGAAAAGTGATCCTGTTGGTGTGAATTGTGTAGGTGAAAAGTGTTGTCCTCCTCCTCGACATCCCCGGTGCATTCGTCAAGGACAATCCATTGAGATTCGTCCAAGAGCCTATGGTTCTCCTGTATGTGTTCCTGTTGCACCTGGTCTATGGTTGGGGATGGTACACCTGCACGATTGCGCAAGTGTGAATGTTGTGAAGTGTTGTCCCAGTCAGGGCTATCCCCTGCACACTGATCAAGGATGAGCCACTGATCAGTATCTAAGCCATTCTGGTCTTCCCCAATAAGATAAATGAAATAACTATATGCCCAAATACTTGAAGGAGGAGAGCCTGTTCTATCTATCTTATTTATTTATTTATTTATTTCTATCTATCTATTAATTTATTGTTAAATTTTACTGATGATGTTGTATAATGTATAATTTGAATGCAATATTCCTGCTTCTTGTCAGGGGGTTGGACTGGATGGTCCATGAGGTCTCTTCCAACTCTTTGATTCTATGATTCTATGTTTTAAAATGTTTTTATTGTGAATTGTAATTTTTATGGTATTTATGTTGTTAGCATCCTCTGATGCTCATGTGAGTCCCCCTTGTGGGGTGAAGGGCGGGATATAAATATATGAAATAAATAAATAAATAAATAAATAAATAATATTTCCACCTAAATTCTAATTAAATGGTAACAATTTCATAATATTTTGACCCTAGCTGACCAATCAACTTCCTGTTGGGAAAAAAGGCATATCAAATCCAAGGGAGGCTACAACTGATCAAATTGCTTCTCACACACACTAGGAGTTATTTGGGGGCATTCTGGGATGAATTAAAATGGGCAAAAACATGGGGGACATCTGCAGGGCCACAAAAGCAGGACTGGGGCTAAGTCATCATACCTGTTGCAATTCATTTGTGCTATGTATATGTACTATGGTACTGTGCCATATACAGTTGCAAACACTATCTGATTCTCATATTTGTTACACTTCTACTCTGCCTCTCTTCTTTAAAAGTTAGTGCCATGGCATCACTTACCACATGACCAGAGAAATCCATTGGTGAAGAAACGTCAGTTGAGTACAGCTTGCGCCTAGCCCGTTTTGGCTTTACTTCCTTAACAGATTCCTCCTCGGTAGATTTGGGAGATTTTATTGTTGCCATGAGTTTCTTTGCTGAAAGAGGAATTTCAGGAACTTTTAAGCCTTTTTTTGTACCACGCACATTTAAATGACATAGGCATGCTTGTGTTGTACCCACAGACAAACCAGTAACAACAGACAATCCTTCTCAAAGGTCTTTCTCTTCTCCTGAACGTTCTTGTCAAAGATGCATTCTGTGCAACTGGGACCCTATCTACACTGACCGTTTAATGCAGCCCTGCATAACAAGTGGCCCGCAGTAGCCTTGGTATGGCCTGCTGGGCACTGCCTTCCACCACTCACCCATCCACTTGTGCTTCCAACTTGCCATGCCTTCCCCATTCGTGGGAGAGAGGGAGCAAAAGGAAAAGCAAGATGGATGGAGGGAGGGAGGAAAAAAGGAAGGAAGAAAAGAGGAGGGGGAAGGAGGGAAAGGAAGGGGAGGGAGGGGAGGGAGGGGGGAGGGAAGGGGAGGGGGGGAGGGAGGGGGAGGGAGGGGAGGGAGGAGGGGGGGAGGGGGGGGGAGGGGGGGGAGGGGAGGGGAAGGGGGAAGGGGGGGGGGGCCAAAGAGAAAACAGGGGCCTTCTTTCTGGGTGGTGGGCCCCTCGGCCTGTTGGAAAACTTCCTCTTTTGCCTAGGGATAATTACCTTCAAGCACCCCTCCCCCTCCTTTGTGACTTTCCAAAAATGAGTAAAAAAAAAACTGGTCTTTCGGGAAAATAGGGGGACAAAAACTAGGGGGAATGGGCACAATGGTGTCAGTGGCCACAACATTACAACTTCAAGAACAATGGGGGGGGGGGGGACGGGGCATGAGGGATTGGGAATTAGAGGGACCATAGTCTTTTTAAAAAATGGTTAATTTATGGCACTGTCTTTATGTTTTGAAAATGGGGAAAACCTTAATGGTTTTTTGCTTATTAAAATTGTAATGTTATTTCTTTTTTTATTGGGCATCGGGAATTGTTGCCAACTGTTTGGTATTACCGCCTTGGAAGGTCACTTTCGGGGGACTGGATTAATGGGGGCAGGGATTTAGAAAATAATGTTAAAAATAAAAATAAAATTTTACAAAAAGAAAGAAGGGAGGAAAAAAGAGGAAAGGAAAGAAAGGAAGGAAGGAAAAGAAGGGAGGGAGGGGAGGAGGAAAAAGAAGGAAGGAAGAAGGAAGGAGGGAAAGAAAGAGGGAGGGGGCAGGGGAAGGGAAAAGGAAAAGGGGGGGAGGGGGAGGGCGGGGGAAGGGAAGGGGGAGGGAGGGGGGAAGGAAAGAGGGAAGGAAGGAAAGACAAAAAAGGAAAAGAAAGGGGAAGGGAGGGGAGGGAGGGAGGGAAAGAAGGGAGGGGGAAAGGAAAGGGGAAAAGGGAGGAAAAAGAAGGGGGGAAGGGAAGGAAGGGAAGGAAAAGGGGAAAGGGAAAGGGGGGAAGGAAGGAAGGAAGGAAAAAGGAAGGAAGGGGGGAGGGAGGGAGGAAGGAAAGGGAAAAGGAGGGAGGAGGGAAGGAAGGGAGGGAGGGAAGGGAGGGAGGAAGGGAGGGAGGGAGGAAGGGAGGAAGGAAGGAAAGGGAAAAGGAGGGAGGGGGGGGAAAGAAGGAAGAAGGAAAGGAAGGGAGGGAGGGAGGGAGGGAGGAGAGAAGGAAGAAATGAAGGGGAGAGGGGAGGGAAGGAAGGGAGGGAAGGAAGAAGGAAAGAGAGAAGGAAGGAAAGACAAAAGGGAAGGGAAAAAGGAAGGAAGAGGGAGAAGGGGGAAAGGGAAGGGGAAGGGAGGGAGAAAAGGGGGAAGGAAGGAAAGGGGAAAAAAAAGGGAAGGAGGGAGGGGAGGGGAAAGGGGAAGGGAAAGGAAGGGAAGGGAAGGGAAGGGAAAGGAAAGGAAAGGAGGGAAGGGAAGGAAGGAAGGAGAAAGGAAGGGGGGAAGGGGGAAAGGAAAGAAGGGAAGGAAAGAGAAAGAAAGAGAAAGGGAAGGGAAAGATAAAGGAAAAAAAAAAGAAAAAGAAAAAAAAAGAAAAGGAAAAGAAAAAAAGGAAAAGAAAGGAAAAAAAAAGAAGGAAAGGAAAAAGGAAGGGAAGGAAGGGGAAGGAAGGAAGGAAAAAAAGGAAGAAGGGGGGAAGGAAAAAGGAAGGGGGAAAGTGGAAGGAAAAAAAAAAGGAGGAGGAGAGAAAGAGGGAGGGAAAGGTAGGAAGGAGGGTGTGGAAATGTAGAAAAGGGGAAAGGAAAGAAAATAAGAGAAGAAAAAGGGAGGGAGGAAAGGAGGAAAAGGGAAGGAGGGGAAGGAGAGAAAAAGGGAAAAAGGAAAAAAAAAGGGAAGGAAGGTAGGGAAGGAAGGAAAAAAGAAGGAAAGAAAGATGTAGGAAAGAAGAAATTAGGGAAAAGCATGATGTAGTTGGCAGGGGCATGGGGCAAAAATTTTGGGCCCTTCGGGTTGGTTTCGGGCTTTTTACAAAACTTCCCCAAACAATTCCTAACCAAGCCGGTAGGGGGGGGCTGTTTGGTTTTTAAATTGTTGGGGAGTTTGAAGGTTCCAAACAAAAACACCGTTTCTTTGGAGCCAAAAAAAAGGTTTGGGCCCATGTTTGCCTGAATGTTTAAGTGGTTTGAAAACCTTCGGGGGGGGGGGGCTATGGGGGTTTTTTTGGAAAAAAAAAAAACCCCACTGGGTTATTTTTAAGGGGGACAAAAGTCAAACAAGTTTGTAGCACAAACTAAGGGGAAGGGCAAGGGGGGGGGGAAACCCCCCACAAAAAGGCAAAAAAAAACCCCCCCCCCCCGGGAATAAAAAATCTTGAAAAAAAAAAAGAGATTCTTTTGTGGGATACAAGGTTGCCCTAAAACTGCATGAATGGGCAGCTATGGCACACAAAAAAAAAAACAAAAAAAAAACAAAAACCAAAACCCACATGACACAACAAAAAAAACCAAAAACAAAAAAAAAAAAACCAAATCCTTCATTTAATCATAATTATTATTTGTTTTCATAATAATGGGGAAAAAGCAAACAAAAAAAAACATTGCAAAAAAAAAAGCTATTTGCAGCGCCCAAAGAGAGCTGAGGAAAAAACATTGCAATTTTTTGTTTTTTTCTTTGGTTTTGAGTTGATCTTTAAAACTGGGCAGGGTGCCTGATTTTTAATTTGCCAAACATTTTTTGAAAAAAAAAAAAAAAACTGGTTTTGCTTAAAATAATTTTTAATTATATATTTTTTTAATGGGTAAAATTTTTATTTAAGTTCAAGTTTTTTATTTTTAAATTTATTTATCTAATATCTTTTATTATTGGAGACATTTTGGGTTTTTAATTTGCACAATAGGGGGGACAAAACAATTTTCCTGGGGACTGGCCCAAGGTGAGAGTTAAACCAATAAAAGCCACAGGGGGGGGACCCACTTGATTGCCACTTAAAAGGGGGGCTTTTCTTTTTCACACAACTTTTCTGTGGAGGTTTGTTGGTCTGGGCTGGCTGGGAGTTTTGCTTTTAGGATTGGGATCATTACATTTTAACCGTTTTCAATTTAAATGGGGGGAGTAAAAAAACTGTTTTTTAAAGAAACAAAATCACAAAAAATAAAACAAATGTTTTAAAAAGCAATTCATGGTGGGACCAGGAAGAATGGGGAAAAAAAAAAAAACAACTCCCCAAATGAATTCCTGTTAATATCCCAGAGAAAAATGGAATGGAAAAAAACTCCCCACCACAGGCATCAAAGTTCCTTCTCAACTTGATTTAAAATGCAAACAACCCCCTTCAAAGTCTGTCCCATTCAAACATGAGGTACGGGATCAAAACTATTCTAAACCAACGAAAATGAATTTTTCAGTCATCACTTACCTTTGGATTGTATGATTGTTGGCGAACTCTGCAAAAATGAGCCAAATTTTTGCAATGTTCCACTTGTGTCCACGGATGTTTTTATTTTTGATGGAAAATATTTACTTCTTAAAGAATAATCTTTTTTGACATTGTGGTCTGTAGCAGACTGAAGAAATACAAAACATGAGACAGACATTTAGACCATGACTTGTAGGATATGGACCATTTTAAAGACTATACTGGTTTCTATAATAAATAACAACTCACTAAAAGTAGCCATCATTCTTCTGCAGATAAAGTCATAATCCTATATCATCAAAACGCATTTGATAAAGTACCGTCCCGTTAAAAAACAGCTTTACTCCCATTGGCCTTTAAACAGGACTTCATCATTTGAATCAAGATTCAACCTCAGAACAAGTTACTTATTGCACATTTTGTGCATAACTGCAGAAAAAAATTCTTCCTGCCACAAGATGGAATTTTACAATTCCAATTTAAAACCAATTTAAAAACAAGGTCTACAGAAATAAAATCACAAATCTATCAGCAACAACCTCTCGCTATCGTCCTATCTATTTAATACACCACTTTGATACTACTAACTCTAGCATCAAAAAGATGTGTCTCTGTAACTTTGCTGAGAAACTTTGGCAAGAATTTACTATTACCCTCTTGTTTGGATATGGTCTTTTATGTCATCTAATTTAGCCTCCATAGAAACAGAATGCCTAGATAGGTGAGCCATTGGTCTGCACTGGTGTTGCCTTTATTGTTGTAATTTTAGAGAATTTTTATCTTCCTCTTCAGCTACAAAGTACACTTTAAGAATGTACATTACAGGCATGGAATAGTCACTTCTTCCATACTGAATGTCACATTTTTAGAGGTGTTGTGCCACGAAACAGACCAACATGACTATGTCTATATTTTAATTGTTTTATTTTTAAAACACAAAGGACATGCAGCTTCAAATGAAAGGCAACCTATACACGTGAATTTCCAACAAATTTTGGCATGATTGTGGGGAGATAGGTAGTCTTGCGCATTTGTATAGAATAGCTATCTGTTTTGGTTTGTTTCTTTTGTATGGCCCTGTTTTAATTGTCGAGCACTGCATCTGAAAATGGGGGCCTTTCCGAATTAGCCGTTTTATTCTTTCATCTGAATGAACAAAAAATTTCGGACCACTGGTCAACATGGGCAGCCTTTCCAGGCTCCCCTTCCCTTCAGTTTTAGGACTAGAGGGGTGAAAATCACCACATGTGGAGGGCACATCAACCACTCTTAGTCCACCAAGTTTTCTAACATTTGGATCATCTCCTGATTTTTAGGGATATTTTTCTTTCTATAAACAAAATCTCCTTAAAAACATTCCATCTATCCCTTCCTCTTGATCTACAGAGGAGCCCTGAGTTTAAAGGCAAGGCTTAAGATACCACTGATTCTGAGGGGTTTTCTTCTGGCTATGCAAAAAAAACCCAAGCTTAACGGCAGGGCTTAAGATACCACTGATTCTGAGAGGTTTTCCTCTGGCTATGCAGAGAAGACCTATAGCCTGTGTAGCCAGTGCCTTTCTCTTTCATTTAGCCTTTTGTTTCATCCAAACTGTTTTGTACCATCCAAATGGATGGTACAAACTGAATACCCAAATGAAACAAATGGAACCAATACTGTGCCCACCTCTAGTGATAGGTTCATCCTTTCATATATGGTGGGATTGAGGATCAAAATAATGGCGTTTTTCTTCACTATTAGTAGCCGGAATCCTTGCTGAGCTGCTGCAACTCAGTTGAAGGAACCTCTACTTATCACTATTTTAGCTAAGTTGCTCAGACCTCTGTAGTCTCCAAAAGCTATTCCATAGCTCATCTTCACATTAACATCAAGGATAATTTCTTCAACGCTAACCTTGTTCTTTTTTTGTTGTGATGAATCTGAACTTATAACCAGGCCAGCTGGGGATGCAGTGTTCTTCTTATTTTCACTCTTCAAGAAATCCTTAAACACAAAATGGCAGCTGTTAAAAGTACTTCCCAGAGGAAGGAAAAAGGAAGCGTTGCAAACACAAAATCAGACTGAGAAATTGCCACTGCTGTTTTTATCTAAGATTTTTTAAAACCTAATTATTTAATAAGGTCGAAGTAGGTTTTTAACTGATGTAGAGTCAAACTGGTTGCTTTTTAGCACTGATCAGCCAATGCATTATAGCAACAAGATGAGACATTGCTTTTATGTACTATTAGCCATCACCTGCCACACATTGCTGTCGCCCGGTCTGCATATATGTGCTTTGTCTGTGTGTATATGTGTGTATGTATATATTTGTGTATGTGTGTATATCTGTGTGTTTGCGTGTATGTGTGTGTGTGGTTTTGTGCATGAGTTGTAATGTTGTTTTTTTGCTTTTTAACTCTCTTCTGCTGTGTTTTTCAATGTTTTTATGCATGATGGTCACTTGTTGGCCTGATACATGTATTATGTCCAAATTTGGTGTCAATTTGTCCAGTGGTTTTTGAGTTATGTTAATCCCACAAACGAACATTACATTTTTATTTATATAGATGTTCTCTGAATTGCAAGCCTGACACAAGTCTGGTAGCAGTGAGGCTTTTTTGGTTTCGAAGGCAGAATGATATTGATTTTAGTCAGAATGGCTACTATCAGGGTTCAGTAAGGAAGGACTTATGGACAGGATATCTGCCTTTGTTTTTGTGATTGTATATGGCATTGAATATTTGCATTTGTACATAGAAGCTGCCCTGAGTTCCTCTGGAGAGAGAGGGTGGGTTAGAAATAAATTATTATTACTATTATTGTTATTATTATTATTATTAATAATAATAATAATAATAATAATATTTTACTGACACAAGAACACAGTATGTCACAGCAAAGGAGATATATATGCTGGATTTTGTATCACAAAATCACAAGTYGAACACTTCCCAAGCATCTAGGACTGTGTATTTTCGAATGATGTGTGCAGATCCAAGTAAGGTGGCCTTTTGCAGTTGACAGATCGTGATTTTTGTTTCCAAATGCCAGCTGAGATTTTTGGTGGTCCCAGTGCCAATGACCACTGGGACTACCTGTACTAGTTTATGCCAGAGCCCCACACCACGACAAGGTGGCACCTATCGGGGGGATGATGATGACGGTGGTGGTGGTGATTATGATGCTGGTGATTGTTGTTGTTGTTGTTGTTATTTTACTGACACAAAAACACAGTATGTCACAGCAAATGAGACCTATATGCTGGATTTCATATAAAAAATCACAAGTCGAACGCTTCCCAAGCGTCTAGGACAATATTATTATTATTATTATTAGAGAAGATATTATAAAATATTTCCAAAAAAAGCAATGGCCAGTTTCTGGTGGAACACCTAGTAACTGCTGGTTGATTATGCTTTTACTAACACTGGAGTAGCTAGCCTTTGGTGTAATCCAACTGGACAATTAGTAAGCAGAAAGCATATTTACTGTCACTTAATACAAGCTATTTATAACCTTAAATCATGTAGCAAAGTCTTTTTGTGGCAGAATCAAATAATTGGAGGTTATTATTTCCCAAAGATGCAGAATGAGTTTAGATTCTGTCTGAGGTCTGTATTGTTCTAGAAATTCAAAGAACCAGGAAGAGGAAAAATCTGAACTCACTTCCATTTATACCACTCCACGAAAACTCAACTGCCTGCCATAGTTAAGCATTATTATTTCTGGATGCATTCCCAGGCCTTCCTAGTATTGCCCTAAATGTCTCCAAGGCTCCTTCTGCACTGCCATATAATCCAGATTATCAAAGCAGATAATCCACGTTATCTTGCTTTGAACTGGATTATATGAGTCTACACTGCCATATAATCCAGTTCAAAGAAGATAATCTAGATTTTATATGACAGTGTAGAAGAAGCTTAAAATTGTTACAGGAATTCCAATTCATCTGGGTGATAGCTCAAATGCTTTGCAATAACAGTCATAAGTGTCGTTTAAAAGGCTGGCCTCAGCAGTTAGGCACAGTATTCATTTCAAATGATAAACAAACATAGCAGAATAATAGATAATTATCCATAAGACAGAAACAGAGGTGAGATGTGGCAGATGATTACTGTAGTGTTAGAATCTAAATGTGTGATTGGAAGAAAATGTAGTAGATTAGAATATATTGTTGAGTGCTGTTACCTACAATATCTATACATCTACAGAAAAAGCTCAAATGGATTCAGTACCTGACTGACATCACCAGAAGCATATTTATTTCTAACTTTGCTTTTCCAGCAACTCGAAAGTTTGTTGCTCTTGAAGAAAAATGGTTGAGGAGAAAAGAGGTTATAATTCCAAAGTATTCAACCTCCCCCAAGTATTTTACAAATGTAACACACACGATTTTCCATATTAATAATTTTAGGTGGCCTTCTAGAGCATTGCCTATCAAGTACAATGATCTAGAAAGGCCACATATGATGTTTCTTGGCAGAAGCCTACCGTTCAATGAATGATTAATCTGCAAGACGCCTATTCAAATGGGAATGTTGACAATGTGTTTTAGGGGTACAACCTGTCCCATGAATCTGAGATTCTAAATGATAAGATACTATCCAGATTGAAAGGTGGACATAAATCAAAGAGGAGAGGCTGCTTTCAGCTCGCAGGTCAAAACTAAACTGAACATCCAGATTTCATGGGCTCCATCTGATTTCTCCCAGGGAAAGACAGATGTTAGTGACCTACAGCTTGGTCGCCACAAATGTTTTAGAAAATTACATTTATCTTGTGATAGTGAACTGACTTCATAGCTTTTTTTGTGTCAGGAATGACTTGAGAAACTGCAGCTCGCTTCTGGTGTGAGAGAATTGGCTGTCTGCAAGGATGTTGCCCAGGGGATGCCCGGACGTTTATTGTTCTACCATCCTTGTGGAAAGCTTCTCTCATGTCCCCACATGGGGAGCTGGAGCTGACAGAGGGAGCTCAACCAGCTCTCCTTGGATTCAAACCACCAACCTATTGGTCAGTAGGCCTGCTGGCACAAGGGTTTAACCCCTTGTGCCTCTGGGAGCTCCTTCATAGCTAAACTCAGAAGTGGCAGTTTGAGAAGATAAATTTGGCCAATATTTGTAGAGTCATGACCCAATTTTTCAACAAGTCAAGAAGGAAAAATATAAAAGGAAGAGTATTTCCCTCTGGTTATAATCAGTGTGGTCTAGTAATTTCAACATTAGACTATGGCTCTGGAGAACAGGGTGGGAATCTCCACTCATAGATTGAAACCCATTGGGTGACCTTGGGCAAGCCACATTCTCAGAGGAAACGAAAGCAACACTCCTTTCAACAAATCTCACCCCCCCCCCCGCAAAAAAAAAAAAAACACCTTGTGATAGTCATCATAGATTTGAAAAAACTTGAAGGCAACCAACAACAAGCTACGCCCTGCCCACTGTGTCTTATTTTCTGTGTTTAAATTATTATGATTTTACATTGTTTGATGTGTTTATTTATATTGTTTCTTGTATTTTATTTTATTTTAATATTTTATTGTTGTTGTTTATTTGCATTGTTGTATTGTTGGGCTTGGCCTCATGTAAGCCGCCCCGAGTCCCCTTGGGGAGGTAATGGCAAAGTATAAATATTATTATTATTATTATTATTATTATTATTATTATTATTATTATTAGGCCTTCTTAAACTATTTCCACTCACAACCCCTTTCTACCTGACAAATTTTATGTGATCTCGAGTATATAAAATAGGTATACAGATCAAACATTTACTGATAACAAATCAGCATTTGCAATGCTTGCTAAGTAGGCTACATGTCAATCACGTTTGATTTTTATCAATTTTAATACCTCATCCAGTGCACTGCTTTTCCTTTTCTTTGCCTTGGGAACTTTTATGGTCACAGAAGAAGGACTCCCTTGATGCTTCACTTCCATCTTATTGGGCTGCAGAGGTGTAAACTGAATCTCCATTTCAGGTTTTGGGAAACGGCTAATTTGGTCATTGTCTGAAGAGACTTCACAAGAATCTAGAAGGGAATCTGACTGCTCCTGTGGTTACCAAAAATAATGTAAAATGGGTAGACAAGGGGATGGTGGGAAGAAAATAAAACAAAACAATGATGTAGAAGGAAAGACAAAAACTTTAACACAAGCCTTGAGGGGAAAGTGGGACGCAACATGCCCGTTTTCATTTTATGAGAATGATTGCTTGACATCCTCAGAATGATTGCTTGGCATCCATTTGCTCACAAGCTTTGCTATTCTGCTGCTGAATATGCATGCCCAGTGTGGAATACACCTTACCATGTTAAAGCAGTGGATGTGGTTCTGAATGAGACGTGCCACATTATCACATAATGTCTACACCCTACCGGTCAGCCGGTATTGCACCACCTGACATCCACCGGGAAGTAGCAGCCAGTAATGAAAGGCATTTACATCTCCGGCCCATCCTCTGTTCGAATACCAGCCAGCACACCAATGTCTTAAATCAAGAAATAGCTTCCTAAGATCTACAGAAATAGCCACAGGAACACCTCAGCAAGTGAGAGTCCAAAAGTGGCAGGCTGAAACCTGAAGTCTCAATCAGTGGCTGAGACCGGATGAGAAACTCCCTCCTAGGCACATAGAAGGCTGGGCCACTTGGAAGGCACTGAACGGACTGCACTCTGGCACCACAAGATGCAGAGCCAATCTTAAGAAATGGGGCTACAAAGTGGAGTCCATGACATGCGAGTGTGGAGAAGAGCAAATCACAGACCACCTACTACAATGCAACCCAAGCCCTGCCACATGCACAGTAGAGGACCTTCTTATAGCAACACCAGAGGCACTCCATGGGCTAGCTTCTGGTCAAAGAAAATGTAGTATAATGTCAAGTTTTTAACTTTGTTTGTGGTTTATTTTATACATTATAACTGTATTCTCAATTCATTTCTGATAAATAAATAAATAACTACCCCCAGAATAAATACTTGCTATCAAAATGTATTCCACCCAGAATGAAAACAAACACTGCAAAGTTCTCATTAGAGAGAGCATATTCAAGTTTTTCACAGGCTTTAGAGAATACGGAAGAAATCTCTCAAGGGCACAGAAGTGCTACCACCAGAATGTCAGCAAAGCAAAGCTAAGTTTGCCACTTCTGCTGTAATGCTTTCTGGAATGTCCATTGGACACTTTGTAGAGTTCTCTGTACATACAATGAGCCCTTCAGCAAGGAGATCGAGCGATAGCACCCCCCTGTGGCCGGAACCAAGCACAGCCTCCAAAAGATGCCAAATGATGAGAAAAAGCCTAATTATACCTCCATATGTTGTCTGTCTCGTCATTGTATAATTGGCATTGAATATTTGCTATATATGTGTTCTGTGATCCGCCCTGAGTCCCCTTCAGGGTGAGAAGGGCAGATTATAAGTACTGGAAATAAAATAATGAGGGGCAATGTCTTGATTTTGCACGCACACATACCTACACATCAACTTGTAAAGAATTTTTATGAGCTCGGATAGATACCTGAATGTTTTCTAGTGACGATGACACTTTGCTAGAATTCTGTATCGATTGGTCTCTTTCTCCTCCACTATTGCAATTTGGCAAGTCACTTTGGTTCACTTCCAGCTGTTGAAGAAAGAGATGAATGAGAATCATGACATTCACAGTCAATAATTATTTTGATTTTAGAAATCCAATGTGTTTAAAAAGGCAAGATGGCACGCTCATTGCTAAATGATCGCAGCACAGTCATAGCTTTGCAGCATCAGGTATTGAGTTTTTTGGGAAACTTCCTCTCTGGCTAAATTCAGTTGCTTTAAAAAACAAAATTGTGGCTTTTAACTTATGCATGACTTATCATCTGTCCATTGTTTTAACAACAATTGATATGTTGTGGATGTGTTTATAAAACAATGTAACACGATTTTTGTTCCTGAGTCAGAAATGTCATTTCCTAATTGGTTCTATCATTAAAAACAGGGGGGAAAGTTTATTAAACTGCAAAAACATTGATTGTGCGGGACATCCCGCAGGAGCATGAATGCTATTTTGTTTTATAGCTATATGTAAAATACTTTGGTTGCAATAATAACTTACTTGGACATAGGTCTCCCTGAATGCAATGCAACATACTGAGAAAGACCACATTATAAAATAGTACCAGAGTTGTAAATTTACCTGTTTACTACCAGAGAGGTCTTCCACTTTCTTTGTTTCTGCTTCTTTTGGAATGGGTAATTCCTTGGTAATGTCTTTACTAGGTTTTTCAGTAGCTGTTTTTAAATTCTTTTCAAGACAAAAAAGTACCAAAAGTTCAACTATACAGATTTAGCTGAGATAGAGCAAAAACAATTAGCAAGCTAAGGACTCAAATATCTAACAAACTCCAGCCTTTGTGGTGACACAAGGGAAATATAATATATGTTTATGTGGTTAAAACTTAGATTTGTAGCATAATACTGATGATAAAAGATATAAGTAATTCAATGTTAAAGTGCTGGAGRGGACAGTGAGAGAATTGTGTTGCCGATGGCTTTCATAGTCGGAATTACTGGGTTGCTGTGGAATATATAGGGGGGGGGGGGAGAGAACAAGAGGAATATCTCCCAACCTGGGTATTCCACAGATATATAAACCCCACTTGCTTAGTTTCAGACCTCACAACTGAGGATGCCTGCCATAGATGTGGACAAAATGTCAGGAGATAATGTTTCTGGAACATGGCCATACAGTCCAGAAAACTCACAGCAACCCAGAGAGAGAATTTGTCACTGAATGAAAAAGGGATCTCTAAGGTCACAGATAAAATCACCATAGCAGCCAAGAAGTATAAAGAAAATCAAGTGCATGCAGAAATCTAATTGTTCTAAAGAAGCTTTATTATGTTCAAAGATGTTCCAATTTCATGAAGTCACAATAAGCAAAATAATTTTATGTGAGAATACACAGAATAAGATCTTAGGAAAAGAAGAAATTGCATACGAACCTTCTCAGGAGCTTTCAAGATAGCCTTTTTCAGTTCTTCTATTTCTTTGTCTTTTTGTGCATTACTTGAAACTAGAGTACTCAGCTGAACTTCCAAAGCTGCCACCAGCTGATCCCTCTCAGTACGCCATTTCTGAAGGTCATTATCTTTTTCTGTCACAAGTCTTTCCTGAAAAAAAAGAAAAAAGAAAGGGGGGTAAAAAATCCCTGTAAAGTGTTCACTGTGTGAGTTTTTTTTTCACTACAGTTTTTTTCCTATGCTATTTTTTCTGGCTGAATTTATTTGTATGCTACCTTTTGTTTTTCAGTAGAAAGGTGTTAAATTAATTGGGACATACATACAATTTGCACATTTAACTAATTTACGATGCCATAAAACCTTCCAGCAGCATGCAGAAGAATGAGGAAGAACTCAGTCAAAGAACACGGTATCACAAATGGATGGTGAAGCAGCAGTTCTCTATGTGGTCGGAATCAAGCTGAAATCGAGCATACTCTCATGAAAGCTGGAAAGCTGGGATGTTAAATTGCCTCTGTGTCTGTCTATATATATTGTATGAATAACTGGCATTGAATGTTTGCCATGTATATGTACATTGTAATACGCCCTGAGTCCCCTGAAAGGTGAGAAGGGTGGAATATAAATACTATAAATAAGTAAGTAAGTAAGTAAATGTTTCGCATTTGGCTCTTGGAAGATACTGGATTTTTGTTTCACAAGAAAGCGAAACCTCTTACAGGCTGGAGAAGTCCAAACAGAGCAGGAGTGGGAAGAGCAGAAATTGCCAAGTCAATGTTTTAGGGTTTTGTTTTTTTTAAATGAGGAACTACAGTGAAACCTTGACTTACAAGTAAACCAACATATAAGTTTTGAGATACAAGTTGTTGCTTGGTCAATTTTTTTTTCTTTGACATGCAAAATGAGATTTGAGTTACGCACTATCGCGAGAGTACACCACCCGCCATCTTAAGCAGGGCTTAAGGGAGCAGACAGGAAAGCTCCTTATGCTTGTCCTTGCTGTTATTTCTGCACACACCTTACTATTTTAGATCCATGAACAGCCTTTTTTCAAGAGGAAGTGATCGGCAAATTCATGTTTTAGTTATTTAGGGGGCATGGTGGTGCAATGGGTTAAACCTTGTGCTACTGAACTGCTTACGATCTTCCGGGGAGGCCCTGCTCTCAATCCCACCTTCATCGCAAATGCGCTTGGCGGGGATAAGAGACAGGGCCTTCTCGGCAGCGGCCCTCTGGTTGTGGTCAAAATTAGGTCAACGACTTCCCTCTGTTCCTTCAGGAAAAAGTTGAAGACGTGGCTATGGGACCAGGCATTTGGATAGCAAGCTGACAATAAAAATGATGATAATGCTATGGAAAGTGGACTATGGACAGGTTTCGGATTAAGTTGTTGATCATAGAACTCGGACTTAGACATGGCCAACCAATTCAATTTGCACTATTTTAAATGGTTTTAATCTAATTTAATGTTTTACTTATTATGTAATTGTTGTTTTATCTGTTTGTATATGGGGGGCATCAAATTGTTGCGGGCTGTAAGCTGCCCTGAGTCCCCCTTTGGGGGTAGAGAAGGATGAGATACAAATATTTGAAATAAATAAATAATAAAATTGTATCTCATTGTAACAAGGCACTGAAGTTTGCCTGTGTCTGTTTATATGATGTAACTAGCCGTCCCCTGCCACGCATTGCTGTGGCCCAGTCTGTGTATATGTTTTGTGTGTGTGTATATGTGTATATTTGTGTATATGTGTATATGTGTGTGTTTGCATATATATATATATATATATATATATATATATATATATATATATATGTGGTTTTGTGCAAGTGCTGTAATGTATTTTTTATGTTTTGGCCTTTTAGGTCTCTTCCGCTGTGTTTCTCAGTGTTTTTATGAGTGATGGTCACTTGTTGGCATGATAGGTGTCTTGTGTCCAAATTTGGTGTCAATTCGTCCAATGGTTTTTGAGTTATGTTAACCCCACAAACGAACATTACATTTTTATTTATAGAGATGTGCTCTAAGTCCCCTCGGGGAGATGGGTAGAACATAAATAAAGTGTTGTTGTTGTTGTTACTACTATTATTTCTTGTTATACAGGCTGCTAAGAAACATGATGAAAGAAAAATGGTGAAATTGCCACCATGCCCCTTATGGTGTGTGAGGTCTATAAGGAGAAAAAAAAAACCTGAGAAAAACTTAAGAAGGTATAGCAGGAGCGGCAGTCCTCCGAGGACCCCAGTCCCCCTGATTTGAAGAGTGCCCCACCCCAATGTAGAAGAAGAAAGGGGAATACTACAAAGAATATAATATAAATAATATACATGATCTTGATAGTTGTATTCAGTGTACTGGCAGGGACCCTCAAAACTGGAAGTCAAGAAAACTCTCCTTGGCAGAAGAATAAAACAGCTCAGTTGACTACCATACTGTTTATCTGATGACGTACTTTTGGACATACAGTCAATCTTCCACGTTTTCAGGTTTAACTTTTGTGGATTTGATTCCTTGCAAATTTGGTTAATTTAGTCTCTCTAGGAATCTCTAGGTCCTCAAGCACAACACTATATTTAACTTCTGCTTGAAGTTTACCATAGAGTCATGCTGAAAATTCCTAATGAGGTAGTCTCTCTGTAAAAAAATAGTATATTTATTCGTGGTTTTTCCACTATTGAGAGGGGTATTGCACTCAGAAAATGTGGAGCACCTACTGCATAATATATTCTGTACCAGGTGAGCAAATCATTACAGCAATCCAGACTTGATGTACCAGATTTATTGGAGCTGCATCTCTCAGAGGAGAGTAGCCTTGCTGAATTGCTGAATGAATAAACTGCAGATACTTATTTGTAAATTCTGAATTCTTTAAGGGAGAATGGCAGAATATAATCATAAAGAATATTAATTAAGTTAAACATGCAGTCTTGGCAATTATTCAATTTTAATGTGAACGGCTATGTATAAAGAAAAATTAAGAATGCATCTCTATGCACATATAACTCAAGAGAATGTCCCATACAACATGACTAGACTTACTTCCAAGCAAACATGTGCAGGATTACCTAGTTAGGTCCTCATATTCAGAAGTTTCTCCCAATGCAAATTGTTTATTGTTTTCTACTCACTGCTTCTACTAGCTGCTTCGTGTGATGTTCTCTGTTTTCAGCAAATCTTTTCATCTCTCTGTTACGATGCGTCTCTGCTTCTTTGGCCTGATTTATGAGAAGCGTTTTTTCTGTCAGCCACTTCTGGCGATTCGTTTTGTGTTGTTCTTCACACTCCTATGTTTAAAAGTAACCAGGAGTTAAACCTATTTCTCTTAAGGAATTAAGAAAACCCTCTAAAAACATGGAATAATTTTGAGTGGTCATGCTTGAGTACGAAAATATATTTGTTTTCTGTAGAAGAGTGCTAGTTTGCCAAGGAATTACATTAAAACATTTGTTATCAGAAGAAGTACATTGAAAAGCAGCAATAATTATGGTTTGGATTAGGAGTCTGTAATATGGTGCTGTCTCTTTAAAATAATGACTCCTACAATTCCTGAACCTCTGCAACACTAATGGAGCCATTATTATTATTATCATCATCATCATCATTATTGTTATTGTTATGTTTATTTATACCCCATTTTTTTTCTCTCCACAAGGAGATTCATGTAAGTTGTAGTCAAACATCTGAAGGGAACTAGATTGCCTACACTTGATTTAGTATTGTGAGTATGCAATATACTGTATATACTCGAATATAAGCCTAGAAGTCCCCCTTGGGTTATATTTGAGTCAAGGTAATTTATTATTTTACTCTGTTGTTATTATTATTATGATTATTATTACATTTATTATTTTACTCTGTTATCGTTACTATTATTATTACATTTATTATTTTAATTTATTATTACATTTATTGTTTCACTCTATTTACTGTATTATTACTGTTACTATAGTATTTCCATTATTTTACTCTATTATTACTACTTCTATTATTATATTAATTATTTTACTCTATTATTATTGGAAGGATACATAAGCACATTTACAATGAAGGTCAGAATAATTTTTTAATCAGAGTTGGGCAGTCTTATCATAAATTACACTTTAATGTAAATATTCAAAAACATTTAACATACTGATGCCTCAATTAATGTAATTGTATTGGTATCTATTTTTATTTTGAAATTTACCAGTAGCTGCTGCATTTCCCACCCCTCGGCTTATATTTGGGTCGGCTTATATTTGAGTATATAGGAGTAATATGTTTTTTTGCTTATGGGTACATGCTGCCCCATTTGAATATAAAGGGGAAGAAATATGAGACTTCTCATTTTATCTAAGAATTAGAATGTATCCATGTAAAGTTAACAGGAATCTCTTTAAATCAGGTATTAACACAGAGCAGATAATGTGTGGCTTACAGGACTGCAACTGTCGTCCTCATTGGCTATGCTGGTCAATGGAAAGTTGTGAGTAATAGGATTTGCAATTACATCTGGAAGGTTATGAGTTGTTCAGCCTTCTCGTCACCAAATGATAGTTTATTATTCAAGCGGTGATATATTTAGACTAAAGGCAAAGGATGATCTAAAACTATAGATATAGGTATCAACATAGACACATTTATTTTATTTATATCCTGTCCTTGTTTTATAGATGTATAGGCTATGACTTGTCCTGGTTTCAGACTGGCATGAGCATGTTTGAGAGACATTCACATAAAGTAGAACATTATTATTATTATTTAAATAACTTGAAGCCCACAATTTTAGTCCTCTGGTCTTTGAAACTCAGATGTACTTTTCACCTTAGTCCCTACAGAATTTTGTCAAAATAATTGATAGTCATTTACTAGTGTTTTTGGCACCAGGTGCTGCTGAACTGTTGACCTGAAGGTTGCCTGAACTGCTGACCTGAAAGTCAGCACTTCAAATCTGAGCTCCTGTCTGTCAGCTCCAACTCCTGTCAACCTAGCAGTTCAAAAACATGCAAATGTGAGTAGATAAATAGGCATCACTTTGGGGGGGAAAGGCAAAGAGATGCTCCAAGCAATCTTGCCAGCCACACAACCAGGAAGTGACAACGCAGGCTTCTCAGCTTGAAAATGAAAAGGACCTTCCCAGAGCCAGAGATGAGCACCACTTCCAGAAGCCGGAAATGAAAAGAGAAGCCTCTGCCTTTGTTTGTATGTCTCATTGTATTTGACTGTAAAGGTATTGAATGTTTGCCTATGTATGCTATAATTTGCTCTGAGTCCCCTAGGGGAGAAGGACAGAATATTTAAAAAGTGATGATGATGATGATGATGATGATGATGATGATGATGATGATTATGCACACATAAGACCCTGGCATGGTTTGAATGAAGTCTCAGGCCCCATCTACATAGTCATATCAAATCCAGATTTTCTGCTGCTTTGAACTGGATTATATGACAATGAAGACTCATATAATCCAGTTCAAAGCAGATAATCTGGATTTTATATGGCTGTGTAGATGGGGCCTCATACAATCTTGAAAGCACATCAGGAATCCACACATTACCTTCAGCTTCTCTTGCAGTCTTGCCACTTCTTCATGAAGCAACACTGTACTCGTTTCACATTCTGCTTTACCATTCTGTTGCCTCACACTACTGCCCTGCTTCTCTATCTCATGATACCTTTTCTTCCATTCTTCCAGTTCTATAGAGAAAATATGTTCATTGATAAGAATTTAAGACATACAAGAATTCCATTATTAGAAAGTGTTTATGTTTACTGTTGGTAAATATATATAAATGGGAAAAGTTCTCATAGATTGCACTTTTTCGCATCTCAAAACATCTGAATCTTCTGTTTGCTTTTTATTTCCATCTTCAGTTTTGTATACCTCTGTCAACTAAAGGATAATGTTGTACTCCAGGCCTGGAAACACCATGACAACCGCACCACACAAGAGTCAAGGAATATAAGCAAACAGTTTATTGTAAAAACCTAAAAAGCATTTAAAAATCAGGAATAAGAAAGGAAGATATAGTATCCAAAAAGGTTTAACAACAGGTGATAACCAGACAGTAATCCAAATGTCTCAAAAAATTCCAGAGATGACAAAGTCCAAGAACAGCCAGAAATCACGGATACAGCAGAAGACCACAATCCAGAAGGTATAACTAGTAAAACTTGAACAGGAGTACATTAACAGGAAGATAGAAAACTTTCAGGATATTTAAATCCAAAATCAAAGCTTGGTTGAACCAGGAACAAGTGAACTCAGGCTTAGATTCTCATTCTAAAGCAGTGCTGCCTGAACTCACCTTAAGGTAAACAATAGACACTGATGTAATCATTCTGTTTCCCGTGAATTTCCTTCACAACTTTCCTATGTAATCTCTCTGAACAACGCAATCTATTTTCGGCTCTGATTTGTAAACAAAGACTTTTGTTGATCTCCGTAGCTACAGATGGGTCCTCACAGGGGCCCTCCTTATCACTCAGCTCTTCACTCAATTCCTTATCTGCTGTTGCTACTTCTGCCCCCCCCCCCCGAAATATCCTTGAGGCCTTGCACTTTCCAAGCCAGTTTTCTTGCAGAAAGAACCATCATTTAAATTTCCCAGACTTCAGAACCCATCACTTTGTGCCACAGAAAAGCTCACAATCCTCTCTAAATCATGMGTTAAACCATCAGCCTGTGGTTGATCTACAAGAGATAACACCTCATATATGGAACTCTGGCCCATGACAGCTGATGCCTTTATACATTTGCCAGTATTCTTAAAAAAGAACAATAAATGTGTTGTAGAGCAATTTTTGCATAAGTAGCCTAACACAGCCATGCCTATGGAATACAGCAAGTCGGAAGACTTGAAAAAAATACCACCACCTGTGGTATCTTCACCCTATTTAGAAGCAAAGATGGGGGGGGGGGGTTGTAAGATATATCAAAAAGGCATTGTGGGGCTGGTATGCGAAACATTATCCTTCCTCATCACTTACCTGCAACACATCTTTCATTCTCTTCTAATCGAGCTTCAAGTTCTTGGTCTTGTTCAGACTGAGTCTGCTCTTGCTCTTCCAAAGTCAGTTTCATATCTTCGATGATCTTATCCTTTTGATGTAGAGCTAAATATTGAAGAAGCACATTTTTAATGCTGTCCTTTATTTACTCCTTTCCAGAAATTCTTCTGGTAGACTAATAGCTATACTTTTGGTGGAGGGAAATCTCAGTTGAACTGCACCATGTCAAAGGATCCTAAATTGTTTTTATTGCCCCTAAAGTATATGCTCTCACTTCAGACTTTGTACCAAGCACAAGTAGATCAGCACCATCCGAGTTAATTATTATGTATGTTATATTCTTGGATAGTTTTTAGCAGCAATAATGTTGCATTATATCAAAACCAAGATTTTAGTGTGGAAGCTTTGTTAAGCCTCCTTTTGACTTTTCAGTAGAAGGCATTAGAGGGAGAAGTGAATCGTGTAGACAGAGGTGCTGGAGCTGCACCTCTCAATATTTCTCACATTGAGATATGTAGGTTGAGGCTAGTGAGAGTCGCAGCCTAATAAAATCTAGATGTCTGCATGATTCCCACCCCATATTAGAGAGAAAGATTAAACCTTTTCCTGCTTCCAAAGCATTTCATGAACAATGACACTCAATCATTTATTTTGCCAATTCTTGCAGCATTTTTGCTCTCTTTTGGCAGAATAATTAATGCCATTAACAGTTGTTCCCAGTCTGTCATTCAACTACTTATTGCAAGTGAGTTCTGCTTGCTATGATTCTCTATCTCAATGGCATTATTTGCCTTAAATGAGTACCAGGCAATCTGTGTTAAGCTAAAATACACCTCCCTTCATGTACGCTGGGTCCCACAAATCTTAAAATAATTCTCATTTCAAAACGAACATGTTTTGAAATCCATGAACCATTCTATGCTTATTTTAAATATGCTCACTTTTTTACACCCTGCAGTCCAAACCAACATTCTAAATACCAAATGTCAAGTCATCAACACAATAGGTAGCTTACGTAAATGAAAATTATGACGCACCTTTCTAATAATTGAAAAGATTAATCTCTCACCTGTCAAATGTATAGGCCAAATGGGAAAGGTAGCTCACAGAAAATTATTTCATTAAATCATAAGCATAAAAACATCAGAAGTAGTATTAAAAATAACAGCAGTGAGAATAGAAGAATGCCAGAAGTATGTGAAGGAAAAAGAGATCACAAACACATATAGAGTATTACATACCTTCACATGCTTTCTGGTATTGATGTTGAACATCCTCCACTTTCTTATTGAGTTCTTCCTAATTTGGACACAAAAAGAGAGAGTACATACACACAAGAACTAAAATCTCCTAATGTAGTGAATAAATAAAGGCCACAACATGTCTGGATTACTGTAAAGCACTCTATGTGGGGCTGCCTCTGAAGTACTCGGAACTTCAGCTGGTCCAAAGAGCTACAGTCAGGTTGCTAAATGGGGCTGGCTACAGGGAGCGGACAACCCCCTTGTTGCAGCAGCTCCACTGGCTGCCAGTCTGTTTCTGGGCACAATTCAAAGTGCTGTTTATGACCTTTAAAGCCCTGGACAGTTCAGGTCCAGGCAATTTGGCCAACCACATCCCTTTGTATGATCCTGTCCAGGCCCTGAGATCTTCAGGAGAGGTCCTTCTCTCAGTCCTACCTCCACCTCAAGCACGGTTGGTGGGAACATGAGAGCGGGCCTTCTCGGTGGCTCCTGAGACTCTGGAACTTCCTGCACAGGGAAGCCAGAATGGCCCACTTCCTGAGCTCCTTCTTTATTTCTTTCTTTATTTATTTACTGTATTTTTACCCTACTCTATCTCAATCCTGAAGGAGACTCAGAGCGGCTTCCAAACTGGCAATAATTCAATGCCGCATGACAACATAAAAACATATAAAATGCAAATATATTATGTATTAAAATCATTAAAATGACATATAATCCATCAAAATAAACTGTTAAAAACATAGCACTTAATCCTGAAATCATAGTCCAAGACCCTTCAGGAGGCATGTTGAAACCTTTTTATTCAGGCAGGCTTTTAAAGATGGACGTGCTTAATATCTATTCAGAGGGTGCTGTGGTTTTAAACTTTGAATATACTTTGATGGATTTTAACTGTGATTTAATTCTGCAAAATAAAGATAAAGAGTGTGTTTGGCCTACCTTTTGCCTACCTCTGGCCTATAAGCAACCTACTGAGTTCACAAAGATTTGAACTACAGCAGGCATCCTCAAACTGTGGCCCTCCAGCTGTTTGGGTCTCCAACTCCCAGAAGCCCTAACAAGCTTGTTCAATTGTCAGGAATTCTGGGTACTGAAGGCCAAACAGCTGGAGGGCCGCAGTTTGAGGATGCCTGAACTAGAGACTTATGAATCCACAGTCTTCACTCCTACACTATATCAGCTCGGTATTTTTATATTATACAAGCCATCCTCCTAGTAACATCCAATAGTAACTGCAACCAAAAACATTTCACGGTACCTTCTGAAACTGTTGAATTGTTCTTTGCTTGAGCTCTAGTTCTTCGGTGAGCTGGTTTTTAGCCTTTTCAAGTTCATTGACTTTATTCCGTAGTAATTTCTCTTCAGTACGCATGCTGCATATCTATAAGAAGATTCATTAGGTTAGTTTGTAAGCAACTATGTATGGTGCTTTATTATTTCTTCAGAATGATGTGCTTTTAGATGTTAAGCCAAAAGCAACCTCCTTGTTCACTCATTCCCTTTGTGTTGCAATTTCAAACATTGAGAAAGATGGGCAGATAATATTTTAGAATGACAGTTTCCAAAGAGGATTCCCTGATGTTGCTGAACCAAACTTCTGAGTATTAGTCATGCTTGATGAGATTTCTAGGAGCCAAATCCCAACAAGATTCTCTGATTTGTTTTCAGTACATATGGCAAGTAGAGGTTGAATATTCCTTATCTGAAATGCTTGGAATCAGAGCATTTTAGTTTTAATAATAATAATGATAATAATAATAATAATAATAATAATAATAATAATAATAATAATAATAATTTTATTTATACCCAGCCACCATCTCCCCAAGGGGACTCGGAGTGGCTTACATGAGGCCAAGCCCAACAACACATCAATAAAACAAAATACAATAAGCAAAAATAATACAATTAATATAACTCACATATAAACAATAACACACAAGGATTTAAAAAAATCTATGGCCAGGCCAAATGTAATAATTTAAAATTTTAAAAATTAATGCTGGGCACGAACAGAGGTAGAATGTATCTGGTAGGAGGGTTTTAAAAGAAAAGAAGGGAGAGCAACCCAACGAGTAGTTAAAGTGCTTCTGAGGACATTTTGCTGGGAATTATTTCCTTATTCAGAGTTTTGAATCTTGGAATGCCTATATTAGCATATATGCACATAATTAAAATGAACAAAACCAGAAAAACCCAAGTAAAAGGAATTGTGCTATATTACATAAAGTATATATACTTTTTAAACTGTATAAGAAGTTCCCAGTGGCACAATAGGTTAAACCCTTTTACTGGCAGGACTGGTCGACCGACAGGTTGGCGGTTCGAATCCGGGGAGCGGGGTAAGCTCTAGCTTCTCATGCAGAGACATAAGAGAAGTCTCCCACAGGATGGTAAAACATCAATCATCCGGGCATCCCCTGGGCAACATGCTTGCAGATGGCCAGTTCTCTCACACCAGAAGTGACTTGCATTTTCTCAAGTCGCTTCTGACACACACAAAAAAAACCTGTATAAAGCCCTTCCTACTTACTACCTCATCAGAAGGGGTCCAAATTGGTGGCATACGCTGGTTGGACTCCCCTAATATATATGTTGTTGTTCATTCGTTCAGTCGTCTCCGACTCTTCATGACTTCATGGACCAGTCCACGCCAGAGCTCCCTGTCGGTCGTCACCACCCCCAGCTCCTTCAAGGTCAGTCCAGTCACTTCAAGGATGCCATCCATCCATCTTGTCCTTGGTCGGCCCCTCTTCCTTTTGCCTTCCACTTTCCCCAGCATAATTGTCTTCTCTGATATTGTACTATGCCAATAATATAATATATTATATGTATATATATCTTGTAAGCCACTCTGAGTCCCCTTCAGGGTGTGAATAAATGTTGTAAATAAATAAATAAACCCTATCTGCTATCAACAGCAGGCTTGTGAAATGTCTTACTTGCACACAGCTCTCCTCAACCTGGTATCTCCCTTGAATAGCACTGCCATCATATCCTACCAACATGAGTAGCAGCCTTAAGAGGATAATGGATGTTGTAATCAAAGGAGAGAACCATGTTGGGGAAGCCTAGCATATTATGACAACTGGTTATACACTGAAAGCCTAATTGGCTCAGCTTCTTTATTACTGTTCTTTAGGATTAGTCCATTCTACACCATCCTTTGACTCCAATAGTGAGTTTTTCAAACAAAGAGGTGGGGAAATGATAACAATGAAAGCTGCCTACTGAAAGAGACCTCTTCCCCAACAGCTCCTCTAACAAACCTCTCTTTGTACTTGATCAATTTGTTTTTTGGCGTCAGCCAGTTTTTCTTTCAGATCTGCATACTCTTCATCCTTCCGCTGGATTTCCATTCGCAGATGGGAGGAGAGAGCAATACTCTCCGAGAGCTTGCTATTCAATCTGGAAAGAAATAGTGATATAATGGTACTAATTACTCAGTCCTTAGAATCTAATTTTGGCAAGTCAAGTTATTAAAATAGAAACACAGAAAAACAGATTTTTTTTGTCACTTATTGCTGTAGATTCCACAGATCAATTTTCCCTTTTCACTCAGCAGGTGTTGGCCCTCAGTGGAATTTGAATGTTGGTATGAGCTATGTTGCTATCATTGCCAGCTCTGAGATCTGGCAGAAATACACAAACTCATGTGGTCCATTTAAACAAGCAGTGTTGCTTTAACCATTATTTGAATGCGCTGTAATTCAGAAAAGAATGTATGCAGTATAGTTGGTTTTCAGAATGTACTTTGTGTGGTAGGATTCATGGTCACATACATGCTCACATACCATGTATGTAAGCAGACTTAGTAAGCAGACTTCTATGTGAATTGCAGTCTTTTCTGTCCAATTTGTCTCTGGAAGGGAACATTTCCAGAACCATTTCATATTTTGGAATAGCACATAACAGCATGTCCTTGGAGCCTGTTGTCATACACAGGTACTCATAGATTTGTTAGTACTATGCATCCCAGAAATACAGCTTTTGTTTGAATTATATGTTAGCACCAAAGAAATGGCAAAAGCTCTGACTCCTGTCTTACTAGACAATCTATTGCTTTGTTATCTTATGGGAATATACTCATGCAAATTGTTTATCCTGGATGGGCAACTTATGATCCTCCATATTCTTGGAATGCAACTCCTCTCATTTCTTACCATAAATTACTTTTAGCATGGATTTTGGGGAGATACAGTCTAACAACACCTGAAAGGCCAGCTCTAATATAAATCTATATAGAATAGAAGTTGTGTGAAAAACTGAGTATTTGTATTGTTCATCTTATGACTACATGCCTGTTTCCACAAAGCAACAGTGAAATACATACACCAATAGCCTAACCCTAAGCATGAGGTATTTTAAGATGAACAAAAACTTCAAGTGAAAAAGAATGTTTTGCACTCTTCACTATACACTTGCCACAGCAGCAAAAGAGGGGAGTTACAACATACCAATATACTGTAATATCAGTCACACCAACATCTGTTATAGAACTCCAATATGCTGATGATAAAATAGTCTGTGCAGATTCAGAAGAAGACCTACAAGCCACTCTAAACACCTTTGCAGAAGCATGCAATAAGCTCGGCCTCTCACTGAACATTGAGAAAACCAAAGTGCTCTTTCAGCAGGCATGAGCCAATCCCTCTACAATGCCAGGAATACAGCTTAATGGTGTAAAATTAGAAAATGTTGACAATTTCCACTATCCTGGCAGCCACCTCTCCACAAAAGTCAATATTGACACTGAAAAACAACACTGCCTGAGCTCTGCGAGTGAAGCATTTATCTGAATGAAGCAGAGAATGTTTGAGGATCAGGACATCCATAGGGATACCGAGGTGCTTGTTTATGAAGCTATTATCCTCCCAACCCTGTTATATGTCTGCGAAACGTGAACTGCCTACAGGCGTCACACTCAACTCCTGGAACGATTCCATCAGCATTGCCTCTGAAAAATCCTGCAAATCTCTTGGAAAGACAGGTGGACAAATGTCAGCATGTTGGATAAAACAAAGACCACCAGCATTGAAGCGATGCTCCTACACCATCAACTCCACTGGACTAGCCACGTTGTCCAAATGCCCAATCACCGTCTCCCAAAGCAATTACTATACTCCCAACTCAAGAATGGAAAACGTAATATTGGTGCACAGGAAAAGAGATTTAAATATGGGCTTAAAGCCAACCTTAAAAATGGTGGCATAGACACCAAGAACTGGGAAGCCCTTTCCTTTGAGCACTCTAACTGGAGGTCATCTATGACCAGCAGTACTGCAGAATTTGAAGAGGCATGAATGGAGGTCAAAAGGGAGAAACGTGCCAAGCCTGACCAGGACCGCCTTCCATCTGAAAACCAATGTCCTCACTGTGGAAGAACATACGGAACAAGAACAGGGCTCCACAGTCACCTATGTATCCACCACCAAGATGCTACACTTGAAAGGCCATCATATTCGAACAGTGAGGGATCGTCTAAGTAAGTAATATCAGTAGGATCAGTAGGATCAGGCAACTATTTGAAGATTATCTATAAAACCTGTTACTAACCAAAGAGATGCTTAGTATTGAGAAGTTCTAATATTAATATACAAAAAGCCAATGCCTAGCCACAAATGGATCAGTTTTCTATTGGCCACATACATCTTGCTTAGATCTGGAGAAGCCACGGCCCTTCCAGTAGTGCTGTATTTCATGTTTATTGTCAGCCATGGTCAATATGGATGATGGTGGGAAATGATGCGGGAAGCCATTCAATATATGGAGTATGACTAGTTTTACAACCAAATAAAATGATCAGAATGCAGTTTTGCAGAAGTCCACTGATTTCAACAGGCAGATTTGATTCCAATATATGAATGGTACCCCTGCTCATGAAGCACAAGTGCAATATACTGCTCTCCTACTTCAAGAACTATTTGAATCTTTAAAAAAGCATGCCTAATAAATAAAGTGCTTGAAATAATAGAAAAAAATGAACAGAATGGGAAACATGACCCTCTCCCCACCTTTAACAATTTGACATTAATTTAATTTGCATTATAGAACATCTTGCAATGAAATTTTAGAAAAGGACTTGGTACAGTCTGCAAGCAACTATTTTAATTGAATTCTTTGCTTTCTTTGTATTTGTTCAATTAAATCCCCCCCCCCTTCTCTCTTCAGAGCAACAAAAGAGCAGACATGTGGCATAGCAATTTACAAGAAAACCACAAGGGTGAGCCAATAGTTTGAAGAGATAATAGAGTTTGTCAAATGAAATTAAAAAGCAGTGGCTGGGTGGGAGATCATCCTACACAAGCTCTCCCCAGCTCCTTGGAAGAAGGGGGGAGATGTTAAGATAAACTGATCTCACCTCAGATTTTAGCATGTGGATGTGGAGAGAAAATAATGGTACTTACTGTTCAGTCATTTGCTTTGCTTCTTCCTTGTTCTTTTGCCGAGTCGTCCTTAGTTCCCGAAGGTCTGCTTTCAGATGTGATTCCTGATCATCTAAGTTTCTGATTTTAGATTCTGAAATATTAACTTTCTCCTGTAGGTCTTTTACCTCTTTTTCCATTGCAAAAATGACTGACTCTTTCTCTTTAAGTGTTTGTTCTAAACATGTTATCCTGGCCTCCTTTGCCTTATTGTCTTCCTCGAGCCCATCTTTCTCCTTAAAGTAGCCAAGTGCTTTTTTCTCCTCTTCTCTAAATTTTTCAGTATAATGACCATTTTCCTTTTCCAAATCCCTTAATTTCTCAAGCAGCTGCTCTTTTTCCTGCAAGGATGTGTGCAACTGGTTGGTCATCTCCGTCAACTCTGCCTTCAGCTCACGCTTCACATCTTCGGCATCCACCATCCGCCTCTGTAGTTGTTCCACCTGTTGGAGGAGATCTTCAATCTGATGGCTCTTTTGAGAAGAAGCATGAATGATCTGTTTGCTCACTTCCCAGATACTTTCAATGCTAGAGTGAAATGAGTTTCTTTGACTACAACTAACGTGGGTTTCCCTTTCTTCTTTTGGAAGCCCTACGATGCTTTTTGGACTTGCCAAGTCGATACTTGTGGCAAGGTGCTGGGAACCAACCTTTCTCAGCTCACCTATGTTTACCTCAACTGCTTTTGTCTTTGATTTCTGTTCTGCAATAGTTTGGTTCGCAGCCTCTATTTCTCCAAGTAGTTTCTCAATTTTCTCTCCTTGGGTCTTATTTGTATCTTTTAACACAACCAATTCTGACATTATCTTCTCACAATTAGCCTGCTGCTGCTGGAATTCCTTGCTCAGGTCTGAAGCTTTTTCTTCTGAAGTAGAAAGCTCCTGATATAAACTTGCTATCTTTTTAGAAAACTCCTCATTCCCATTTTTCTCTTTCTCTAACTCCTCTCTAAGTGTGATCAGCTCGTTTTCTAGCAGTTTGTTTTTTTCTTCCAATGCTATCATTTCTCCCCTTTCTTTCAGAGTATTGAGTTGCATGTATTCTGGTTTCTTTGTCTCTGTGGCGTCTTTAGCAGTGTTGTTAGTGAAGCCTATGAAAATTAAAACAAGATAGATACTTATTTATTATTTATTTATTTAGAAGTTTTATATACCGGTCTTCTCACCTCGAATGAGGGACTCAGGCCGGTTCACAGCATGTGTTCAAATACAATAATATACAAAAACAACACAGTGCATCATCATTATAGATTTAAAAAGTACAATAAAAACATAACCATCACATTACCCAAGCCAAATCGTCAATACAGTCACAGTCACAGTTCATCATCCTCCTTCCATGTGGACGAAGGTTATAGATTCAGTCCTCAAATGCCATGTTCCAAAGCCAGGTCTTTATTAGTTTCCTGAAGGTCAGGAGGGAGGGAACAGATCTAATCTCTAGTGGGAGGGAGTTCCAAAGCCGAGGAGCCACCACCGAGAAGGCCCTGTTCCTCGTCCCCACCAAACGCGATTGTGAAGGTGGTGGGACCGAGAGCAGGGCCCCTCCGGAAGATCTTAATAACCTTGATGGTTCATAGGGGAGAATCCGTTCRGACAGGTAAACTGGGCCGGTAAACTGAAACTATACATGTTTCTGGTTTGGGTCACTTATCACATCTTACAACTGAGTGGTTTACTCAGTTGTAAGATGTGATAAGTGACCCAAACCAGAAACATGTATAGTTTCATACTTTTAAAGGCCACTGACAATGTTTTATTAGAGACTCTGCCAGTATCCTTACACTGGAGATTGAGATTGAGACTGAGAGAGAGGGAAAGGGGGGGGTGCTTCTTACCCTACAGCAGTGGTTCTCAACCTGTGGGTCTCCAGGTGTTTTGGCCTACAACTCCCAGAAATCCCAGCTAGTTTACCATCTGTTAGGATTTCTGGGAGCTGAAGGCCAAAACATCTGGGGACCCACAGGTTGAGAACCACTGCCCTACAGCTATGCAACARCTTCCAGGTAGTGTTGAATCACATCCCAGTGATWAATAGTATGTGTTTSAACAGAGGCTGGAGCCATATGCTTGTAACAGCCAGCTTCCATTGAACTACTACAGAAAAGGAGATCCACCAGGGCTACTGGATACCTCTTAAACAGAGGCTGAGAAAATACAGTAAGACCCCCTACAACCATTTCCGGCCAAAATGCAGTTACATGAAACCTTGGATATGACCGAATATCATTAAATTACCCCACTTTGGGTCTCAGCATATCATAATATCATTGGAGGACCTAGAGTGCCAGGTCCTCCAACACAACTATATGGTAAATTCCAGGGGAAGTATACCATAGAATCACCTGAAAGACTTAGTAAAAGTCCTAGACCAGTGGTTCTCAACTTAGGGTTCCCAGATGTTTTTGGCCTACAACTCCCAGTAATACCAGTCAGGTTACCAGCTGTTAGGATTTCTGGGAGTTGAAGGCCAAAAACATCTGGGGACCCCAGGTTGAGAACCACTGTCCTAGACCCAATTTTCCCCAGGTAAGTGAAACTGCAGATATGGGTTCTGCAGTTACTGGGGTCTTATCGTACATATATTGTCATTACTGGAGGTGACACCATCATCAGTTACAAGGGCAATTTGTGCTCCTCTAGTGTTGATCTCAACTTCCATCAGCCTGAACTATCAGAGACCAAGAAAATAATGGGGCTTGCAGTCTGACAACTGGAAAGCTATATATTACCCGTCTATAATATCTACAAAGGTGAGAAATCACTGGGTAGGGTCCCAAGAAGCTTTAGCTGAACTATTCCAACTACTCATTCCCTCAAGATGCTACTTATGACTTAAAAATACCAAGCAGAGCAAATGGTGCTCCTTAGACATCGCAATGCTAGAGTTATTTGTATAAATATGTGAGAGGAAGCCACAGGGAGGAGGGAGCAAGCTTGTTTTCTGCTTCCTTGGAGACTAGGATGCGGAACAATGGCTTCAAACTACAAGAGAGGAGATTCCATCTGAACATTAGGAAGAACTTCCTGACTGTGAGAGCCATTCAGCAGTGGAACTCTCTGCCCGGAGTGTGGTGGAGGCTCCTTCTTTGGAAGCTTTTAAACAGAGGCTGGATGGCCATCTGTCAGGGGTGATTTGAATGCAATATTCCTGATTCTTGGCAGGGGGTTGGACTGGATGGCCCATGAGGTCTCTTCCAACTCTTTGATTCTATGATTCTATGATTTACCTTTTTTATCACTCTATGCTGAAGTTAGCCTTATTTTTGCCAGGCTGAGCTTCCCTTTTTCCAAGGGTAGCTAATATGCTCTTTTTTCCTCAAAGTCTTACATGCTAGACAATCAAAAGGGAAAATAGGGTGCAAAGCTTACAAGAAATCCTTGATTGATCTTATGCAACCTATCTGTATTTTTCCTGCTCTAAGTTGAAAGAGCGTTTTTGCAAAAAATTATTCTAGTTGCTTGAGACTGTAAATTGGACAAAATGTTTTCTTAACTTTGGGGTTTCATGTTTACAGTTATAATGACTGAACAACCCACCTTAAATGCTAACATTTCAGCTAGGCTGTCCCACAATAAAATATCGTATTTCATCTCATAATAGTCGCCATTGCATAATAGTTGCACCCCATTTTGGGGGAGGCAAAACTGAGTTTTGCCATTCCCCAGATAATAGTCGCACCCTTAGTTCACTCACCCAGGCAAGTGAACTAAGAGTGTGACTGCTGTTTTGGTGCTGTGGGGCTTGATTCAGTTGGGGAATTTGAATTTGAGGGTGCATCTATGCAGGCAGATGACACTCTACTAGCCTGCACAGCTGCCCCTTTGAAGATGCAGCCATGTGAGAGGGTAAAGCATCACCCACCGTGTGTGTGCTTCCTTTGAGGATGCAGCTACATCATCTGCCCGTGTGGTTCTGCCCTGAATTGCACTATTATGCAGTGAAAGGAGGCCATCAAATGAGGCTTGTTTTTACTGCCAAACAGTCGTTTCTCCAAAAAGTGGGATGTCGGAAGTGCAAATATTATGTGATGAAATATGGTAGTTTCAAAGGTGTTACAAATCAAGACAGCAGTTGTAGGTACATTGAGAGAAGCAGTTGTAGCAGGACCTCAAGGGGTTTCTTCAGCTGCCTGTTCTCAATGTGTCCTGTAACCAGGAGGATGCTACAGACTGGATTTCCCAGCATTTCAATCAGCAGTGCCTCAGGAATTATGCAATTGGTTGGTTGGTTGGTTGGCTGGTTGGTTGGTTGAAAAGGCAGAATTTGGGGCAGTCGTGTAGCTATGATTATAGAGTTACATCTGATAATGCAGGATCTCAGTTTCTACGCTTAAGATGAAGTTAGCAAAACAAACAGCAATTTATATAAGCAGAAAGTTTACTCATCTGGAAAACAGACTGATCGCAGAAGACACAGAGGGACAAAAACAATCTCCTGGACCTTATATGCTATAAAATAACTGTCTGCATTTTTCATATACTTCAGTATAATTTGTGTTTATTTGCCAGTGCTTGGTGAAAAGGATAACTGGTCAAAGGCCAGAACTGCAGGTTCTAAATTGATACAGCAGGATGTGTAAAATAGTTACATTTATAAATTTGATAAGATTGTAGAGAGAATTTGATGAGATATTTTCACTGCAGTTCCACAGTCAAATTTATGCTTACTCAGAATCCCCATTGTTCAGTGGGATGTATCCACTAGGAAGAGTATTTAAGTCTGGAGCCACAAGCAATATATGGCAGGATATACACCTGTTTGTTTCAACACTGAGCATTTGATACCCTACTATGGGATGTCAGTTTTACAGCATATGAGCATGTACATGTTTAGCTATATACTGCATATACGTTTATTGCATTTTACCTCAATTATTTCAGGGAGAGAAATAACTTTATTATTAGAATGTGTATGGTAACTCCATTAATTTCATAGGGTTTTCTTAAGCAAGTTATTCTCAGGGGTGGTTTTGCCCATTCCTTCTTCTGAGATATAGCTGATAGCACTTAGTCTTCCTTGGAGGTCTTCCATTCAAGTACTAACTAGAATGGATCCTGCCTAGCCTCAAGGTTCAGGTGAAATGTGGTGCCACTACGATATTTACTTTCCTTATTATAATTGGAATACATGTGCCATTAAATAAATACCACCATAGCAATATACGGAGTCCCCGGTGGCGCAGTGGGTTAAAGCACTGTGCCAACAGGACTGAAGACCGACAGGTCTTAGGTTCGAATCCGGGGAGAGGCAGATGAGCTCCCTCTATTAGCTCCAGCTCCTCATGCGGGGACATGAGAGAAGCCTCCCACAAGGATGATAAAAACATCAAAAATCATCCAGACATCCCCTGGGCAACGTCCTTGCAGACAGCCAATTCTCTCACAACAGGAGCGGTTGCTCCTGACACGACAATATATATATATATACATACACACACACACACATACACACACACACACACACACACACGTATATATATATATATATATATATATATATATATATATATATATATATGGATTACTTAAGCATATTACCTACTGAAGGACCTGGGAAAACATTCTCCGATGTAAAAGGTAAAAGTTTCCCCTGACATTAAATCTAATTGTGTTCGACCCTGGGGGGTGGTGCTCATCTCCATTTTAAAGCCGAGGAGCCAGTGTTGTCCGTAGACACCGTCAAGGTCATGTGGCCAGCATGATTGCATGGAGCGCCGTTACCTTTCTACAGAAGCAGTACCTATTGATCTACTCATACTTGTATGTTTTTTAACTGCTCGATTGGCAGAAGCTGGGCCTAACAGCGGGAGATCACCCCATTTTCAGGATTCGATCCGCCAACCTTTCGGTCAACAAGCTTAGCACGTCAGTGGTTTAACCCGCTGCACCACCCTAGATAGGCAGTTCAAATTCTGAGAAAAGTTTAAAAAATAAGTAGAATGTGTGGGATTTTGGTAATCAAAGTGCATTCTTACTATTAATTTATTATATAGCACCTTAAAAGATTCCATAAATACCTAAATACCCAATAGATGGCTTGTGTTTTAAGTAAAACAAATCCTCCTTCGGCCTCCTTGGGCTACTCAAGTGCCTTTCCAGAACATTTTCAGCTCTGTACCACAAAGTAGAGTAATAATTTAGCAATGCTCTCACAGTCAGGAAGTTCTTCCTAATGTTCAGATGGAATCTCCTTTCTTGTAGTTTGAAGCCATTGCTCTGCGTTCTAGTCTCCAGGGCAGCAGAAAACAAGCTCACTCCCTCCTCCCTATAAATATGTGAGAAGAAGTCATAGGGAGGAGGAAGCAAGCTTGTTTTCTGCTTCCCTGGAGACTAGAACGCGGAGCAATGGCTTCAAACTACAAGAAAGGAGATTCCATCTGAACATTAGGAAGAACTTCCTGACTGTGAGAGCTGTTCAGCAGCGGAACTCTCTGCCCCAGAGTGTGGTGGAGGCTCCTTCTTTGGAGGCTTTTAAACAGAGGCTGGATGGCCATCTGTTGGGGATGCTTTGAATGCGATTTTCCTGCTTCCTAGGAGGGGGTTGGACTGGATGGACCATGAGGTCTCTTCCAACTCTAGGATTCTATTATTTTTGTTACAAAACCTGTTTTTAACAACAAAAACAAACACAAACAGACCCTAAAATGGTAACTATGATTGGCTTAGCCGCAGTGTAAATGTAAAAATGCATTAACATAAGTAGTAATGCAGGAAAGGTCTTTTAAAAAAGGTTAATAAGCTCACATGGAGAAAAAGTGTTCTATGAACTCACACATCGGTGCATCAACCCTGTAGAATTAATGCAGTTTGACAATACTTAAACTACCATGACTCAATTCCATAGAATCCTGGGAATAGTATTTTTACAAATTATTTAGTGAAAGAGTGCTGGCAGTTTAAAGTGGTTTCGATTTGCATTAATTCTACAGTGTAAATATACTCATCTTTAAGAAAACACAACCTCTGCACTGGGTTAATGTACTAATAAGTAAAATACCCGACCTATGAAAAGCAGAAACACAAGCTGGAGATTTGAATCCAAGAGAAGTGTTCCATCAGTGTAAGGATGGATTTAAGTTAGAGTTAATTGTAAATAAAATATATGCACTAAATGAAATATTGCACATCACTGCAGTTTATTTCTTAGGGAGCCAGCATGGTGTGGTAGTTTTGAGTATTGAATAGACACAACTGGACAGAGACAGGCCCAAGCAAACTCATTAAACAGAAATTAATTTAACATTTATTCTGTGACACATACACATGCAATAGGCAGAGAAGAAATGATTTTCTATTAAAACATTTATTTTAGACTTTTAGAAGATAAAACAGTAAAGAGAACATGCAAAGCAAAGCTCCATGCTGAATTTTACAGCCATTATTCTTCTACTCAGCTATTAATTCATGCTGCCACTATTCTGATACATAAGCAACCTTTGAATTCTGGAGTCGTTGTGCACATCCAGAACAGGAAAGGATACCTTGCTTTGCAGGTCGACTATCTTCATCATCATTACTTTCCATACACCGTTTCCGTCCAGTACCCACATACTTCTTCAGGGATTCTGCAGAATGGGTACGGCTTCGTTTGTCAGGATTGTCATGTCCTATTTCTTGTTTTATAGCTGCAACTGTGTTCTCCTATATTAAAGAAAGATAATTATATGAAAAACAGCAGCACAAACTGGGGATTTTAACCTAAGAGAGGTTTTCCATCAGTGCAAAAATGAAATTTGAGCAAATCTATATGAATAAAAATGTAATGTTCGTTTGTAGGATTAACATAACTCAAAAACCACTGGACGAATTAACACCAAATTTGGACACAATACTATCAGGCCAACAAGTGACCATCACTCATAAAAACTCTGAAAATAACAGTGGAAGAGACTTAAAAAGCCAAAAAATAAAAAATACATTACAACGCATGCGCAAAGCCACCTATATACAAAAATACACATACATACACACAGAAAATACATATACACAGACTGGTCCACAGCAACACGTGGCAGGGGATGGCTAGTTATAAATATAATTATTAAGGTGATGTATAAATGAGAAATCCTTGACCTGTTTCAAGAAAGTTGCTAAAAACACAGCTATGCACTCTGCCATATAGAGAAGAGGAAGACTTAATACGCCCCGACATATATCACCGTTGAGATACATTAAATTCTATCTATCTATTGACCTCAGCCTATTAGTTGTTGGAAACCATCCTATCACTTCATCCAGGTCCAGTTGTTTTAAGTTTTTTGTTTTGTACTAGCCGTCCCCTTGCTGTGGCCCACATGGGGGTCCTGTGTGGGAGGTTTAGCCCAATTCTATCGTTGGTGGGGTTCAGAATGCTCTATAATTGTACGTGAACTATAAATCACAGCAACTGCAAATGTCAAATGTCAAGATTCCATTTTCCTCAAACTCCACCAGTGTTCATATTTGGGCATATTGAGTATTCATGTAGAGTTTGGTCCAGATCCATCATTGTTTGTGTCCACAGTGCTCTCTGGATGTAGGTGAACTACAACTCCAAAACCAAAGGACACTGCTCACCAAACCCTTCCAGTATTTTCTGTTGGGCATGAGAGTTCTGTGTGCCAAGTTTGGCTCGATTCCATCATTGGTGGAGTTCAGAATGCTCTTTGATTGTAGGTGAACTATAAATCCCAGCAACTACAACTCCCAAATGACAAAATCTTTTTTTTTTAACTGAAGGGCATACATTGTATTGTTAGGTGTCTTGTGTCCAAATTTGGTTTCAATTTGTCCAGTGGTTTTTGAGTTCTGTTAATCCCACAAACGAACATTACATTTTTATTTATATAGACTAGCTGTACTCGCCACACATTGCTGTGGCCAATCTACCCTACCTCTTTCTCTCCTTCCTTCCCACCCTCTTTCCTTTATTCCCTTTTTCTTTCCCTTCCACTTTCCCTTCTTCTTTCATCCTTCTCTACCTGTTTCTTTGCTCTCTTTCTTTGCTCTTTGGTTCCATCCTTCCTTGTCTCTTTCCTTCCTTCCTTCCTTCCCACTTTCTCTTTCGTACCTTATCTCCTTCCTTCCCCCTCTCTTTCCTTCCTTCTTTAATTTTTTATTTTCTTCTCTTTCTTCCTTTTCAACATTTCTTTCCTTCCTTCCTTCCTTCCCTCCTTCTTTCCCACTTTCTCTTCTTCCTTCCCCCTTTCTGTGTATATGTGTGTATATATTTCTGTATGTGTGTATATATGTGTGTTTGCATGTATATGTGTGGTTTTATGCATGCTTTGTTGTGTATTTTTTGTTTTTTGGCTTTTTAAGTCTCTTCTGTGTTTTTCAGTGTTTTTATGAGAGATGGTCACTCGTTGGCCTGATAGGTGTATTGTGTCCAAATTTGGTGCCAATTCATCCAGTGGTTTTTTAGTTCTGTTAATCCCACAAACGAACATTACATTTTTATTTATATAGATGATCACTCGTTGGCCTGATAGTATTGTGCCCAAATTTGGTATCAATTCGTCCAGTGGTTTTTGCGTTATGTTAATCCCACATTTATATAGATACTGTTGTTCTTATGTGCCTTCAGATCATTTCCAATTTATGGTGACCCCCAAAGATTTCATGGCAGAATTTGAGGCTCGGAGGGTGAGATTCCATGGACAAGTAGGGATTCAAACCCTGGTCTCCAGAATTGTAATATATTTTTCGAACCACTACACCCTACTGGCTCTCATTTATACCCATAACTGTTGTTGTTATCTTATTCTACACCTTCACAATAGAAGGAGCCAATCACTTCACATCATTGAAATTAACTTACAACATTTTTTTGTGAAGAAAGCTTTCTGGCAAAAGGTTGGGTGTGCTTTTTCAACAGCAACCACCATAAGCTCACCCTGCCCCCAGCCAATATTTTCATTCAATCTTAAGGGATTGGTTATGACTTAAATTGCTCTTAGCAGTTAAAACATACATCCTTGGCATCCTGCCCCAAAATTATCAAGTTACACATACTTAATGCTGCCTTTTGACATTGTAGCTTGGTTCAAGTCAGATTAAATTATAGAGCTGGAATCCAGAGAGGTTTGTCGACACACATTAAGTGCTTCTGCCCACATCTCCCACTGCGCTGTTCATATTAGCTTGGACATATAGTCCCACAGGGATCTTTTTGTTTCCTACAATAAAAATGCTTCTGTTGGTCCTCAGAGGACATTCAGGCATATGAGGACAATTCTTTGCAGCATAGTTGTGGTCTGTATGTACACATCCTAAGTCTCTGAGAGACAGCAATTGATCACTCCAGATTTAAGCCTAGGCTCCAAGCCTGAATTTGTATACAGACAGAAAAAGAGGATAAGTGGGGTATTGTGGTTTCTGAGCTGTATGGCCGTGTTCTAGCAGCATTTCTCCTGACTCGTCTGCATCTGTGTCTGGCATCTTCAGAGGTGGGAAGATAAAAGGGTACCCCATGAAGATATGCTGGCAAAATATCAGAGACGTTTATGATAGCAGGTTCCTCGGCATGGAAAATGGAACAGGAGTGTCTCCCCATGGCCGGAGTTGAGCATTGTCTCAAGATGCCAGAGATGGAAAAAAGGGAAGGTATCATTATCTATGTATTGTATGTCTGTTTGTTGTGTAAAATTTATTATTTATTTAAAACTTTTGTATCCCGATCTTCTCTACCTCCGTAGAGGGACTCAGACCAGCTAACAGCAAGGATTCAATGCTAACAATACAATCTAAAACATCGTACATCAACAATAAATTAAAATACATATAGACTAAAATACATAAAAGCCAGTTCGTCAAGATAAAATCATGTCCAACTCAGTCCGCATATGTGGTCGATAACTTTAGTCAATTGCCAGTCTCCGCCATCATTCTGGGAATGCCTCGTTCCATAGCCAGGATTTCACTAGCTTCATGAAGGTCAAGAGGGAGGGGGCAGATCTGATCTCAATCGGGAGAGAGTTTGATAGCCAGGGGGCCACCACTGAAAAGGCCCTGTCTCTCGTTCCCACCAGACACGATTGCGAGGGTGGTGGGACTGAGAGCAGGGCCCCTCCAAAAGATCTTAACAGCCTTGATGGTTCATAGGGGAGAATACGTTTGGACAGGTAAAAGCATTTTATGTTTACCTATATGTGTACTGTAACCTGCTCTGAGTATCTCTGGGAAGACAAAGCAGAATATATAGTGTATTAATTTACTTAATTTTACTTTATTTTATTTATCTGGAAATGCTGCTAGCACACTGCCACACAGCCTGGAAACCCCAGTGATTCTGGTCGTGAAAGCCTTTGGCAATACAAAGAGGATAAGCATATGTGTGTAAGTGAATGCACGTGTTTACACACATACAGAGATGCATACACACACACCTATAAACACACAGACACACAGCCTATGCCTAAAATGTACTATTGCCATCATATATTAGCAAAGTGTAGAAAATAGTAAACTATTCATTTGTCTGCCCTACTATTGAGTGACTGGAGACACATGCCAGTGCTTGGTAATGGCTTTTCTAGGCATTGTGAAGACACATTATTTCTATCAAAGTAGTATAAACAGAATTTTACTCAATTTACATGATCATCTTCTTCTTCTTCATTTATATCCTGCCACCATCTCCCCAAAGGGGCTCAAGGCAGCCCAAAGAAAAACCCCAAGTGCTGAACATAAAATAAACAATACATATGCATATAAGCGATGACAATATAAATTTACAACAGTGAATATACATAAAACATCACATAATAATTTTTTAAAAAATTCATAAAACGCAGCAGTCTCTGCAAATAAAACTTGCTGTCTTAAATTAACAATCTAAGGCCTGTCTAAAAAGCTATGTCTTTAGACTAGACTGAAAAGCTTGGAGAGTGGGGCTAACCTAATCTCTCTAGGGAGGACATTCCAGAGTTGGGGAACCACCACCGAGAAGGTCCTATTTCTCATCCCTACCAATTGTACTTGGGACAGTGGTGGGACTGAGAGGAGGGCCTCCCCAGCATCAATGTTGCATCCATTAGGTAGAAAACACTAACTTCCAGTTGAGAACAGAATTCTAATGAACTATTTACTGTTGGTTGTTGCAGCTGAAGCTTTCAAGAAAATGAAAAACAAAACAACTTTCAGAAGTGTGATCCTGATTTTTCTGAAGAGTATCCCATTGTTCTTTAACCACACCCAAACCTATCTTACTCTAGCAATGTTGCTGCATCATGCTCATTCAGACTGTGTCCTGGGGCCAAAATAAATATTAACTGTGCCAAAAAGCAACAAAGCAACTCTTACGTTTTCTATATTTTTCTGTTCTGTCACAAGTGGCACATTTTAAGTTTGGAATCTGAGAACCACAAACCTACTTTATGCCATGCCTAAACAATGTTATTTCTACCTCTAAAACAGGGGTTCTCAACCTTCCTAATGCCGTGACCCCTTAATACAGTTCCTCATGTTGTGGTGACCCCCCTTACCATAATATTATTTTTATTGCTACTTGAAAACTATAGTTTTGCTAATGTTATGAATTGTAACGTAAATAACTGATATGCAGACTGTACTTTCATTCACTAGACCAAATTTGGCACAAATACCCAATACGCCTAAATTGGTGGGGTGAGGGGGGGGGGTTGATTTTGTCATTTGGGATTTGTAGTTGCTGGGATTTATAAATTGGTGGGGTGAGGGGGGGGGGTTGATTTTGTCATTGCTGGGATTTATAGTTAACATACAATCAGAGCATTCTGAACTCCACCAGTGATGGAACTAAACCACACTTGGCACACAGAACTCCCATGACCAACAGAAAATACTGGGTTTGGTGGGCATTGACCTTGAGTTTGGGAGTTGTAGTTCACCTACATCCAGAGAGAACTGTGGACTCAAACAATGATGGATCTGGACCAAACTTGGCATGAATGCTCAATATTCTGCCCAAATGTGAACATTGGTGGAGTTTGGGGAAAATAGACGTTGACATTTGGGAGTTGTAGTTGCTGGGATTTATAGTTCACCTACAATTATAGAGCATTCTGAACCCCACCAATGATAGAAGTGGGCCAAACTTCCCACACAGAAACCTTATGAACAACAGTAAATACTGTTCTCAGATGGTCTTTGCCGACCCCTGTGACACTCCCGACCCCCAGGTTGAGAAACACTGCTCTAAAACAAGAGAAAACATAATTTACCTAGCAGGCCCCATTTGCCTTAACAATAAACTGAAAAAGTCTTTGTCAATTTTTTTTAGTTCTGGGAGCCATGAAAACTTCATTTTAAAAACCCCCCTCTATATGGCCCATCTAACACCTCTATTAACTGTATGGCTTTTGGATCCCTGCCTAACACTTGATTCAGTCTTTGTGACTGCATCCCCCCTATGAACCAACGCGAGCTTTAAAATCTGCTGGGGAGGTCCTCCTCTTGGTCCCACCACTGTCACAAGCATGGTTGGTGGGGACGAGAGAGAGGGTTTTCTTGGTGATGGGCCCACAAATTTGGAACTTCCTCCCCAGGGTGATTAGACACTATCCTCCTTTTATAGGGACTTGAAGACATGGCTCTTCAGTCAAGCCTTTGAGGATATTTAGCCCCTAGTTGTCCTGTATAGTAGTCGCACATCCTGCACTTAATCCCATGCCCTCTCTCAATTACTGCAGCTGGCACTTATTTTATTCCTAATATTTATAGCCCGGCCATAATTATAGTAATTTACTGCCACTGTTAGAGGATCGTAGCTTGATTGAGTCTGAATTGTTTTTATATGTGCATGTGTTTCATTTTAATGTATTTTATATTTGGCTCACTTTTATGTTTTTTAGGCACTTTGTGCCATCTGTAAGCCAACCCAAGTCCCTTCGGGGAGATGGTGGCTGGATATAACAATAAAGTTGTTATTTGGGCAGAACTATTGACACAACTGAAATGTTTGAGAATAAGAACTGGAAAATTAAACACTTACAGAGACTTCTATCACAGCTTCCAATTCCTTCACCAGAGTTTTCAGCCTCCTAATTTCATCATCCTTTTGCTCCACGATCTGATTTAACTCTTGTATGCCTTTGTTCTGTTGAGCCATTTTCTTTAAAAAAAAAAAGCCAAGAAGTTCAAGCTTAGAGAAGCCAGAAGATTTGTAAGTGGTTGTTGACAAATCCAAAATCATTTCAAACTGATATTTCTTGGTTTCACAGACTATAGTTTACTAAACTGAGAAAGGCTGTCATGGGCCAAGATTCAACAAAACAGTAAAGCGTAGTAAATAAGTTAAAAACATATTTACCTCAACAGCATCATGAAGAATTTTAGTAGATTCACTCAGTTTGTCATCTTTCATTGTCTCTGCTATAATGTAAGAGTTTTTAACAATATTAAATGACAAAAATACAAGAATTTCTCAGTTTTTTTAAATCAATGCATCGAACAGGGCAACTATCTCAGTTGTACTACTTCTGTTAATGGTTTCTATTCAGAGTATAACCTCTTAAAGAGGACTAAAATCTATTGGCTCAAGTATGGGAAAAGATTGCCTTTTAGGCTACACACATCTTATACTACACTCACTTCCTCCATCCTGACATGATTCCAACGCTGCTTCCATTATTCGTATTTAGAGTTGCCCAAAGTCCTCCTCCCCACACAATTACTTGGAATTAAATGTAGGCCTTTTCCCTAAAATCTAGGCCAACATTTTATAGCGAGACCCATGAAGAACAATGCCCTGTCTCCTCTCTCCATGCATGCACGACTCAATGCCATACTGCCAGGGGCCTCTGATGTGATCAAGTGGTGGCCAGAAGGAGAAAATGGTCAACAAATAAAGATCTGGCTATGTTTCAAGAGAGGGTCCATAATAAAGAAGTCATCCTCTAAAATAATAATAATAATAATAATAATAATAATAATAATAATAATACTTTATTTATACCCCACTACCATCTCCCGAAGGGACTCGGTGCAGTTTACATGAGGCCAAACCCACAGTACATAATAACAAAAGCAATAACGAAAACAATCAATACAACACAATTAATATAAATCACAAACAATAAACAATAACACACAAGCATTTAAAAACCTATTGCCAGGCCAAATATAATAGATTATTTTTTTAAAAAAATAACGCTGGGCATGAACAAGGTAGGATATGACTGGTATAGGGCTTCCAAGGAGAGATGAGGGAACGCAGTCAGTCCTAAATCAGTGGTAAAGTGCATTTAGAGGGCATATTACTGAGAGTTTTCCTTATTCTGGGAAGGCACACTGGAACAACCACGTTTTCAGGCTCCTCCTAAAGACTGCCAGAGTTGGGGCATGTCTAATGTCCTTGGGGAGCAAGTTCCAGAGTTGGGGGGCCACCACCGGGAAGGCTCTCTCCCTCGTCCCCACCAATCACGCCTATGAAGGAGGTGGGAGCGCAAGAAGGGCCTCTCCAGATGATCGAAGAGATCATGTGGGTTCGTACACAGAAATGCGGTCACGCAGGTAGGCGGGTCCCAAACTGTTCAGGGCTTTGTAGGTAAGAACGTGCACCTTGAATTGGGACCGGAAAATGCACAGCAGCCAGTGGAGCAACAGGAGGGTTGACCACTCTCTGTAAGTCGCACCAGTTAGTAACCTGGCTGCCGCCTGTTGTACCAATTGAAATTTCCAGGCCAGCCCCAAGGGCAGCCCCACGTGGAGTGCATTACAGTAATATAATTTGGAGGTGACTGAGGCATGGACCACCCTGGCCAGATCCAACTTCACGAGGTACGGTCGCAGTTGGCGCACGAGTCTTAATTGTGCAAAGGCCCTCCCGGCCACCGCCGACGCCTGAGCTTCAAACGTAAGTGATGAGTCCAGGAGGACACCCAGACTGTGGACCTGTGACTTCAGGGGGAGTGCAACCCCGTCCAGCACAGGTTGCCACCCTATACCCCGATCCGGCTTGCGATCGACCAGGAGTACCTCTGTCTTGTCAGGATTGATCCTCAGCTTGTTCCTCCTCATCCAGACAGCCACAGCGGCCAGGCACTCGTCCAGCACCTGAGGGGCTTCCTTGGAGTTAGGTAGAAAAGAGTAGTAGAGCTGGCACCCAACTCCAAAACTCCAGATGACCTCTCCCAGCGGTTTCATGTACATGTTGAAAAGCATGGGGGACAGAATGGAACCTTGCGGGACCCCACAGGTCAAAGGCCAGGGGTCCGAGCAGGTGTCTCCAGCTTCACCATCTGGGAATGACCCTCCAGGAAGGACCGGAGCCACGGCAGAGCCGTGCCCCCAAGACCCATCCCGGAGAGCCGTCCCAGAAGGATACCATGGTCGATGGTATTGAAAGCCGCTGAGATGTCCAAGAGAACCAGCAGGGTCACACTCCCCCTGTCCAGCTCCCTGCGGAGATCATCCACCAAGGCGACAAAAGCCGTCTCAGTACCATGACCAGGCCTAAAGCCAGACTGTGACTGGTCCAGGTAATCGATGTCATCTAGGAATCCCTCGATTCCTTCTGAACTTCTCCTGAAAAACCTCTAGAGATCCTGATGACATCATAACTGAACACCCAGGTATTAGAATGTATCTGAACACCTCTCAGCTGTCCTGCATTTAGACATGGTCACTTAGTCATCATATCAAAGGAGAGTCTCAACAGGAGTAATGTGAGCTCAGTGGTTAAAGATACATTTTGCAAGAGAGGTGCTAAATTATTTCCTCTGCAATGACATAAAAATACATATGTATGCATAATTTGAATTTATGCCAGTACATGACACTACCCAGTTGCCAGGCTGTGGTTCTTCTCTCTGTGCTCACCTTGATTCCTGCGCAAAAGTTCGTCTCGTGTGCGAGACAGCTCAGCTGTAACTTCAGCCAATTGTTTTTCAAGCCGTTCAATCGTTATTTGAGGTTCTTCCAAGTCTTGAATTGCTCTGTACGCAATGGCCGCCTGATTCTTAATATCAGAGACATTATCTTGCAAAGAATCCACCATACAAGCAAGATTAGAAGCATCTACCAACTCTGCAGTTTCATCTCCCTTAGTGCAAGAAAGAGAAAATAAAAGGCTGACATGAAGAGCAGTTCATACAGATCTGTAGGATATGACACCTCAGTCACAACAGAAGGCAACTAGTGTCTTTCCATAGAATATGTCGACATGTCTGGGGACATGGGTTAGAATGTCCTATATATAGATAGATCTGTTTATTGATTAGTCCACTGACCATATCGACAATAAAAGACAAAAACAATTATATACAGACAAACAAATGCTAATCACTATCCTAAAACTCCTATAATGGTTAACTAAAATAAATTAAAACACAATAAAACTTGATGAAATAATATACTTGGTACAACTGGATTAAATTGAAGATGGAAGTAGGGGGAAAGTGTATATAATCCCTTTTCCTTGAAACATATACATTTACCCAATTTTCCATGTCTAAACATATTTTTCTTTCAGTATTATAACTTTGTTTGCTTTCTGACCTCATCACAGTTCAACAGTAGTTGGAAGGCCACATAGTCTCCACTTTTTGCATTTGCAATAAAGTACAGTGTAACATTTACCTGTGTTACGTCCAGAACAGTAGTTTCGGTCTCTGGAACATTTTCTGCTTCTTCTCCTTCATTTGCCAGTTGTGTACATTTGTTCACCAGATTCTTGTAAATCTGCATGCGCTCCTCACGGTTCTCCACCATTTCTTGACTATGATTTAGAAACAACCAAAATATAATAGTGGGAGAAATAAGCCGTATGCCCGGTATTTATCCTGACCAAAAATTCCACTGACATTTTAAAAGACTTTGCTTGAACTTTACACACTGTATGCAAAAGGTTTACATTATATCAGGAATTTGTTTCTAATGCATATGACACTGAAGAAGTATGGGGAATTAGATGAGAATCAGGAAAACCCTGCACTCCAACTAAAAACAGCATATCCCACTGCACTCATTCTCATTTGTGTGCTAGGAGGTCTAAATTGGTTCACAATGTTCTTTCCTTTAGTGTCCAATATGGAAAGGACATAAGAGAAAACTATTGTCTGAAAGGGTCTTAAGCTCCACAACTCATAAATAATAAACGAAGTAATTTTAACGTATGTTATACTGTATGTTTGTCAAATGTTTTTGATACGGCCAATGGGCTAATCAATAAAATGTATTATCATTATTATTATTATCATCATAAACTAATTACAGTATAAAAAGTACGACTCCCTTATCCATGGATTTCACATCCAGTTTCATTTTTATTATTATTATTATTATCATCATCATCATCATCAACTAAATACAGTATAAAAAGTTCGACTCCCTTATCCATGGATTTCATATCTAGTTTCACTTTTATTATTATTATTATTACCATTATTATTATTATCATCATCATCAACTAAATACAGTATAAAAAGTTCGACTCCCTTATCCATGGATTTCATATCTAGTTTCACTTACCGGTTGGCAATAGCAACCTTCCAAGCCTTCACTATTTGTTTGTTAATATATATATTTGCTAACCTGTATTGTATGCATATACTGATATGCCAGTTTGGCTGACCTCTTTGGTATGGGAGGGGCTAAAGACATGTGATTGTACTGAGCATGTTCAGACTCAAAACTCCACTTTGTTATCTATCAGTATGCTTTTGGATTTCAATGTCAGCAGTTCTCTTTAGACCTCAGTGGAGGTGGATGCAGTATGCTTTTGGACCAGTAGAAGATGTCATTTGGACTTATGCAGGAACAATTTACTATATGTTTGCTTTGAGAAGCAGTGAGTACAATTATAGTTTGGACTTTGATAAGATGTATGCTTAAAGACTTTGGACTATTGATTAAGAATGGTGCCCTGTGTTCTCAAGAAACTACACCTTATCTATAAATGTGCCTGTATGGTGAATTAATACAATAACTGTATTTGGGAGTAAACAAGATGTTACTTTTTAAAGACTTTGTTTTTTGTGTCTCTGAGTGCATTTTTTAAACAAGTTTTAAAGGAGCGTATATGTTTTGGACAACTGAAATTGCATTTTCAACTTAAACTTTAAAGACACATTTTCAAAACTCTGCTAGCTAAGTGTGTGTGTATATATATATATATATAGAGAGAGAGAGAGAGAGAGAATGAACGAACGAACGCACGCGGTGGCATGTATTTGTCCCTGGCAGTTCAAAAATATGGTTTATCAGTTTAATTTATTTATTATTTATTTCAGGCATTTCTATCCCGTCCTTCTCACCTCCGAAGGACTCGGGACAGCTTACAGCAGGCAGTCATTCGATGCCAAAAAACAACACATTAAAACACACAGTTACAATTAACACATTTAAAACAATTATAAGCATTCAATTAAAAAAAGTTCACCGGTTCAAAAAATCATCCAAACCAGTGAATGCTTGTGAACATCACTTTTTCAAAAGGTTTACTTCTAACAAGGTCCTATCTTTCCTTGACTAGTGGTTTTCAAAAGGTTGTCTCCAGATGTTCATGGAGATTTGCATTTGGCAAAAAGATATGACATTTTTTCCTTTTCGAAAAGGTTATGAATGCCCTTTTTCAAAAATTACTCATAGTTTAAAAAATATCCCCCTATCCAGAAGTGTTTGTGGGTCTCTCTAGGTCAGTGGTTCTCAGCCTTCCTAATGCCGTGACCCCTTAGTATAGTTCCTCATGTTATGGTGACCCCCAAACATAAATTATTTTCGTTGCTACTTCATAACTGTAATTTTGCTACTGTTATGAATCGTAAATATACGATATGAAGGATGTGTTTTCATGCACCGGACCAAATTCGGCACAAATATCCGATATGCCCAAATTTGAATACTGGTGGGGTTGGGGGGATTGGTTTTGTCATTTGGGAGTTGTAGTTGCTGGGATTTATAGTTAACCTACAATTAAAGAGCATTCTGAACTCCACCAACGATGAAATTGAACCAAACTTGGGACACAGAACTCCCATGATCAACAGAAAATACTGGAAGGGTTTGGTGGGCATTGACCTTCGCGGGAAGGTTTTGGAACAGATATAGTGCTTCTATTGTATTGAGATCTCACGCAAGCCATCCCTTGATCGCTTTCTGGAGTTCATATTCAAAACACATAATATAAAGATTGGCAACTGTTTGGGCCAAAGAAGGCTGCAGGCAGTATGGTAGTAAATTTCAGCTGTGAGCCCAGTAATAACTGGCCATGGGCTCATTGGTATAGGCAGTCTGGCCCCCACTTTTGAATAGTTAGAAAGGAGATGGCATATTTCCCCATTACTATCAGAACAAGGAAACTGCTATTAGTTTTACCAAGAAAAGCAGTATGGAAGCTTCTTCATCAAAGCAGGATGAAGAGGGCCACATGTTTTCTCCCCTGTTCTCAATTAAGGAAGGCAACCATGTTTGAAATTTATTGTAATTTTAGAGTAAAAATTAGTTTCTTGAGTGTCAGAAGGCCCTGAGAAGGAGACTAGATGGAAAAGAATGAATTTGGGGCTCATTTGAGCCTTCGGGTTTGGAACTGATGCTCAAATCCACAAGGGGTTCCCCAAAAGAGTCCTTCTCCCATATAATTTCACAAACAAAACTTCACCTTCAAGAGAAATGTTTCCCCCTTTTGAAACAAGTCATGTACCCATTAAATGGTTTGTTCACAAGCAAATTGCCCAGAAACCTGTTAAAGGCTTCCCCCTAAACTAGAAACCCCAGAATTCTACAGGAGACAGCAACCAGATTTAAAGTGGATTCATTCTCTGGTGTGATGAGGTTTTATGGAAAATAGATAGAAAATAATATTTGCCGTTTGTGACTCATTTTGCACACACACCCCCCAAAAAACCCCCAATTTTTCTCCTTTCTGTCAGGATTATTTGATTATGCATGTGTGTTTTTCAATGTGTTTCTATGTAATTCAAGATGGATTAAGATGTATTTCAAGATGGATTCTATTCTGCTCTTTTGTGTATTAAGAAAACATAGTGCTGAGGCAGAGAAAATGTAACCTTGACAGAAATGAGATAACGTGTTCTCTGGCTGGGAAAAAGAGGGAGGATCTGGTCTCAGCCAGAAGTCAGATAAGCAGATGTTCAGAGACTGTTGTTTGCACCTAGTAGTTCCTGTTAGGGCTGGGCGGTTTCGTTATTTCGTAATTCGTTAAAAATTCGTTTTTTTATAACGAAGCGATATTGAACCATTCAGGAGCAACTAAAAAACGAAACAAATTTTTCCAATTCGTTTCGTAATTGTTTCGTAATTGTTTCGTTATTGATTCGTTATTATTTCCGCATGTCTGGTGCAAGTTTTAGGGTTGCTGTTTGTTTTCTCAGTGAAAAAAAATATAATTATCACACCAACAGTCAACAACAGAGGGAGAGGGAAGCTTCAGAAGTTTTTTTAGCGTATTGCGCGATCGCGGCCGCCATTAACGAATCGATTCATAATCGATTCGTAATTGTTTCGTAATTGTTTTATGATTTCCGAAATTTCGTAAATATCAAACTTTTTTTAAGGAAAATTTCGGAATTCTTTTAAATAACGAAACGCAAAAAACCCCTAAAAACGAATCGAGTTTAGAAACAAATTTTTCCGTGTTTGCACAGCCCTAGTTCCTGTCTGTTGCTTGCTGTGAATGGACGTGTGTAGATGTACTTAGTAAACTTAGTTTTCTGTTGTAACTAAAAGCTTGCAGAGTCCTGATTTCTGAAACACAGTGTCTGCTGATCTAGCAATCCTTCCGCTGGCAAAGTTTCAATACTCTGACATTTTCTGCACAGAAAAAAATATTTTCTACATGCCAATAGTGCCATTCTTTATGCAAATACCCAAAGTTGGATTTTGTTTTGTGGTAAAATTAATTCCCAAAATGCCAATAACCCTTGAAAAGCTGCCCAATTTTTGAGGACTGTATCACAGAGGGGTAGGAAATATTCCAAGAAGTATGACATTTGCAAAGTGGCAGTCCTGTTTGACCTGCATGTGCAGATCATCATGATGGTCACTGTCCTAGAAGCAGAAAATCAGTGTTTCCGACAGATCAGCAAAAGTGGATCAAGTGGGCTCCAGGAAACATGTCCAGCATCCCTCAGTGGTTCTCAGGCGACACAGACTGTGCCCAAAGGCTGTATGCAGCTGGAAAATCAGCCAAGTAATATGCCACACAATTTAGGTTTTCCCTTATGCTCTCAGCCTAGAATTTGCAGACTGCTTTTTGGTGGGTAGGATTCAGTTTGGATGCATGCCAACCTTTGCGTTAAAAAAAGTTTTCTGTATTACTCTAGAAACATAAGAAGAGCAAACTTACTTGCGATTATTCTCTTTTGCAGCATAGTACCGAGTAAACTCCTCCATAACTTCTCCCCGAATTTTTATCTCCAAGAGTAGCTTATTTTTTCCTTCTTCAATCAACTTGTTTTTTAGTTTCTCTATTATACTGAGTAGCCCCTAAGCATGAGCACAAAGAGCAGAATCAGTATAGGAAAAACATTATTTGGTATTTGTTTCTATAGGATATTTGTTAAGCTTGTGAACTTGTATTGGATAAGAAGCCCCAAAGCCTACTACCACCAAAGAAGAAACGAAAATACTTTTAATGACTAAGATGACTCTCCTTTGCAACAATAAGAAAGGGATTTATACAGAGAGAACAGGTCAAACTGCTTTATTAAGTTCAAAATGCAAGTAGCCTGGACCCTTCTCATATCTAGCATTCATTTTATATCAAACCTCAATGCCTTAAAACAGAAGTGTCAAACTTGTGACCCTCCAGATGTTTGGTCCTCCAACTCCCAGAAACCCTGGCCAGCTTGTCCAATTGCCAGGAATTCTGGGAGCTGATGTCTAAAATACCTGGAGGGCCACTGCCCTAGAGGATATGGGGGGCATTTTTAGATTATAAATTGACCATAGGCATAAGAATGGGGTCTCAACCTCCTAATGCCGTGACCCCTTAATACAGTTCCTCATATTGTGGTGACCCCCAAACATAAAATTATTTTTATTGCTATTTCTTAACTGTAATTTTGCCAGTTATGAATCATAATGTAAATATCTGATATGCAGGATATATTTTCATTCACTGGACCAAATTTGGCACAAATGCCACCATTTGAATACTGGTGATGTTGAGAGGGGGGATTTATTTTGTTATTTTAGAGTTGTAGTTGCTGGGATTTATAGTTAACCTACAATCAAAGCGCATTCTGAACTCCACCAATGATGAAATTGAACCAAACTTGACGTACAGAACTCCCATGACCAACAGAGAATAATGGAAGGATTTGGTGGGCATTGACCTTGAGTTTTGGAGTTCACCTACATCCAGAGAGCACTGTGGACTCAAACAATGATAGATCTGGACCAAACTTGGCACGAATACTCAATATGCCCAGTGGAATTTGGGAGAGATAGGCCTTGACATTTGCAAGTTGTAGTTGCTGGGATTTATAGTTCACCTACAATCAAAGAGCACTCTCAACCCCACCAATTTGCTGGTGTGAGCCTTCCTTCAGCTTTGCACACTCTCCCTCACCTGTACACGCGCACCACACTGCCATGTGCCAAGCACAACTGCTCTCAGAAACAGCCCTCCCTTTGGCTGAGAGGCCAGCCAATCACAGTGGAGGTGGGCTTTCGGTGGGAGGATTCGCTGTCTGTTTTCAAAAAGGAAGAGGACAAGCAGAGAGATCTTCAGCCTTCTCTGCCAAAGGGGTTCCTAAGACCATCAAAATACATTTTCCAATGGTCTTTGGCAACCCCTGTGAAACCCACTCTAGGCCCACCCAAGGGTCCCAACTCCCGGACTGAGAAACGCTGCTCTAGGATAAAATCAGTTTTAATGTGCCCCCACCCAGCCCCTGGCAGTTGCTTACCAGTGCTTTAAATATACAAGAGTACCAGAACATCAAATATTTATAAGTAGTAAAACAAAGCATGTATTATCAGTTTTTAAATATCCCAGCTGTATTGAAAGGGCATAATAATTTCCAGTGAGACCAGCTCTCCCAACAAACAATGCACATATAACTGGGATGGAGGTCTTTTGTTCCTCCCACTGTCATGGACCTCATTTCCCAGCAGTCCTAGCCACCATAGCTAATGCTATGGCTTTACTGGAGTTGTAGTCAAAATTATATGGAAGCTTCCTGCCCTGATCATAGAGAGTTAAGAAAGACCTGCTCTACATATCCCAGTTGAGCTCAAATTCTTAGCAGAGAGAAAAAAGTAAGACAAGAAAATTTGTGCACCAAAAAGTGCACAAGTTTTCCGTTTTTCCATTACAGACCAACACTCCAAGTGAAGGAATTCAGACACACATTTGGGTGCATTCCTCATCCCATCATCAAACCCTTCTCCATACTAATCATGTCCCAAAGAATGCAAAATGAAAAAGATCTCACTAGCAAAAACCAATCATTTGAACTCCTCCAATTAAACAGTGGTTCCATTTTTTAAAAATAGGGACCTCTTTGACCGGGGACCACTCTCCAACATTAGTACCAAAAGGGTTACGAATCCGTTTTTGGTCAACTTTAGATTCGGTTTGATTATCTGGGGTGCTGGTTCAGAAAATTGCATTGGATAGACCACATCAGCTCTAGATTCTGATACAGAACATATGCCACCCAGTAGTTGACATCTGCTCACCCACAGAAAACCATATTTAATAATCCTTGGCACTATAAGAGTGTTTCGTGAGATCAGTCACTCTCGTTGTAACAGTGTAGGCCGTGGACCATATTTTAGTTCTTGTGGACCACTAGTGGTCCATGAACCACAGGTTTGAAACCACTGAATTAGAATAAAACATTTTGAGGGTGGGAAGATATATTCTAGATGGTCCTGAAGATTGTACATAGGGGCCGCCAACTTTGCCCTCCCAATTTAGATCGTCATATCTACTTTTCTAGCTCAAGGACATACCTGATATTCTGCTTTTCCAATGATGATGTCACTGTCTTCATCTTCTGTTTGGCTGGGCATCTCTTCTTCATCCTCATACTCATTTTCTTGTGTGTTTTCTGCTGTGCAGTTTACCTCATGTACCCCACTGTTCTCTTCTTCTGGCTCTTCTTCATCTTCCATCACATCTTCCAGTGCTCTTTCCCACTGAATAGTAGCTCTTTTAATAGGTAAACATCCATCCACTTCGGTGCTCACTTCAGATTCTGCTTTGACAGATGTTTGGTTACATTCCTCTACTTGAGGAGAGTTGGGAGAATCTAAGACCATGACCTGTTCAGGAAGCAAGTTGAGAAGATATTAAAACATTAGAGCAGTCAGTTACCTGAGCTACTGTAAGGTTTTCTTGTCTACACAGTAACTTGAAAATTTTCCCAGAAGTATGCAAAACTTTCTTCTAGGATGACTCAAGACCATGCTATACAACTTCTCTGGTATATGACCTCTTGATTAAAATTTGGTGATTTCAATTCTTACTTTTTTCTTATTTGAATATAACTCATGTTTAATTTAATTTTGATCATGTTACCATTGTATGTATCTAGGTTTTTAATTGTATTACTATTCTATTGTGTTTTAGATCTTCAGTTCGCTTTTAACTATTAATGCATGTATTGTGTTAAGTTTTGGTCACCACAGTTCCAGAAGGATACTGACAAGCTGAAATGTGTCCAGAGAAAAACAATTAAAAAGGTCAAAGATATGGGAATCAACATTTAAGAAGAATAGTTTAGGATGCTGGGCATGTTTAGCTTGAAGAAGAGTGAAAGGTGACACAAGAGCTGAAAGATGTTTTCTGCTGCTTCAGAGACTAGAACACAAATTATTGGATCCAAATTATAAGAAAAAAAGATTCCATTTAAAACTTCTTTACTGTAAGAATTGCTCAATGTGTTTTTCAGCTTCTTACAGATAACACTATGTAACACTGTTTTTGTTCCTGGATTACAAATGTAATTTCCTAATTGGTTCTATCATAAAAATATGGAAAAAGTTGGTTAAACTGCAAAAACCTTGTTTTTGTCAGACATTTTACTATATGTAGTTTTTCAATGAATATCTCATAGTCTCAACAAATTCAACAAAGTTTGTGGCAGCCACAAAAATGAAGTTTCTGGAGCATAACAATGACTTTCAAAGTAAGTACCGCACAATTAAACAGGAAATACACTTTCAAACCTAAAACTGATTTTTTTTCTAATTTTGTTACAAAGTGTAAAATTGTTAGTATAAGCAACAACCAAGGATTTTATATGCCAGTGCTTGTAAGCTGGAAGCTGCTTGTCGTTTAATATCCCATATCACTTCTTTTGATATCATTTCTACTCTTGTTGAACAGTTCCCTATTTTTTTGTTTGCCTATATTACTGTCTCTAAACAAAACAAGTGCTGTACATACTTGAGTATAAGCAGAGTTTTTCAGCCTTGGTTTTAGGCTGAAAAAGACCCCCTCCGGTTATACTCAAGTCAAGGTTATTTATTATTTTATTCTATTATTATTACATTTATTATTTTACTCTATTTATTATTATTACACTTATTATTATATTTATATATTATATTCATTATTTTACTTTATTAATTATTATTACATTTATTTTTGTACTCTTTTTATTTTTACATTTATTATTTTACTTTATTATTATTGGAAGGATATGTAAGAACATTTACACTGAAGGAGGTTAGAATAATGATTTAATCAGAGTGGGACAGTCTTATCTTAAGTTACAGTTTTATGTAAATACTAGCCATCCCTGCCACGTGTTGCATGTTGCCCAGTCTGTATATATGTGCTTTGTGTATATATTTGTGTATATATGTATGCTTGCGTGTGTGTGTATATATATATATGTGTGTGTGTGTGTGTGTGTGTGTGTGATTTTGCGCATGCGTTGTAATGTATTTTTATGTTTCCGCTTTTTAAGTCTCTTCTGCTGTGTTTTTGTATTTTTATGAGAGATGGTCACTTGTTGGCCTGATAGATGTATTGTGTCCAAATTTGGTGTCAATTCAACCAGTGGTTTTTGAGTTATGTTAATCCCCCAAACAAACATTACATTTTATTTATATAGATTCAAAAATATTTAACCTACTGATGCTTCAATTAATGTAATTCTATTGGTATCTATTTTTATTATGAAATCTACTAGTAGCTGTTGCATTTCCCATCTTTGGCTTATGCTCGAGTCAATATGTTTTCCTGGTTTTTTGTGGTCAGCTTATATTTGAGGCAGCTTATATTCACGTATATATGGTACATATTTTATCCAATTCCACCAAGATTTCTGAAGGATCCAAATCTAAAACAGTTAGGTAAACTGCAGGCTATACATGGCCCCAGTCCCTTTTTACAGCCTTGATTCCCCTCAAATACCCTCCAAATGGCAAGGATTCTCCATTTCAAACTTCCATATTATCCAGGTAAAAAACTGTCCAAAAATCACTCATAAGGTATTGCCCATGCACAGAAGCTTTGCCTGATTCTTCCCCCATGACCCTCGGTCCTGCAAACCTGAACCAAAGCAGTCAAGGTTGGAACTAAAAAAAACGAGCAAACCAAAACCAGAAGAAATTTCCTGTCTGGAAGAGGGAGGAAATTGGTGTCCCGCCCTCCCCGCCCCACGCCCACTTTGATCCAGACCCCCTCCCCATGTAGTCAAGTGAAATGATTTAAAAGCAACTAAAGGTTTAAATTTTAACAACAAAACAACCTAAATTACCCAGTGAGATTATGATTTGGAAACTAAGGCTATTACGCCACACGTACTTGTGCATTAAAATATCCCATTGGAGAGGAGTAGGCTTTTTTTCCAAGTAAAAAGCACTGCACCCCCACCTTTCATGACTACTCTTGAGATCCCCAAGGGCAGTGATGCACTACAACACCCAAAGCCATTTTTGAGCCTGTGGGTTTTTGCTGATCCAGTTTTTTTTGCAATTACTCTTTGACCACACTTACCTTTTGAGCAATCGACGAAAACTTGAGCACGTTGAGCGTTTCATCATACGCTGCAGCACTCTGGCTGACATTAACTAACATGCACACTTTTCCTTTGCCACTGAAGAAACCTTGAAAGAAGTGAGTTAGCTTACTTTCTCGAAAGGGGATATGCTGCTGCAACCTAAAATAAGACAAGTATGACATTGCATGAGTTGCCATGCTTCTCAGAAGCAATTTAAGTTCCCAGACTTACAACTGTGCATTTTAGCGGTGAAAGGGGGACAAATCTCAGACACTCCAACCCTCGTGATCAAAATACTTGTTTTAGTGCTGACCATATCTCTTTTTGCCTTCTTTTTCCTTTATTATGATTCATATCACACAGGGATATATGAAGCATACCAGCAAAACATTTCACCTATCTACCTATGAGAGCTTCTATACCAGTCGTTTTCAACCTGTGGGTCCCCAGATGTTTTGGCCTTCAAATCAGCAGGTAAACTGGCTGAGATTTCTGGGAGTTGTAGGCCAAAACACCAGGGGACCCGGTGTAGATGTTCTACATTGACTACTTAAGTCAGTGCCTCTTTCATCAGCCCCACAGTGGTGAAACGCTGTATAGGGCTGATCTAACTTACCGCATATAAGACGACTGGGCGTATAAGACGACCCCCAACTTTTCCAGTTAAAATATAGAGTTTGGGATACACTCACCATATAAGACTACCCCTCTTCCAACGCACACCAAATAAAATTTTTAAAAGCATCAGATTTGATTTCAATATGGTAATTTTCCTATTACTGTACCTCCTTCTCTGCCTCTCAGATCTCGCACATGCGCACATGCATCACTTCACTGCAATCTTCAGGAGCGAGATCTGAGAGGCAGAGGAGGAGGTACGGTAACAGGATACAAGGGCGGGCCAGACAGGTAAAAGAGGTGTGTTTTTCTGGGCCCAGAGCCACTCTATCTCTTTTTTCCATACCCCGGGCACCCCGGACGCTTGCAGCTTGCTCCGCCCTTCACTTACACCTTCCCGATGAGGCGCCCCTTCACTTCACCATCGGGACTGCATTTAGTCCACGAATCCTGATGAATGGATTTTCTTCTACCGTACTTGTACAGGGTAGCTCTTAATGCTTTCATACAGTCACTGCATACAGCAGGGACGCAGCCACTGCCATTTTTGAGCTCCTCCCACAATATGCAGCAACCACAGATTCCCCAATCCGGATTGGAAGTTTCACCACCCGCTCTATAAGACAACTCCCGGAGTATAAAGACTACTCCCCCATATAAGACGACTCCCATGCATAAGGCTACTCCAGCGTATAAGACGACTTCAGCATATAAGATGACCCCTGACTTTAGAGATGATTTTCATGGGTTAAAAAGTAGTCTTATATGCCAGAATATACGGTAATCTGAGGGAAGGCCACCTTAACGCAGCCTTATCCCAGGTTAAGCTAAGTCAGAGGATTTGGGCTTTCCCTAATTTATGGGCTTTGAAGTTACTGAGCTAGTTTTAACCATATCTGGCTATAGACATCTTAACAGAGGAGTGGCTCTCCCCTTGGCTCCATTAGCATGGTGTCACTCTGACTTCTCCATGGATCAATGTGACTACTATGTCTTAACTCTTATTAGAAACTAGTAATATTTCAGAATGTCTTATTATTTTGAATGTGGATTTGTTTTGGGGATTTGGTTATTTTTGTCTTTGTTCAGCTTATCATGGCAATGAATGTTTGCTGAGATCTGTTATTTTATTATTTACTAGCCATCCCCTGCCACACGTTGCTGTGGCTCAGTCTGTGTACATGTGTTTTGTGTGTATATATTTGTGTATATGTGTATATCAACAACAATTCTTTATTGATTAGTCAATTTTGACCATATCAAAACATACAAAACATACACACTTGCCCATACATACAGTAAAACCATATATGAATACAAGGCATCCTGGCCTACTGGCCTGTCAACCCACTCCTAAATGATTGTGCAACTACAAGATAAAAAAAATTAAAAGCTTCTCGGCCTTTTGGCTAAGATCAAATGTAATATATGTGTATATATATATATATATATATATATGTGTGGTTTTGCGCATGCATTGTAATGTAATTTTTTTTTTGCTTTTTAAGTACCTTCCACTGTGTTTTCCAATGTTTTGATGACTGATGGTCACTCGTTGGCCTGATAGGTGTCGCGTGTCCAAATTTGGTGTCAATTCGTCCAGTGGTTTTTGAGTTATGTCAATCCCACAAACGAACATTACATTTTATTTATATAGACGGAATCATTCCCTTCTCTGCATCAAGTGGTGAAAGGCAAGAGCTAGTCTGTCCTGGAAAAAACTAAAGGAACCATTGATCCCCTCTACTCTCTCTGTCATGGCGACACTTCTGATGAGGACACGTTGGCAGTAGCTAAGGGCTTTTCCGTCTCCTTGGAATGACCCTCGGCTTATCCACGGTTCATGTCATAATCCATAATTTTGACCCCAAACCTGCTCTTAGCCTATACATGAGTAAATATGGTAAGTTGGAAATGAAATGAATGTATACCAGATATAAACATAAATTTTTCCACTGCCACAATACTCTTAGCACTTGTGTTCACTTTATATTGAAGGCCAGCTAGAAAGACCTTCCATTTCCCTTGATGTGAAGCTGAAAAGTCCACCAGAACCTACTTTGATTGTTGGGTGGTCTTCAAGGCACTGATGCATTTGCCTAGAATAAGTAACGAGTTGTTAATGTTCCCACTCTCTTTTAATCGGTTTCCTTCATTGTGGGTTCTGGCACAACGCTCTGAGCCAGCAAGGTCACATAGAAATAACCTGGAGGTAGACAAATAGGTTACATATTGACATGTTACCTTAAGTTCAAGAACCAACAATGACTACAGTTGGACTCCTGTATCCACAGATTCTGCATCCATGCGTTCAACCATTAATGGCTTAGAAATTGCTTTTTTAAATTTCAAAAGCAAACCTTGTTTTTGCCATTTTATATTAGGAACAAATTTTTACGACAGTATATAATGGATCTTGAGCAACCATAGATTTTGGTACCCATACAGAGTCCTAGAAACAAATCTCAGTGGATACGAAGGGCCCACTGTACTTTCAACAGAAAGATTACTTACTCATTGACCTGCATGACTCGAGTTGATTCAGAATCGATTCTTAGCATTTTCACAGTGAATATGCTGTGGCTGAAAGATAAATGTAAAAACAAGTCACTTTTACTTACTTACTTATTTATTTATTTATTTATTTACTTACTTACTGCATAATTAATTAATTAATTTGTTTGTTTGCGACATTTATATCCCGCCCTTCTTACCCTGAAGGGGACAAAGGGCAGCTTACATAATTGACATTATTCCATGCCCAAACAACAATAACAATTAAAAGCAATTAAACAACAATTTAAAACAACATTAAAACAACATATGTAAACATTAGACAACAATTGTGCATCCAAAGACAGACAGTCAAATAATAATTCATCAACCCAGGATCAATTCCATCTGTATTTGCACAGGTAATTATACTGGGCCAAATGCTTGTTCCCAAATACAAATTTTCACTTGTTTGCAAAATGACAGGAGTGAAGGGACCAATTAAATACCAATAGGGAGGGAGTTCCACAGCCGAGGAGCCACCATTGAGAAGGCCCTGTCTTCGCACCTGCGACTGATATGGAACAATATCTGAAGACATTGTTGTCTTCACACATTAAGCAAAAAAAGTCTTCCAATATTAATAAAATAATATTTTAAAGAACTTTAATACTTCCACTCAACTAACTATGCTGTGATTTAGCAAAAAAAAAAAGGTTTTAAGAGGCACCTGTGCTGAGCAAATAGATATATATTCACATCTAAGCCAGGTTACAATTTGCTGAATCCTGGCTTGCTGTTGTGTCCAAACCCATCTCCACAAATAAATCGTGAATTGTGAGCCAGACAGAAATCACAGTTAGAACCCATTATTTATTATTAGCTCACAAATTCCACCTTCTTTAAATTATATAGTTCTTTCTGTGCCCCAAAATGTGGGTTGTATCCCCAGTTTCCACCATGAAACAAGAATTCACAAAAGGATCAGGAGTGAAAAAGATAATAGATGCAATAATATCCATACATAGTTGCAGGTTAGCTCAGCTAAAGTATGTTTAGAAAATTTGTCTTAAAGAGGTAATCCGAAACTGATTTTTTGAGACTGTGGTTAAGTTCAACAATAACTTGCAGACAATAGCCTCGGTTACTCAAAATTGCAATTGAAAGAATCTAAAAATCACATTGGATGAGGAAGGGTATATGTAATCCTGCAGAAAGCTAGGCTCACTCACTACACCAGGGGTAAAGGAAAGTGGTCCAAAAGACCACCATATTTAATGAGGTTCGTTTAAATGATTGGGAGATATCTGGAAATATTGCCTGGAATAATGGCTTCCTTTTCTGATTCCCCAAACTGCCACAGAATCAGAAGCATAAGCCAGAAATACAGCCAGGAGTTACTTCAGCTTCTGAGCTGAAAATGTAGTGGTGCAGCATACAATGGGGGTAAAAACATGGCTTGTTTTCTGCTTCCTTGGAGACTAGGACACGGAACAATGGCTTCAAACTACAAGAAAGGAGATTCCATCTGAACATGAGGAAGAACTTCCTGACTGTGAGAGCCGTTCAGCAGTGGAACTCTCTGCCCCGGAGTGTGGTGGAGGCTCCTTCTTTGGAAGCTTTTAAACAGAGGCTGGATGGCCATCTGTCAGGGGTGCTTTGAATGCAATATTCCTGCTTCTTGGCAGGGGGTTGGACTGGATGGCCCATGAGGTCTCTTCCAACTCTATGATTCTATGATTCTTGTCTCCAACACCCTACAATAATTTATAGGCCAGTTCACATGGCTCCAGTACTAGTGTTTTAACTTGTGATCTATCAATTACACTATGTAACAAAATTAGAAAAAAATATGTTCCTGGTTTGAAAGTGTTATTTCCTGATCAATTGCACGGTACTTTGAAAGTAGTTGTTATACTCCAGAAACTTCATTTTTGTGGCTGCCACGTACTATGTTGAATTGGTTGAGACTGGATGAGATATTCATTGAAAAACTATAGCAAAATGTGGTGTAGGGTATCCCGCAAAAACAAAAAGATTTTGCAGTTTAACAAAACTTTTCCATGTTCTTATGAATCAATTAGGAAATGACATTTATAATCCAGGAACAAAAATTGTGTTGCATGGTGTTATGAGCCCTCCATGCAATTAGAACCCCCTGAACAAGATCCGCATATTAGATTGGGTTTCATTGAAGAAATACATCAGCAAGGATGGTGTAAGGATCATTTAAGTTTTTTAACAAAAAACAAACCATTATGCTATTAGATTCAGCACATTCCATTTTTACCTTCTGCTGGAATTCGAATTTAGCTTTGTTGAGGCAAAACTCTGATGCTTCAGACCCAGCTTCATGAGTTTAAAGGCTTCTTTAAATTTTGAAACCTGAACCCACTGCAGATCTTTAAGGAACATCAAGAGTACTTTGTTAAAGACTGCACATAAAGCATTTCATATGAATACAACAGACAAGTTAATGAGAAATGTTGGGTTTAAGACCTGATTTACACATGACCTGGATTAGGCCAGCCATCCACTGATGTTACAAAAATGTATTAGTTTAAAACTACTTTTTATGTGATGAGACCATCTATCTCAATTAAACTGGAATATTTATGGGAGGATGGGGTTTGAGGTAATGACAGAAAAGAGCTAATTATATGTTTCTGTGCATAACTAAGCAGGTAGGCAGATATGCTATATACCCAGGCCACAACTAATAATAATAATAATAATAATAATAATAATAACAACAACAACAATAACAATAATAACAATAATAATAATGAACAAATAAAATAAAATAAAAATGAACAAAATCTGGCTACCAGTATTAAAAAACTCTAAAATTACAGCAGCAAAACAGCAGAGAGGAAACAACCAGGCACATCTTAACACCTCTCAACAGAACATTTTCCCAGGCTCAGCCAGGCCTTCAAATGCTAATGAAGGTGGTCAGCTGAAACATTCACACCTAGCTTCAGCAGAGAGCTCTTTGCCCCACCCCAGCCATTCCACAGATATATAAACCCATTGTCCTAATTCCAACAGACCTCACTACCTCTGAGGATGCTTGCCATAGATGCAGGCGAAACGTCAGGAGAAATGCCTCTAGAACATGGCCCTATAGCCCGAAAAAACCTACAAGAACCTAATAATAATAATACTTTATTTATACCCTGCTCCATCTCCCCCAGGAGGACTCAGGGCGGCTTACATGAGGCCAAACCCATCAACACAATAAACACAATATTACACAAAAGCATAACACAATATAACACAAAGTATAACAGAACCAAAAAACATAAAATGCAAAACCAAAATAATAAACGAAACAGCAGTATAAAATCGGACATTAAACACACAGAAATTACACAAGCAAGGCCAAGTTTAAGGATAAAAATTTAAAATTTTAAAACACTGGGAGATTGGGAAATGGAAATTATTGGGGAGGAAGATCCGGATTGAGGAAGTAATTAATTGCATGAACCATAAAATAAAGTGCTTTTGAGGTCATTTCTGCAAAATTTGATTAGGGAGTGTCTTAGATTCAATCATTGAAGGCACATTGGAATAACCAGGTTTTCAGATTCCTCCTGAAGATTGCCAGCGTGGCAACTGTCCTACAAATATACAGGCAGCCCCCAATTTATGAACAAGATAGGTTCTGTAGGGTTGTTCTTAAGCTGAATTTGTATGTAAGTCAGAACAGGGACATTTTAAGTGTAACCAGCCATATATATATGATTGGGATAGCATAGAGAAAGGTTAAAGATCACTACTGACCGAAAGGTCATGAGTTCGAAGCCAGCCCGGGTTGGACTAAGCTTCCGGCCAATTGTGTAGCTTGTTGTCAAGTTTTGCAACCCGAAAGACAGTTGCATCTGCCAAGTAGGAAATTTAGGTACCACCTATGTGTGGGGAGGCTAATTAAACAAAATTTACGAGGCCATAAAAAAAATCTCCAGAAAAAGCATGCAGGGATTGCGGAAAGTACTTCATCAGTGTCGCAGATGGACGGTGAAGCGACAGCTCCCCTGGTGGCCAGAAGCTGGAATGTTAAATAGCCTCTGAGTGTCTTTATGTGTCTATGGCATTGAATGTTTGCCATGTATGTGTACATTGTAATCCGCCCTGAATCCCCTGCGGGATGAGAAGGACGGAATATAAATATAAATATTGTAAATAAATAAATAAAGATTGGCACCCCTGTGGTGTTTCTTTTGCTATCTGTGCCCCTAATCAGATAATCGGATTTTGAAAAATGTGGCTTCTTGTGGAAATAGGGATTAGTGATAAGTCTTTGGTGGAGACCTTTTAATAACTATTCCAGCACTGAATTTCCCTTCTGCGGGATAGCTTTCTCTCACTTCCTATATCTTACCCACGTTCTCAACTATGAGTCATTTGTAAGTCAGATGTTTGTAACTTAGGGACTGACTGTGTATTGAAATCTGATTGATCTTAATCCTTTCTAAAAGGATTCTGTCAACAAATCTACCTAAAGTTGGACATTTCTACAACAGAGAGAAATTCTTTTCAGAATGATTTATTTAACAGATTCTTAATGGAACAAAATTAAAGCTAATGCCAGTGGAAGGCTGTCCCAAGCTTTATTTTTAAATGGGATGGGAGTAGCAGGGGATACAGTCAGAGCCAGATAAAAGTCAGCAATTTCATGTTATTCACTATTCTCTTTTCATCCCAAACCTGTAAATATTTATTTGGAAATATGTCACTTTGAATTCATTCAGATCACCTCTACAGTGAATCATCACAAATATTATACTTAAACGCAACAGTACTAGTCCGTGCCTTTGTAGCCAGGAATAAAATTCACACAAACACACACACACACCCCTATCTACCAATCTTGTGTTGTTATCTTGTCAAAACTAGTCTGAGAAGGTCTGGAAGTGGACGAGAAGAACTTTCCCTTCTTTGTATTCTAAAATGAAGTGCATTTTTAATTCACATTAGTATATAAAGTACTTAAAGAATAATGAGATGATTAACAATTATAGACATCATTCTCCATCCACAGATCCAACCAGTCAGAGCTTGGATTTTTTAAAATCAAATTTTGAACTTGTCATTTTTATATAAGGGACTGTTTTACTATGACATTCTTTATAATGGAACTAGCTGTACCCACCACGCATTGCTGTGGCCAACCTTCCTTTTCTCTTTCTCTCTCCCTTTCCTTCCTTCCTTCCTTCCTTCCTTCCCTCCCTCTTTCTTTCCTTCCTTCCTTCTTTCCTTCCTTTTTTTCTTTCCTTCCATCCATCCTTCCTTCCTTCCCCTCCCGTTTTCTTTCTCTCCTTCCTTCCCTCCCTCTTTGTTTCCTTCCTTCCTTTTTTCTTTCCTTCTCTCCTTCCATCCCTCCCTCCTTCCCCTCCCTTTTTCTTTCTCTCCTTCCTTCCTTCCTTCCCTCTTTCTTTCTTTCCTTCCTTCTTTCCTTCCTTCTTTCCTTCCTTCCTTCCTCTGATACTTCCCTCTTTTGCATAGTTGATGCCATTTTATTGCATAAGACTTGGGACTCAGAATGCTTGGATTTCTGTGTAGAGAAGCATGTAACTCTTCTTTCTTTCTTTCTTTCCTTCCTTCCTTCCTTCCTTCCTTCCTTCCTTCCTTCCTTCCTTCCTTCCTTCCTTCCTCTTTTTCTTTCCTTCTCTCCTTCAATCCATCCTTCCTTCCCCTCCCTTTTTCTTTCTCTCCTTTCTTCCTTCTCTATCTATTCTTGGACTGTAACTCCAAGCAGTCCTCCTGATTGATCTATCTACCTACTATCTATCTCTATTTTATCTATCTGGAGGATTGCTGGGAGTTGCAGTCCAGGAATAGGAAATATGTATGGATTGGGATGCTCTCAGAGATCCAAGGAGAAGCAAGCTTACAGCTTGGAAGTAATGCATTTGGAGCATCCTCCTCCCCTAAGGGCCTGATGTAGGAGATGCTGAGAGCTGTCATTTTCATGCATGTGCTGTATCGCCATTTAGCTTTTTTGGGTGTTTAAGCCTTTTCCATTATTTGGTTTTGGTTTTTTTTTTTTTTGTAGGGGTTCATTAGTGATGGTCACTCATTGGTGTGTTAGAGATGTAGTGCCCAAATTTGGTGTCAATTCCTCCAGTGGTTTTTGAGTTATGTTAATCCCACAAACAAACATTACATTTTTATTCATATAGATTAGAGCATCCGTGGATATTAGAATCCACAGGGCATCCTGGTGCCAAACCCCAACAAAGGCTCACTGTACTAAGATATGTATTACCTTTAACATATGAACAGCCTTTAATGTCCTGTGCGAGGCGCAACCCCTTCCTTCTTTTGTCACTGGAGAGTGGAACCAGCAGGTCATAAATGCACTCATTGTAAATTTCACAAAATGAGACCCAAACTGAGAATTGTGCTCTTTGGTTCTCCATATTAGACTGCATTGCTTCTATCTGTGGTTCCTGAAAGGCTGAAAGAATATTGGAGGCATATCAGCACTTGGGTGAAAACAGTGATTTTTTAAAAAGAAAGAAAGAAAGATAGAGAGGCTTGTGCAGCAACTTTAAGACTAACCAATTTATTTTAGAACACACTTTCATGGATGACAGCCCAATATTCTAGGCAGTGTGGCCTTTACCTAGAAAAGCTTATGCTAAAATAAGTAGATTAGTCTTAAAAGAGGAGCCCCCGGTGACGGAATGGGTTAAACCCTTGCTCCGGCAGGGCCGCTAACCAAAAGGTCAGCGGTTCGAATCCAGGGAGTGGGGTGAGCTGTATCAGCTCCAGCTTCCCATATGGGGACATGACAGAAGCCTCCCATTGGATGGTAAAACATCTGGACAACCCCTGGGCAATGTCCTTGCAGATGGTCAATTCTCTCACACCAGAAGCTACTTGCAGTTTCTCAAGTCGCTCCTGACACCAAAAAAAAGTTTTCAAGAGTCAAAAGTATACTCCTTTTTATAATGAAAGAGACTAATATGGTTATCTCTTTGAATATTTCTTTTTTTTCTTTATTTATATCTTGCCTTTCTTCCACTACTGGAGACAAATTGACTTGCATGCATTTAAAATAAGATACAGCGAAAAACACCTATTCGTACAAAAGCCTAAAACAATGTCTAACATTTTATCAGAAACCCAGTTAAAACACACTTAAAATATAACAAAAGGGTAAAAGCAACACATTATTAAAAATCCCTTCTGACATATGAATGACAAATGTCGGCCTAAATCATTTTTTGCAAATTTAGAAAAACTAAAGACGAGAAATTAAAACTTATGAGATATGAGAATCGGCTTTTAAAACCTATTTATTACAGCAACAATTAACATTAGATTTACGCAAATATAGGTTGAGCATCCCTTATCCAAAATACTTGTGACCAGAGCGTTTCGATTTGTCCAGATTTTAGATTTTAGAACACGTTTCGATTTGGGGTTTGTCCAGATTTTAGAACACCTATACTAGTATTTATGTACAAAATTGAGATGGAACCAAAATCTAAGTATGAAATTCATTTATGTTTCATGTACACTGTATACACATAATCTAAAGATAATTCTATGCACAATATTTGTAGTAATTTTCTACATAAAACAAAATGTGTGTATACTGAAACATTAAAAAGGAAATATACTGCTATCTCAGTCAGAACAACGTTGGAGTATTTCAGATTTCCAGGGAAGTGATAATTAAATTTTCAGGTACAAAACTAATCACAGGATAATCACAGGATGTCTTTAAACTAATCTCTGAATAATCACAGGATGTCTTAAACCTACACCTGTTGATAAACTCTACAAGCTAGCTGGCATTCCCCCCCCCCCCCTTGATGTGTGATGGAAGTAGCTGCTAAATGTGAGAGAAATAAGGTTGAACCCTGTGAAAGCCACCCACTACATGGCTTCCAGCAAACCAAGAATGGGCAATTTGGAAGTCCCTGAACAGACTCAGAAGTGGAGTGGGCAGATCAAAAGACAACCTGGCAAAATGGCACTACCTAAAAGAATCCCACACCTTGTGTGACTGTGGAGCAGAACAGACAACTCTGCATCTGTATGCTTGTCCACTATGCCCTGCCTCATGTACAAAGGAAGAATTGTTGGAGGCTACAGAGAATGCCATTGCTATTGCCTGTTTTTGGTCAAAAGTTATTTAGCCGCCCACGCTCTTCCTCTTTTTATCAGTTTTATACTAATAAATGCAATGCTTTTGATATTAAATAAATAAATAAGGTACAAAACTTACCTTTAAAACTATCAGCTATTCTACTATGATTTTCATTCATGTCACTGGGATAATCGACCTGATCATAATGACACAGACAAATGTCACAAATGTATTCTGTCACTTCCTTTGTATACTAGAGCATTAAAACTACCGTATTTTCCGGCGTACTAGATGACTGGGTGCATAAGATGACCCTCCCAATTTTTCAATTTAAAATTTCAATTTTTGGATATAATCGCTGTGTTAGACTACCCCTTTTGCCAGCCCCTTCAGGCCCTGAAGCCTCCTTTCCTGGGCCTTGAGGCAGCTTCTCAGCTCCATAGAGGCAGCCTCCCCTCCACTGGCAGCCAGGCTCTGCCGCAGCCAGCCAACCACTGTGCTCATCACTTGGGTTCAAAACATCACTTCCTGTTTTGGATCCAAAACAAGATGGAGGCTCCGAACAGGTGAGGGAGGCGGGGAGCTGCCCTGCGCTGGAGCAGGGTGCCCAAAGCAGCAGCAGCTGCTGCGCTCCTCCGGTGCTCCTGTACCCAGGCTTCAGCCTCACTGATGGGCTCTTCCACTCCATGCCTGCCTCAGCTGTCAGTGCGGCGGAGAAGGAGGAGGCGACATGGCCATCTGGTGAGTATATCACCGCCGCCTCCTCCGCTGCACTGACAGCCAAGGCGTACATGGAGTGGAAGAGCCCCTTGGTGAGGCCGAAGCCTGGCAGTGGGAGCCAAGCAGCACGGGAGGGCATCCCTCATGTGCCGCTTGGCTCCCACTGCCAAGTTTCAGCCTCCCCAAGGAGCTCCTCCACTCGATGCCCGCCTCGGTTGTCAGTGCGGCAAAAGTGGTGGAGGAGGAGGTGTAGCAACAGTACAATAAAGTGAACATAATGGCAAAATAAAACGATTGTGTGATTCCCTATTGAGCATGAGATATTTCTTCTGTTTATATATTTAGAACTCCACAAATACTTATGATACACATATTTAGATTAGAGCAGTGGTTCCCAACCTGTGGTCCGTAGACCACCAGTGGTCCGCAAGAATGAAAATATGATCCACGGCTTCACCGTTACTACACCATTGCAACAAGAGTGTTGGGGTTCAGTCTGATCCTGATCTGTGTGAACAGGATTCTCTGATAGTTTTTCAAACTGAGCAAGCTCTCCCTGACTCTGACAGTGTGGAATGTGTTGTTGATGCAGAGGTCAGTGGGAATGAAAACGAAACCCAACAGTTAGAAGAGAATGTTTTGGAAGTTAGCCGTGATATCTCCCCACCTGGGCTTGATAATGAGGTCCGAAGAGAACAGATAGTGAGAGATAGATCTGTTTCCCAGTCTGTACGAAGGTCACAGCGTCTTCAGCAGAAAGAGGCCCAAACAGAAAAGTCAAGGGGCGTTTCTAAGAATAGCTTCTTTGGTTTAAGAGCATCCCTGCCGGGTGCTTCTTTAGGTCAAGCAACGTTCGGGACTGTGGCTGGTCTTGGCAGAATTCCTGTGTTCCATGGCCAGTAATCCCAGAGGCTTATAGTTTCCAAGTTCATGGTTAGTAAAAGGCTAACAGACTCCTGGTTATTGTTTTGTGGCTTTTCAAGTTTTGCTCAAGTTCAGAGATCCTATTGACTACTGTTTTTTTTTTTTTGTGGCTTTTTACTCTGCATTTACCTTTCTTTTGTAACCAATTTTTCATCAATAAACAAGGATTGCTTTTCCTACAGTCCAGAGTGGTGGATTTAATCTTATGGTCTTGTTTCTTGAACTGGGATGCAACAAAGAGTGACTGGTCTCGCAAAACCCTCTTACAGTGCCAAAGTTTACCTAATATTGTTTTCTGTGGGCAAGCAAATGACGACTACTGGGTAGCGCATGTACTGTATCAAAAAATAAATTTGGTTTATCCAAATCCAAATCTAAAGTTGACCAAAAATGGATTTGTATCCTTTTTGGTACTAATGTTGGGAGAGTGATCCCTGGTAAAAAAAAAAAAAAAAAAAGGTTGAGAACCACCGTATTAGAGCATTCCTTTTACTTTTCTGGCATTGTTGCCAGAATAGCAAATGCGCTTCCAAATGTTTTTCAGCCAAAAAGCCACATTAACCAATGGAGGTCTATTTTGATGGGTACCGCAGAATTGCAGTGTGACATTTCTAGTTCTTCACATACACTATTTTCTTCCTTTTTCGCCTAGTCCTGTAGCAAAAATTGTTAATGAAGATTAACAAGGAGCCATACCTCTTTCATGAGTCGAAGTAGCGAGCTTTTAATAGATACTTCTTCCTTGATTTCCTCTTTTGTCAGCCTCCGATGTTCTCGGCATCGATGGGGTTTGAGGTTCATCTCTGGATACAGCCTGCTTTGAATGCGTTTAAACAAGAGATCGAGTGCTCTTGGGAGAATGCCACTGGCTTCTTCAGTGCCTGTCACGTAGAATACCAGACTTATCAAATTTATTCAGTTTACTCAGAAGAAAGCTACATGGCTCACTCCCAGAAAAATAGGACTATCTTAAAGTGCATCTACACTGTAGAATTAGTGGAGCTTGACACCACAGTGTAGATGCACCCTTAATTGATGGACAATCAGATTCACATTATCAGTTGAGAACACTTTAGCAATCAATCTAGTTTTGCTCATACATTTAGCCAAATAAACACACCAGCATTTTCAACATGAGAACACAAAACATGGAGATATAATAAAAGCAGCAGTGATATGGACACAAGGTTTCCTAATTCAAAAGAAGTTTCACAAATATAATTAGTAAAATAAAGGGAGTACTCTCTGTAAATTCTTAAAATCCAGTCAAGTACTAATTAACATTTTTAGGCAATTAACCATTTATAAAGGTGTATTTAGTTGTTAAAAAATACAGGCAATCCTCAAGTTATGAACAAAAAAGGTTCTGTAGGTTTGTTCTTAAGCTGAATTTGTGAGTCGGAACAGGTACATCTTTTAAATGTACCTCCAGTCATATATATATATATATATATATATATATATATATATATACACACACACACACACACACACACACACACACATACACACACACACACACACACACAGTGTTTCCTCACTATATCGCATTTCGCTTATTGCGGACTCGCTGTTTCGCAGGGGGCGCGGGGGGGGAAGGACGAAGAGGAGGAGAGGGAGCCAGGCGCTAGGCCTTACCCTGGGGCTTGTCTCCACCCTCTCGGCAGCAGCCCCGTCCTCTTCACCGAGTTTGCTGCTCGCAGTCTCAGAGGCCACTTGGGCAGGCACTGCCATCAACGGCGCCCCACGGGGCCTCCGAGGCGGTGAGCAGCAGATTCGGTGAAGAGGATGAGGCCGCTCCTGAGTGGGGATGCTCCGCCCATTCAGCAGCGGCCTCGTCCTCTTCGCCAAGTCTGCTGCTCACCACCTCGGAGGCCCCTTGGGCTCCATTAACGGCACTGCAGGCTGGCTGAGGCTTCAGACCAGGCCTCAGCCCAACCTGGCAGTGCCATCAATGGCTCCCAAGGGGCCTCCGAGGCGGCAGGTAGCCACCTCGGTGAAGAGGCCACTGCTGAGTGGGCAGAGCGTGCTTACTTCGCGGATTTTCACTTTTTGTGGGTGGTCCTGGAACATATCACCCATGATAAGCGAGGGAATACTGTATATATTAGCTTTGGATAGCATGGGAAAGGGTCAACACTCCTGTGGTGTTTGTTTTGCTGTCTGTCTTCCTGTTCAGAACATTTTACCTCACTTTCTGTCCCTGTGATAATTACGTTTTGAAAAAATTGGCTTGCTGTGAAACAAGGCTCGGAGACAAAGCTTCAGCTGAGACATCTTCTGCAAGCTAAACATGCCCAGCTCTTCAAGCCGCTCCTCATATGGCTTGTTCTCCAGACCCTTGATCTCCTCTGAACACATTCCAGATTGTCAACATCTCCCTTAAATTATGGTGCCCAGAATTGGACACAGTGTTCCCAGGTGTGGTCCAACCAAGGCAGAATAGAGGGTTGGCATGACTTCCCTGAATCTAGACACTAGACTCCTATTTATGCAGGCCAAAATCCCATTGGCTTTTGTAGCTGCCGCATGACATTGTTGGCTCATGTTTGATTTGTTGACTAAAAAGACGCCGTGCGTGAGAATCTTGAGACAATAAGGGTTGGATTTTGTGTTTTAAGAAAGGAATTCAAAACAAATTTCATAACATATCTCAGACAAAAAATAATTATTTGAAGAGTCAGGGTAACAGTGACCCGATACGAAAACAGAGCTAAGGTGGTAATCATACTGAGATGTATGACATTAAGGAAAGTAGACAGAATACAACTCAAGTCAATATTTTTCTAAAGACTCATGAAGAATCTGTTGTACCTTGGTAAGTATATGTTTTCCCAGCATTTGTAACTCCATAGGTAAATATTAGCCGGCTATGACCCTTGATGAAGTCTAACACTGGCTGCTTCACAGTTTCTTCAAAGAGTTCTTCTTGTGTTGTTTCAGGACCAAATACCTAACAAATCACAAATAAGATGATCTTTTATTTTTTATGGTTTTGATTTCTGAGCTTCTGACCAATAACAGGGAAAGTTTCATTTGCTTACTATAAAGGCTCGTATATGTCACCACTAATATATCTTGACAGGGGGGCAAACAGATCCCACCAACTGTCCCAGCAATATAAAGAATTCACTGGCACCAATATAAATGTGATGAGGGGATGTCTCTCTAGTTAACGTCCGCTGCCACCAACACTGAAAAGGTACAGGAACACCCTAGCTGTTTAAATAATAAAAAGGGCTTTTAAGACCACCAAGCACTGTGTCTTCCTATTTTCTTCTTTAAAGGAAAACAATTGAGATTGTTTGAGAAAAGGACTATAGCCACAAAAGGCACACTTGACTCAGGCTTTTTGAGTTTTAAAATATCAAGGAAAGTTTATTGATGACATATAAGAGAAAGTAAGTGCTGTTAAGAATCTTGCTGTTACAGAGAAATGTTAGTTCTTGTCTTTAAAGCGTAATGGTTACATGTAAATGGCTCTTTCTTTGTTACAAAAAAACAGAGATTTTCTTCTCTTTAAAACCAAGCACACTTGACATGAACTGAATCTCTGTCAAGATACAACTGTAGCCTAGCTACCCTGAACTGTGGCCTAGCTAACTACAAACCAGCTATCTTTCCCTGATAGCTGTCCCAGTTTGCTACAGTTTTTTTTGCTGGCAAACCTAAGGTAAACTGCCTTCTCTTAACTAATCTTAAACACGAACTCCTAAACTACCTTCCTACTCTAATCTCTAACAACAACAGACTGACTCAAAAAGCCCTCTTTCTTTCCCTCCAAACCTTGCTAAACTCCGCCCCCTTTCTGAACCAATCCTGGCTGTTCTAATGCTAACTCAGGCCTAGGACACTCCCCCTCTCTAAAATGGTGTTTTCCCTGAACTAAAATGGCTACTGCTGCCCTCTGCCAGGCCTACTAAAGCTGCAACTAACTGGCCTGCTGTTCCTAGGCCCTGCCATCCAGGCTGGAAAGGTAAGGGATCTTTACACTTACCCTTTTCAAATTGCTTAAATACTCATTATTCATAAAATAAATGTTTATAATCAGCCTTCGAAACTTCACTTACTTGTGAAAACGTAAACTTCTGCACCAGCTGCCCCATGTTTTTTTCGCTGAGTCTGAAGACTTTGGAACTTTTGGGAGCTTTCAATATAATGCTTGTTGGATCAAGAATGGAAATACAGTCCTGTTAGAAAGTGCAAATAATAACTTTTAGCCATGAAGACAACATATCTTTCATGTTTCCCCTGTAGTTTTTTTTAAAAGAATTAAGTCAAACCTGAGAATCGCTGCCTTTTTCTCCCTGTATAAATGGTCTGATGCGAAGGCAAACATGGATTCCTTCCTTGGATTCCAAGCTTTCTCTCTAAAAAAAGGAATACATGACAATCACTGACCCAAGAAAAAATTTCATTTGCCTCAGGCTAACAATGTTTTTGAATGAGACTTTCTCCATTCAAACAAACCTGTCCTTCATATGCAGATAACGTGGTGCTTAGCTTATGCCAAGGACCAGCAGCTTCATTCGCAACACACAGGCCATTGTCAATGTACAACAGCGGGAATAAAAAACATTGGCAATGTTTTCTTTTTTGAAACACCAGCAATTGCCATCTCCACCTCCCAAGACTTTGCCCTCTGGGGTGAGACAGAATGGGGTAGGAATACAGTAAATAAATAAATAGTGTCACCTCATAAAAGAATAGTAAAGTAAAGGTTTCCCTTGACATTAAGTCTAGTCGTGTCCAACTCTGGAGGTGGTGCTCATCTCCATTTCCAAGCCAGCGTTCTCCGTAAACACCTTCTACGTCATGTGACTGCATGGAGCGCCATTACCTTCCCACTGAAGTGGTACCAACTGATCTACTCACATTTGCCTGTTTTTGAACTGCTAGGTTGGCAGAAGCTGGGGCTAACAGCAGAAGCTCACCCCACTCCCCAGATTCGAACCACCCACCTTTCAGTCAGCAAGTTGAGCAGCTCAGTTGTTTAACTTGCTGTGCCACCAGGGGGCCATCATAAAAGAATAGAATGGCAGTAAATAAGAACGCCGTCTTATTATATATTATACTAGCTGTCCCCTGCCACGCGTTGCTGTGGACCACTCTGGTAGTCATGGGGGTTCTGTGTGGGAGGTTTGGCCCAATTCTATTGCTGGTGGGGTTTAGAATGCTCTGTGATTGTAGATGAACTACAAATCCCAGCAACTACAACTCCCAAATGTCAAGATTCTATTTTCCCCAAACTCCAGCAGTGTTCACATTTGGGCATATTGAGTATCCGTGCCAAGTTTGGTCCAGATCCATCATGCTGTGCTCTCTGGATGTAGGTGAACTACAACTCCAAAACCAAAGGACACTGCCCACCAAACCCTTCCAGTATTTTATGTTGGTCATGGGAGAAATGTGTGCCAAGTTTGGTTCAATTCCATCTTTGGTGGGGTTCGGAATGCTCTGTGATTGTAGGTGAACTATAAATCCCAGCAACTTCTTCTTCTTGAGTGAGAGAATCAGCCGTCTACAAAGACGTGGCTCAGGGGACGCCCGGATGTCTTGCAATCCTGCAAGGAGGCTTCTTGTCAACTCCAACTCCCAAATGTAAAGATTTTATTTTCCTCAAACTCCACCAGTGTTCACATTTGGGCATATTGAGTACTCGTGCCAAGTTTGGTCCAGATCCATCATTGTTTGAATCCACGGTGCTCTCTAGATGTAGGTGAACTACAACTCCAAAACTCAAAGTCAATGCCCACCAAACCCTTCTATTATTTTCTGTGGTCAGGGGAGTCCTGTGTGCCAAGTTTGGTTCAATTCCATTGTTGGTGGAGTTCAAAATGCTCTTTGAGTATAGGTGAACTATAAATCCCAGCAACTACAACTCCAGAATGACAAAATAATAGTTTTTTTTAGTGATGGTCACTCCTTGTGTTGTGAGACATTTTGTTGCCAAATTTGATGTGATTTTGTTCATTGCTTCTTTTGTTTTTAAGGTACTCATTACACACAGAGCATGTATATATATATAGATTAAAAGCCTTCCCATGGCTTAGTATTGCTCTCCCACTTTACAATCTACATACAAGCCCTCATCCTGAACACAAGAAAACTCCCACAGAGTCCCATTCCTGATTTAATATTTTCTTACCACAAATTTCCAACTTCTGATTTACTTCCTCAAGCCTCCATTTACCTTCCTTCAGGTTCTGTAGCTGACATCCTACTCTGAACTTTTCATCCACCTTCTTTGCCTCTGCACTCCTATCTCCTCACTTGCCTGATTTCTAAGATTCATTTACAGTCTAGTTGCGCCACATTATTTTTTATTCTAGCTACAAGTGGATCTCCCCATCATAGGAGCTGGATGGAGCACTATTTAATTTCACGAGCAATGAAGCATTTCCAGCCATCACACATATCTTAGCCAAATTACTCCCAAAGAGGGATCACCTCCAGAAAAGCAATAAGGGAGAGCACTCTTTTTGAAGTTTTTTAAGTGAACCTTTCAGAAAAAGACATGAGATGTTCTAACTAGGAGACCTAACAGAGCTACCTAGGTGGCCAAAAAAACTTCATATATATTTATTTATTTATTTATTTATTTATTATGCTGCTTTTCTCAACCCCTGAGGGGACGCAAAGCGGTTCCCAGCAAGTAAATGGCAAAATTCAATGCCTCACAAAGTATAAAATATAACACATAACTAAAATAGCATACAACAAAAATTAAAAGCAGAAAAACAGCATTAATCCACCTTGAGTCCCCTCCAGGGTGATGAATGCTGTAAATAAATAAACAAACAAACATAAAAACATTCAATGTATTGTCGAAGGCTTTCATGGCCGGAATCACTGGGTTGTTGTAGGTTTTTTCGGGCTATATGGCCATGTTCTAGAGGCATTCTCTCCTAAAACATTCAACATTGCACCAATCCCAAAACATTCAACATTTCACCGATCCCAAAGCTGTCTTGATTGCTTCATCTCATTCCCCAAATGCCTGTTTAAAAACAACAACATTTTAAGTAGTTTCCTGAATGTCAGGAAGGAAGGAGCTGAACTGGAGTTCCACAACCAAGGGGCCACCACCAAGAAGGCCCAGTCGCGTCTGTAAAGAAAGCAAGACCGAGAGCTGGACCTCCTCAGCCGATCTTAATGCTCTAGCTGCTTCATAAAGGGAAGACACATTTGGATAGGTAAGCTGGACCAGAACCATTTTGGGATTTATAGGCTAAAACCAGCACTTTGAATTGTGCTCGATAGCAGAGAGGCAACGAGCGGAGATGGCTCAACAGGGGGGTTGTGTGTCCCCTGTGAGTCACTCCAGTTAGAAACCTGGCTGTCGCCCCGTGGCTATTTGAAATTTCCAAACAGTCTTCAAAGGCAACCCCATGTAGAGCACGTTGCAATAGTCTATTTGAGATGTAACAAGAGCGTGGATATGATATACAAACATAGAGAGGAGCCAGAGATGCAACCATCTCAAATTACTGAATGTCTTACCTGGCTTATATCAGAGATTGCAGAAAAGTCACCATAGAGATTTTTCTTGATATCATTAAGGTCTATTGGACCAGCTTGCGGTGTCAACTCAACAGCAGAAAGAAAGGAGAGACGAGGAAATCCTGGTTTAGTCAGGTTTTCCTCCATCCTATGAGTAAAGGGACAAAAAGACAGTTACACCCTGCAAACGGATCTGCTGATCATTACATGCTTACCTTACCTTATCTTAGCATGAACCTCACATGGAACTGATTTATATTTTGTTCAGTATCACTCAGCAACCTATCAATCCCCCCGGGTCTTGAGACTGGAATCTTTCCAGGTATATTCAGTAAAAAAAAAACAGTAGTGTTGTTGCAGCAATATAGGAGAGATACTATCAAGAGAGATCCTTTCCAGAGAAAAGAAAAGTACGGCTTTATTTCCAGTTGGGACCCTGGAGTGGAGCTGTGTCCAAAAGCAACCAGAGTGCCCAATAAAGGCGTTGACTGCCTTTTATACACTTCAAATGCAGGCAAACAAAGAAACATGCTTCTACATACATTGACATCATTCTCTGCGCCACTTTAGCATCACAGAAATATCAAATTCCAACATACAAAAGGCATGTCTCTGTATTTCTTTCTAAAGAGCAGCTTACAGCTTACATTCATCAATCAAGGGGCCTACTTTGACTTGTCAGGAGGAAGGGGGGATAGACTCCTTACTTAGCTATAGCCTGGGCTATTTTGTACCACTCTCTGTATAGATAACATGCCCCTTCCTGGAATGTTTATCCCCTCCCCCTGCCCGTGCCTTGGACACAGATCTCCTTCAGTATTCTTTCTAATACAGAGAGAGAACCTGATTTTTCTATACATTTCAGTGCTTGTAAAGTACATACAATTTATACATAAATAAATATCTATTTTTCCAATACCTCCCCATCAGTGTTAACTCTTATGTTCTGTAAAACAACTTGCCCGTTGCTTCCAAACCTACCCAGATTTTGGAACACACACTTTTTTTGGAGTCCAATTTAGCTTAGCAATGAGTTGCTGCAGGAAAGCATCAAGTATAATGCCGAAACTTCAGTTCACACAGGAACAGCAAGGATATATTCTATTGTCAACCCAAGAAATGCTCAAGGCCAACCATTCCTCCTTCAACTACTATGCAATGCTGTGTAGCAGATGTGATGGGGTTTCTCAGGATACATTTGGAAAAGGAGCCCCCACGGATAGAAAATATGGAATGGCAGATTTAGCCAGAGGATAAAATTGTTGGCACTTGACTGAGATGTGAAGCCCTTAATGCCAGAACTGTTGTGATTTCTGTTACTGCTATAGGAAGAAAACTCATTAACATGCTTTAGCACACACACTCTTCCATTATTAAAAGAATGTCTGTTAGCAAGGTCATAATAAATTTAAAACATTTTGGAATTTCAAGTGTTTCTCTTCACATAACCCTCTCTCAAAGTTCAAGAAGGCGAGTCACTTCTAATTATTCAGCCACAGACTGTGATTAGAATATAAAATGCAAAAATTATGGGAGGAAGGGGCAATCAGTGTATTGACACATGTTGATTTTTTTCCCACAGGAAGAACTATTTTTTAACTTTTCAGACCTGAAAGACACCTTCAGTTCTAATGTGTAACAAGGCACCTTTTTGTAGGAAAGTATTGTTTTCTGAAACATATAATTTATCGAACAGGTATAAAGGGATAATTATTATTATTTACTTATTTATTTATCATGTCAGGGGCAACCCAGACAGTTGCATTGCATTTTTTTAACAAACAAACAGACAAAACACAAAGTTTCCAAGCTTGGTAGTTGATTAAATGTCCTTTGACCAGTAGCTGGCCACTTGGAGTGCCTCTAGTGTTGCCGCAAGGAGGTCCTCCATTGTGCATGTAGCAGGGTCCAGGTTGATATTGCAGTAGGTGGCCTGTAGTTTGCTCTTCTCCATACTCGCATGTCATGGATTCCACTTTGTAGCCCCATTTCTTAAGGTTGGCTCTGCACCTCGTGGTGCCAGAGCGCAGTCTGTTCAGCGCCTTCCAAGTCACCCAGTTTTCTGTGTGCCGGGGGGGGGGGGGGGTCTCTCATTTGGTATCAGCCATTGATTGAGGTTCTGGGTTTGAGCCTGCCACTTTTGGACTCTCGCTTGCTGAGGTGTTCCAGCGAGTGTCTCTGTAGATCTTAGAAAACTATTTCTTGATTTAAGTCATTGACGTGCTGGCTGATACCCAAACGGATGAGTTGGAGATGTCACTGCCTTGGTCCTTTCACTATTGGCTGCTACTTCCCGGCAGATGTCAGCTAGTGCAATACCCTCTAAACAGTGTAATTTCTCCAGTGGTATAGGGCGCAGACACCATGTGATGATGCGGCATGTTTCATTAAGAGCCACATATACTGTTTTAGCATGGTGAGATGTGTTCCACACTGGGCATGCATACTCAGCAGCAGAGTAGCATAGCGCAAGGGCAGATGTCATCACTGTGTCTGGTTGTGATCCCCAGGTTGTGCCAGTCAGCTTTCGTATGATATTGTTTCTAGCACCCACTTTTTGCTTGATATTCAGGCAGTGCTTCTTGTAGGTCAGAGAACGGTCCAGAGTGACTCCCTGGTATTTGGGTGTGCTGCAGTGCTCCAGTGGGATTACTTCTCAGGTAATCCTCACAGCTCGGGATGCTTGTCTGTTCTTGAGGTGAAAAGCACATGTCTGTCTTTTAGATGGATTAGGGATCAGCTGGTTTTCCCTGTAATAGGCAGTAAGAGCACCTAGAGCTTCGGAGAGCTTCTGTTCAACCATCTCAAAGCTCCCTGCTTGAGCGGTAATGGCTAATAAAATAATAATAATAATAATCTTTATTTATACCCCGCCATCATCTCCCCAAAGGGGACTTCGGGCAGCTTACATGAGGCCAGGCCCAACAACAGTGCATTACAATAAAATAAAAATAAAACCAAAGCACAAAACAACAGCATAATAAAATACCTAAAACATAAGAGTACAGTAAGCAGCCAGTGACAGCGAGCCGGCCGCATGGAAAACATAAAATACTAAAATGCTAAATACTCAGGGTGAGATAGGGATGGAGTAGATTATTTATGGGGGAGAAGCTCATCAAAGCGGGGTCGTAAAAAGGCCTTCATACAGGAGGGGGGAAGTGTACTAAAGGAGCAAATGTTGAGGTGGAGCAACTATGTATGGTTGTATGGTTACTCTCCAAAAGCGCAACGGAAAAGCCAGGTTTTGAGATTCTTCTTGAAGCTTTCTAAGGTGGGGGCTCGCCTAATCTCACCGGGCAATGAGTTCCAGAGTCGGGGGCCCATTTTAAACCAAGGCAATTCTGTTGATCAGTACCCTGCTTTCTGGACTACTAACAGGGTCCATATCCAGTTGGCGCCAACTGAGAATAAACTGTGCTTTTACAGACCTCAGGAACTCTCTTTATCTCTTTTCCTCAAACCTTCTTCCTTCCATTTCAGGATGACTGAACAAACTGTGTCTTTAGCTTTCTCCCCGACACACCAAAGAAACAAATCCACCATACTACCTGGTTTATCTCTCTGTTTTCAGTTAGGGGAGACACCGGAGAATCGCTGAATTTATACATTATTATTATTATTATTATTATTATTATTACTTTATTTGTACCCCGCTAGCATCTCCCGAAGGACTCGATGTGGCTTACATAGGCCAAGGCCTCAAAACACAATACAACAATACAATACATAAAGCAAATTAAAAACAGCAAATTAAAAACAGCTAAGCAGTATAAACAACAACAATAAAACAATACATCAAGACACTATAAAACTGGGCCAGGCCAGGGTAATGGGTACAAGATTAAAAGTGCTGATGTGGCAGGAGGTATGCAGGATTATAAGTAAGTGCAGTGTGCAGAGTGCAGCAATCTTAATTCTACTTCTAGGACTTGGTATTGGAGATTCCTAATCTGAGAAGGCACATCGGAATAGCCAGGTCTTCAAATTCTTTCTGAAGACTGCCAATGTAGGGGCCTGTCTGAGATCTTTTGGGAGGGCGTTCCAGAGTCGGGGAGCCGCCACAGAGAAGGCCCTGTCTCGAGTCCCCACCAAGCGCGCTTGTGACGCAGGCGGGATCACGAGCAGGGCCTCCCCAGATGACCGAAGTGAACGCGTGGGTTCGTAGATGGAGATGCGGTCACGCAGGTAGGGTGGTCCCAAACCGTTCAGGGCTTTGTAGGTAAGCACCTGCACCTTAAATTGGGCTCGGAAAATAAACGGCAGCCAGTGGAGCTCCTTGAACAGGAGGATTGACCTCTCTCTGTAATGAGCCCTGGTTAACATCCTGGCTGCTGCCCGTTGGACCAGTTGGAATTTCCGAGCCGTTTTCAAGGGCAGCCCTATCGTAGAGCGCATTGCAGTAATCCAATCTAGAGGTGACCAAGGCATGGACCACCCCGGCTAGATCAGCCTTCGCGAGGTACGGTTGCAGCTGGCGCACAAGTCTCAATTGTGCAAAAGCCATCCCGGACATCGCCGACGCCTGAGCCTCAAGCATGAGCAATGAATCCAAGAGGACTCCCAAACTGCGGACCTGTGGCTTCAGGGGGAGTGTAACCCCGTCCAACACAGGTTGCCACCCTATACCCCGATCCGGTTTATGATCGACCATTACAGTAAACAAGACAAGAAAGAAGATCCTTGGTTCATTCATCTACTCCTGCTTTCAATGAGAAAAGCAAGAATTTTACAGAGAGCTCCACCAGCTGATTATTAGATATGAAGAAACCTAAAGTGACCCGCTCAGACAAGTAGCACTGCCAGCATTTTTTGAAAAAAAAAAAATCTAATGTCTCAAAATTTTCCCCCCTCTGCCCTCCATAAAACACTGAAGCATTTCCATTAGAACATCAAAGATCATGTCGGAAAAAGAAAACAAGTCATCTACTTTAAAGCCAATAGGAACAAAACCTAGAATACGCATCTGGTAAAAATGTCAGAGGTAATCAAGTATTTCGTTTCTCTATTCTGAAAACTTGTTGCCAAATCTCGTATGTTCTATGTAGGTCAAAATCATATGCCTAAAATATAGCAATCCTACTTCCAAGGAAATATGCATAAAATTATGTTGTAGAAACCTACTTTCTCTTCCCTATCATACCAACATCAAACAAAAATATAGCAGCTTGCTCAAGCTTTGAATCAGTTATTAATTTTGTCCCATTGTATACACACAGGTAGTCCCCAAGTTATGAACAAGATAGGTTCTGTAGATTTATTCTTAAGTTGGAACAGGTACATTTTAAAGTGCAATTCCAGTCTGTCTATCTGCCTATCAGCTTTGGATAGTATTGGGAAGGGTTTTGGGTTGTTTTGGGGGGGGGGGGGGGGTTGGTTGTTGTGGGAACAAGGATTGATGATAAAGCTCCAGTGGAGGCCTCTTTTTCCCATAATTCTGTCAGGAGTGAATTTCCCTTCCTAGGGTTAGATTTTTCTCACTTCCTGTTGTCTCACCCTCATTCTTAACTATGAGTTATTTGTAAGTCAGATATTTTAAACTCCTGGGCTGCCTGTATAACATGATTTTCCTCCTTGTTCTAGTATCAGTGGTTCCCAACGTTTGGTCCCCCAGGTGTTTTGGACATCAGCTCCCACAATTCCTAACAGCTGGTAAACTGGCTGGGATTTCTGGGAATTGAAGTCCAAAATACCAGGAGAACCAAAGGTGGGTGAATTTCACAATTCTAGTAAAAAGCCAATCTGCATCGTGGCAGTATTTCCTGCCAATCAAATGTATGCAGGATGGGACTGCAAATGGGGATTTAACTTTCTGAATCAACATACACAAATATGCTGTGACATTTCTGTGCAATTCTGTGTATTTCCTCTGGATTAATCCCCATTTGTTTGCAGATTGTGCTTTCAAGCAAGAAAATAAAACATATTAGGGAGATACATTTTAGAAATCCCACACTACAACCAAGAATTGGATGCAAACACAAAACACACTTATAAAACAAAATCCAACATCTACAAAAGAGTGATATCATATCAAAACCATCCAAAATGCACAAGACACATGTTGCAAACTTTTGATAATCTAATGGCTTCTTCATCAGGCAGAAGACATTAAAAAGAAGGAAAGTGATAGCATTGTAGACACAGGCCCATATTTGGTACTATTTGTTGTTTCTGTTGTTCAGTTAATCTATGCCAGGGGTCCTCAAACTAAGGTCCGGGGGCCGGATATGGCCCTCCAAGGTCATTTACCCAGCCCTCGCTCAGGGTCATCCTAAATCTGAAATTACTTGAAAGCACACAACAACAACAACAACAACAACAACAACAACAACATTCCTATCTAATCAGCCAAAAGCAGGCCCACACTTCCCACTGAAATATTAATAAGTTTATATTTGTTAAAATTGCTCTTCATTTTAATTATTGTATTGTTTTAAGTGTTTTTTTGCACTACAAATAAGATATGAGCAGTGTGCATAGGAATTCATTCATGTTTTTTTTCCAAATTATAATCTGGCCCTCCAACAGTTTGAGGAACTGTGACCTGGCCCTCTGTTTAAAAAGTTTGAGGATCCCTGATCTATGAAGTGGTTTTCAAACTTAGGCTCTCCAGAAGTCTTAGATTGTAGCTGCCAGCATTCCTGGCTGTTGGCCAAGTCAGGTAGGGCGTCTGGGACTTGAAGTCAAAAATGTTTAGTAATTACTGGCGAAATATCAATATACCCAGAGGTCTTCTCAGGCACATCTGGAGTCAGAGACCATCCAAACTGCAGAATTGTGGCAGTTTGACACTATTTTAATTGCCATGGCTCCATCCGATGGAGTCCTGGGATTTGTAGTTTGGGGAGGCATCAATATCCCTTGGCAAATTACAATTCCCATGATTCCAAACCATCGGTCTATGGCAGTTAAGAATGTGTCAAATTACGTTAATTCTACAGCAGGGGTCCTCAAATTAAGGCCCGAGGGCCGGATGCGGCCCTCCAAGGTCATTTAACCGGGCCTCGCTCAGGGTCAACCTAAGTCTAAAATGACTTGAAAGCACACAACAACAATCCTATCTCAGCAGCCAAAAGCAGGCCTACACTTCTCACTGAAATACTAATAAGTTTATATTTGTTAAGATTGTTCTTCATTTTAATTATTGTATTATTTTTAAATGATTTTGCACTACAAATAAGATATGTGCAGTGTTCATAGGAATTCATTCATTTTTTTTCAAATTATAATCCGGCCCTCCAACAATTTGAGAGACTGTGACTTGGCCCTCTGTTTAAAAGGTTTAAGGGCTCCTGTTCTACAGTATAGATGCACCCACAAAATTCCTAGTTTCCAAAAACTCTTTTTATCCAGACAGGAAGGCATAAAAATTAAGAGAATGTGGAAAATGAAACAAAAAAAGTCTTCAAATTCCAGCCTAGTGTCTGGAACTCTGAAGTTTTTAAAAAGACTTAGTTTCACTGTGGTCCCTTCTGCAGCTGAATAAAATCCCACATTATCTGCTTTGAACTGGCATATATAGCAGTGTGCACTCAGATAATGCAGGGCCTTTCCACACAGCCATATAACCCAGGATATCAAGGCAGAAGATCCCACATATATCTGCTTTGAACTGAGTTATTTAAGTCCATACTGCCATATATTCCAGTTCAAAGCAGGAAATAATACTTTCAAGCCAGGCACAGAAAGCTTTTCAAATTTCGTTACATAGTGTTATTGTGCGCTACTTATTTGGAAAGTACTTGGTTCTACTTCAGAAACTTTGTTTTTGTAGCTGCCACAAATTATGTCGAATTGGTTTAGGCTTAATGAGATAGTCACTGAAAAACTTTAGTAAAATATGCTGCAGGATGTCCCGCAAGAACAACGTTTGTGCAGTTTAATAAACTTTTTCCATGTTCTTATGATAGAACCAATTAGGAAACGACATTTATAACCAAGGAACAAAAACTGTGTGGCCTAGGCCCCTTCCACCAGCTAAATAAAATCCCACATTATCTGCTTTGAGCTGGAATATATGGCAGTGTGGACTCAGATAACCCAGTTCAAAGCAGATATTGTTGGATTTCCTGCCTTGAGATTCTGGGCTATATGGCTGTGTGGAAAGGCCCATAGTGTAATTGGTCAGCAATATATAAAAAAGTTACTTTGGGAAGTTATTAGAGATGCCCTACCACCTTAATTTAGATGAGGAAAAATAATAATATTGAACTCACAAGCCAATTGTATTGGACTAGATTGCAAAGGCTTTATTACTAAGGAAAGGATGGGAAAGTACTATTTCCTTACCTGCAGGCCAGGATCCAATGGCTCACAGCTGTCGGTTAATCAGCCCTCTAGACTAGATCACCCCAAATCGTGGAAATCAAGGTTTGGAGTGATTCCTAGGCCTCTCCAATTCCATCCCAGTTACTCCTCACTAAAAAAGGGGGGGGGGGCGTCTCAAAGAACCACCCAAACCAATAGGCAAACAATGCGCAAACACTACAGAGAACAGAGCCGCGGTCTCATTTTCAAATCTAGCCGCAAAGGCTGCTGGGAGCCAAACGTCAGCGCCAAAGTGCACACTGGGAAATGTAGTTCTCTCCCGCTCCAGAGAGGCAGCTCTAGGAACCAATAGAGACTAAGCCCCGCCCCTTTGGAAGCACATTGAGGCGGGTCAGTTTGGTGTTGCTCAATGCTATTGAATCACATCTGCCCAAGAGTGCAAGCCCCAATTCTGTCCAAAGCATTCAGCTATGGCAGTTAAAGCGGGACTAAACTGCATTAATTGTACAGTGTAGACGCACCGCGGGAGTTTCCTGATTCAAAACCCAAACTAATTAGGAAACTACCAACACTGCAGTTTTGGATCCTATTTTGAGATTTGTAGTCTTGTTTGTGCCACAACAAACTATACATCCTGGGGTTCTGAAGCCTTGAATTAGGATCCAAACAGCAGTTTTGACATGTATTGTCGAAGGCTTTCATGGCCGGAATCACTGGGTTGTTGTAGGTTTTTTCGGGCTGTATGGCCATGGTCTAGAGGCATTCTCTCCTGACGTTTCGCCTGCATCTATGGCAAGCATCCTCAGAGGTAGTGAGGTCTGTGGGAACTAAGAAAATAGGTTTACGTGGGGTTGCCTCTGAAGATTGTTCGGAAACTTCAATTAGTCCAGCGGGAGGCAGCCAGATTACTCACTGGAGCGTCATACAGGGAGCATACCACCCCCCACCCCCGTTATGTCAGCTCCACTGGCTGCCGATCCAATTCCGAGCACAATTCAAAGTGCTGGTTTTGACCTACAAAACCCTAAACGGTTCCGGCCCAGCGTATCTGTCCGAACGCATCTCCCTCTATGTCCCACCTCAGAGTTTAAGATCTTCTGGGGAAGCCCTGCTCTCGGTCCCGCCTCTATCACAAGTGAGATTGGCGGGGACAAGGAGCAGGGCCTTCTTGGTGGTGGCCCCTCACCTATGGAATTCACTCCCTGGGGAAATTAGATCATCGTCATCCCTCCTTTCCTTTAGAAGGAAATTAAAAACATGGATTTGGGACCAGGCATTTGGGCAATCTAGCAGATAAGTAAAGGACGACAACGACTGATAGGAATGGAAAATGTGGAATGAAGTTATGGACTCTGAGTTGCGAACGTTGAGCATAAGACTGGTTTTTTATTGACTGTGATATATATTGATTGTTTTAACTGTTATAACTGTTTTAATTGCTGCCTATATTTTATCTGTATTATTGTTGTAGGCATCGAATTGTGCCTTTTTGAAAGCCGCCCTGAGTCCCCCCTCGGGGGTTGAGAAGGGCGGGGTAGAAGTACACGAAATAAATAATAAATAATAAATATATATCTGTGGAATGACCAGGGTGGGACAAAGAACTCTTGTGAGCTGGAGCTAGGTGTGAATGTTTCAACTGACCACCTTGATTAGCATTTGATGGCTGGGCAGTGCCTGGGGCAATCTTTTGATGAGAGGTGATTAGATGTCCCAGATTGTTTACTCTCTGTTGTTGTGCTGTTGTATTTTTTAGATTTTTTTAAAATACTGGTAGCCAGATTTTGTTCATTTTCATGGTTTCCTCCTTTCTGTTGAAATTGTCCACATGCTTGTGGATTTCAATGGCAGTGTTGACAGTTTCCTAATTAATTTGGGGTTTGACTCAGGAAACTCCCACGGTGCGGAATTAATGCAGTTTAGTCCCGCTTTCACTGCTTTAACTGCCATGGATTTGCACTCTTGGGCAAAGACAATTGGTTTAAAGGCGTGTCTTTAACTCCCACTAAAAACCCACAGGGTGATTTCCCATGGGTTTGATTTTCGCGGGCTGACTACAACTCCCGGCATGCTTCGCCATGCATTCCAAACGCAGGGAACCACCCATTTTGTAGTTCTTCCGCTCTCTCCATCCGGGTATCATGGAGGGGCTCAGTCCCAGAGGCTAATGCTAGGCGTAGGGCAGGCATGGCGGTGCTCATCCAGGGCGCCAGCCGAGGGCTGGGCTTGCAATTCTGCAAGCACCTCTTGGCCTCTCGGGAGGAGGTGCTCGTCCTCGCCACTTGCCGGCGGCCCTCGGAGGCTGAGGCGCTGCAGGCCTTGCGGGCGGAGTTCCCGCGGCGCCTGGCCCTCTACCCGCTGGACGCCACGCGAGAGGCGGAGGTGCGCCAGGCGGCCGAGGCGGTGGCCCAGGAGCACGCCGGGCTGGACCTGCTCGTCAACTGCGGGGCTCTGCTGCACCCGCGCGGCGGGCGAGGGGAAACCAGCCTGCGCGACGTCGCCGCCCAGGTGGGGGACCTGGCAGGGGCACGCCCCTTTTTATGCAAATAGGCATCCCATGCAAATATTTATGCAGATAAGGCAGCGTTTCTCAACCTGGGGGGTCAGAAGGGTGATAGTATGATAGCTGGGTCTGGAAGCTCCGAGTGTTACACTGTTTCTGCTTCGCTCCTTCGAGAGCGCTGTTTGCACCTCGCAGAATGGAAAACAGATATTATAAGAGTTATTTAACGGTATAACCTTAACCCAAACCTTAATCCGGTAATAGTATGATAGCTAGCTGGGTCGGGAAGCTCTTAGCGTTACACTGTTTCTGCTTTGCTCCTTCAGGAATGCTGTTTGCGCAACGCAGAATGGAACACAGACATAGAAGGAATGTAAGAGTTCTTTAATGGTTAAACCCAAACCCTAATCCAATAATAGTATGATAGCTGGGTCTGGAAGCTCTGAGTATTACACTGTTTCCGCTTCGCTCCTTCGGGAGCGCTGTTTGTGCAAAGCAGAATAGAACACAGATATTATAGAAGGAATGTAAGAGTTCTTTAAGGGTTAAGCCCTAACCTTTACTCTTACCTTAACCTTAACCGAAACTTTAATCCGGTAATAGTATGATAGCTGGGTCCAGAAACTCCGAGCGTTACACTGTTTCTGCTTTGCTCCTTCAGGAACACTGTTTGCGCAATGCAGAATGGAACACAGATATTATAGAAGGAATGAAAGAGTTCTTTAATGGTAAAACCCTAACCCTTACCCCAACCTTAACCTGAACCCTAATCTGGTAATCCTATGATAGCTGGGTACAGAAGCTCCGAGCGTTACACTGTTTCCAATTCGCTCCTTCGGGAGCGCTGTTTGCGCCACACAAAATGGAACACAGATATTATAGAAGCAATGCAAGAGTTCTTTAATGGTAAAACTCTAACCTTTGCCCTAATCCAAACCCTATAGTATGATAGCTGGAAGCTCTGAGCGATACGCTTTTTCTGCTTCGCTCCTTCAGGAGCACTGTTTGCGCAATGCAGAATAGAACACAGATATTATAGAAGGAATGTAAGAGTTCTTTAATGGTAAAACCCTAACCTTGACCCTAACCCTAACCTTTACCCAAACCCTAATCCGGTAATAGTATGATAGCTGGGTCTGGAAGCTCTGAGCATTACGCTGTTCCAGCTTCGTTCCTTCCGTTCTGTGCCACGCAGAACGGAACACAGATATTATAGAAGGAATTTAAGAGTTCTGTAACGGTAAAACCCTTACCCGAACCCTAACTTACCCTAACCCAAACCCTAATTCTAATCCTAACCCAAATGCTAACCCTAATCCTAACCCTTACCCTAAACTTTATCCTAACCCTAATTCTCTCCTTTTTATCCTTCCACCAAATGCAACTATGAAGTTTATTCCCGCCCTCAGTGTGCCGCTCTCCCCTTCCCTTATTCACAGCCACCGTTGCGGGATCTGCATAATGCTCGGAGTTTCCAGACCGAGCTATCATACTTGCACCCCTAATCCTAACCCTAAACCTCACCCTAAGGCTAACCCTAATCCTAACCCTTACCCTAACCCTAAACCTTATCCTAACCGTCCCCTCCTTTCTCTCTGGACCACGTGGTCCCTTCCCTTATTCACAACCACCGTTCTGGAATGTGCGTAACACTCAAAGCTTCCAGACACAGCAATCATACTATCACCCAGGACTCCAGGTTGGGTTGCAAGGGGGTTTCAAAGGGGTCACCAAAGACCATCAGAAAACATATACGGGCTGTGTTGCGGCTAGTTGCCAGCTGCATTAAATCACTGACCAAGAGGTCATGAGTTTGAATCCAGCCCAGGGAGGAGTGAGCTCCTGACCATTAATAGTCTAGCATGCTGTTGACTTTTGTAGCCTGAAAGGCAGTTGCATCTGGAAATTTAGGTACCGCTATATACGGGGACGCTTATTTAGGTAATAATATGATAGCTGGGTCTGGAAGCTCCAAGCATTATGGAGATACCACATCGCTCCTTCGAGAGCACTGTTTGCACAAGAGAGACTTAGCTAATGTAAGCCAGGCTGAAGACAGATATGTAGAAGGTAATTGTGAAACCCTAACCCTTGCCCTAACCCTTACCCTAACCCTTACCCTAATCCTGAACTGCACCGTAAGCCTAAGCCCAAACCCTAAACCTTACCCTAAACTGTACCCCAAACCTAACCCCTAACCTTAATCCTTACCCAAACCCTAAACTTTGCCCTAACCCTTACCCTAAGTGTCCCCTCCTTTCTATTACAGTATATGCATGTATATGACTAAGTTTCTGTAAGGATTGTCTCTGTGTGTGTGTGTGTGTGTGTTAAGGGAACCTTGAAGCAATCAAGGTTAACAAGCATGAACCACTCCCTGAATGGGGTATAACTTGGGGAGTGTTTTGTAATGGATTTTGGGACTTTCTGAAACACTTGCCTCAGAACTTACACGGAGTAAGTTCCAGGCCAAGAGCTTATTATGCTTGTATCCTTGCAACATTTGAAGGAAGAAGTAATCTACAAAGAAGATGCATGAATTAATGCTAAGGACTTTATGTGAGTTTATTTTCTGCAGATGGACTGAGCTATTTCAAAGCTGGATATTTTGTGTTTTTGAAGCTGCTTATTTGAGAGTAAATTTTGATTTTCCCATTTACTTGGCTCATATTTACTCATTGTAGATGAACAAAAGGCTGGGAAGTCTGGACAGGACTGCACACATTCTGGGTTTGCTTTCGTATAAACTGCAACACTTTCTATCCTTCCTTCAGTCTCCCCGCTCTCACTCTGCCCCTTTTTTCCGTTATTCACAGCCACCTTTGCGGCATCTCTGTAACACTCGGAGCTTCCGAACCCAGCTACCATATTATCACCCTAATTTAACTAATTTACAACACCATAAAACCTTCCAGCAGTGTGTGTAAGAATGAGGAAGTACTCCATCAAGTACTTGGTGTCATAAGTGGATGGTGAAGCAGCAGCTCCCCCTGTGGCCAGAATCGAGCTCCTTCCAGCTACCCTCATGAAGCTGGAATGTTAAATTGCCTCTGTGTCTGTCTATATATGTTGTATGTCTAATAGCACTAAATGTTTGCCATGTATATGTGCATTGTAATCCGCCCTGAGTCCCCTGAGAAGGGAGGAATATAAATACTGTAAATAAATAAATAAAATAAATATACTTTTAAATATTCTTACCAATTTACTTTTCCGAACATATCTCCCTCTACGATCCACCTCGGAGTTTAAGATCGTCAGGGTAGGCCCTGCCTTGATAATCTCTACCTGTTCTTCTCTTCCTTTTTGGAAACAGACGGTGGATCCTTCCACCGAAAGCCCTCCTCTGCTGTGATTGGCCAGCCTCAGCCAAGGAGAGGGCTGTTTCTGAGACTCCAAGCGGGAAGGGGAGAGCAGGTGTGCTTGGCACATGGCACTGTGTTGTGCCTTTGTTTCGTATGTGCCGATGAGGGAGAGTGTGCGAGGCTGGAGGGAGGCTTGTGCCAGCAAGTCCCCTCAAAGCATGGGGGTTCTGTGTGGGAAGTTTGGCCCAATTCTATTGGGGTTCAGAATGGTCTTTGGTTGTAGGTGAACTGTACATCCCACAACTACAACTCCCAAATGACAAGGTCTATTTTCCCCAAATTCCAGCAGTGTTCATATTTCGGCATATCAAGTATTCCTACCAAGTATGGTCCAGATCTATCATTGTTTGAGTCCACAGTGCTCTCTTGATGTAGGTGAACTACAAATCCCAAACTCAAGGTCAATGCCCATCAAACCCTTCCAGTATTTTCTGTTTGTCATGGGAGTACTGTGTGCCAAATTTAGTTCAATTCCATTGTTGATGGAGTTCAGAATACTCTTTGATTGTAGGTGAACTATAAATCCCAGCGGCTACAACTCCCAAATGACAAAATCAATCCCCCCCCCCCAACCCCACCAGTATTCAAAATTGGGTGTATCGGGTATTTGTGCCAAATTTGGTCCAGTGAATGAAAATACATCCTGCATATCAGATATTTACATTATGATTCATAACAATAGCAAAATTACACTTATGAAGTAGCACCAAAAATAATTTCATGGTTGGGGGTCACCACAATATGAGGAACTGTATTAAGGGGTTGCAGAATTAGGAAGGTTGAGAAATACTGGTTTATGGCAATATGTTGTTGGAGGCTTTCATGGCCAGAATCACAGCCCAGGTGGAGAAGGGGGTCGGGATACATCCCCATTTATGCAAATAGCATCCCATGCAAATAGGACTCCCATGCAAATATTTGTGCCAATATGCCTGCTTTTTTGTGTGTGTGTGTGTGTCAGGAGTGACTCCTGGTGTGAGAGAATTTGCTGTCTGCAAGGACGTTGCCCAGGGGACGCCTGGATGATTTGATGTTTTTATCATCCTTGTGGGAGGCTTCTCTCATGTCCCTGCATGAGGAGCTGGAGCTGATAGAGGGAGCTCATCCGCCTCTCCCCGGATTCGAACCTGCGACCTGTTGGTCTTCAGTCCTGCCGGCAAAGGGGTTTAACCCACTGCGCCACCGGGGGCTCCTAATATGCCTGCTTAGAACTTAAAAGGCACCCGTCTTGAGGTTGGAAGCTAAGCAGGGTCAGTCCTGTTCTGTACTTCAGTGGTGTAACATTTATAAATATATCTTTCATGGAAATATTAGGACTGTGCAATCGATGAAAAAACATTTCAAAACTCATTACAAAATTACTGGGTGCTGGCTTTTCATTTCTTTAGTATCATTAGTATCGAGAGTAATTACATTTCGTTATAGTAATTGTGCAATTGGGGAAACATCAGGGATTCCTTTCTCCCTCATTTTTACAGGGGTGAAACTTGCTACAACAGTAGAACACATTTACCACTGTTAGACCATCAAGTCTCAGAACATTTCACTTATCCATAGAGTTTTGAGGAATTTTCCGTTTTTATAAACAATTAAAAAAAAACGGCAAGAGCTGTCCCTTGAATTTTCTTTGCAATGACAAAGATAACAGGGGATCATCCCCCCCCCCCAACTTTCTGAAATATTCATGCATCTACTGATTTTTGGGATATTTTAAAAGTTTTGAGGAAAATGACTTCTTTGGTTATTTAAAGCCACAACAGCTATCTCATTGAATGCCTCTCATATTTACCAATACAGCTTCCATTTTGGGATTTCTTCCGAGCCCAACATAGAGATTTACTTACTAGAAGTATCGATCAGACCTTCTCTTTGTAGATTCAACAATTTATTGGAACTCTGACTGGCTGCTGCTACAGAGGGACAAATCTCTCCCCTCTCCTAATTGGGACTTTCTGATACTGAGCAGAATTCTGAGAAATGTAGTTTAGGGCAGGGCCTTTTGAATTCTCTGGAATAGGGCTTCTCACCTTCCCAAACTACATTTCCCAGAACTCTGTGCTTTCTCAGTCTCTTTCCCAGCAAACTCTGCTTTCTCCCTGCTTCTTCCCTCTCCTAATGGCAAGAGGCCATTAATTTAAAGAGGAAAGGTAGCCTTTTTGGCTTGGCTTTGCTTCCTTGGCGCTGAAAATGAAACTGACTTTGGGAGTCTTTCGAGATTTACAAAATACAAACCAAAAAGTATTTAGTAAGTTTTGATTCTTAAGTTTTTGATGCAGGCCATGCCCACATGTCAGTTATCACATCATAAGTACAAATTTAACACATTTGCTATGACTTAGCGACTAACGAAAAAATTGCACACACCTAACAGTTATGCACCCAATCCCACCTGAGCTCGGAAGCTAAGCAGGCTCAGCCCTGCCTAGTACTTGGATGGTATGCCAGATGCCAATATATCATTCATGCAGATATGCCTCCCATTCAAATATATATGCAAATATTGCATCCCATGCAAATATTCATGCAGATATGGCCTCCCAGACAAATATGTATGCAAATATGCCTCCTAAGAACCTAAAGGCACCCGTCTGGGCTTAGAAGCTAAGCAGGATCAGCCCTCAGCAGTATTTATATGGTGTGCCCGATGCCAATATGTCTTTTATGCAAATATTTATGCAGATATACCTTTTATACAAATATAGACACAAATAAGCCTGCTAGGGATCTAAAGAGCTTGGGAGCTAAGCAGGGTTGGCCCTGGTCAGTATTTGGATGGTGTAACTGATACCAGTATGTTGCTCATACAAATAATTATGCAAATATTTGTGCACAATATGCCATTCATGCAAATTATTAGTTAAGAATGCATTTCATATGGATATTTATGCAGGTATACCTTTCATGTGATTTTTAAAGGCAAATAGGCCTTTCATGCAAGTATTGCTCACTGATAGGACCTGAAGGCACCAGATCCTGTCTAAACTTAGAAATTAAGCAGGGTTAGCCTCAGTCAGTACTTAGATGGTATACCAGCTATTCTGGGTTATGTTTCAGGGTAAAGAGGTATGAAAACCAACCGTTATTATTCCCAGCCTAAGCTGACCTTATGATATTCAGTGGGCAGCCATAAGTTGAAAACCTGTTTGAAATTAAGTAATGGTATGCACTAGGCATGGTTAGGTGCAGTCGGAATCTTTGTAATTCAGAATAAATTCGGAAAGATTTGCTTTTTAAAGCGATTTCGGAGTTTGTAAGGAAACCGGAAGTCCCTTTGCCCTTCCGAAGCTTTTCCCGTCATTTATGTTGCAAAGCAGTAAGTGAGTCAAAAATCATTCAGCTTTTCCCTGCTTCTGGTCCCTGGCCTCGTCTCAAGCCTGGGAACCTGTTTTAAACCAGAATGGATGAATTTCCTCCCTTTCCTCTCCCGCCGCTTCTGTCTCAAGCCTGAGAACCCGTTTTAAACCAGAGTAGATGAATTTCCTCCCTTTCCTCTCCCCCCGCTTGTGTCTCAAAACTGAGAAGCTGCTTTAAACCAGAGTGGAGGAATTTCCTCCCTTTCCTCTCCCTCCGCTTGTGTCTCAAGCCTGGGAAGCCGTTTTAAACCAGAGTTGATGAATTTCCTCCCTTTCCTCCCCCCCCCCCCCGCATGTGTCTCAAGCCTGAGAAGCTGCTTTAAACCAGAGTGGAGGAATTTCCTCCCTTTTCTCTCCCCCCGCTTGTGTCTCAAGCCTGGGAAGCTGTTTTAAGCCAGAGTTGATGAATTTCCTCCCTTTCCTCTCCCCCTGCTTGTGTCTCAAGCCTGGGAAGCCGTTTTAAACCAGAGTGGAGGAATTTCCTCCCTTTGCTCCCCCCCTTCTGTAGTAAAACAACTATTTTCAAAGTAAAGACCTCCCAGCGAAACAGGAAATTACACTTTCAAACCATTAAGTAAGGATTCGGAAGTTTTGAAAAGTTTTGAACATTTTTTTCTGTGAAAATCGGAATTGACTTTAGAATCGAATCACCAGCGCCCCCTACATCCGAGTTTTGAACTGTTTATTTTATAATCAAACAAGCCTAGTATGCACATCTTCAAGATAGCCATTGGGTTATGAACATTTCCATAGGTGTAAATGTCCTAAAGGTGCCAGATGCTGTCTGATCTTGGAAGTTAGTCAGGGTCAGCCCTGGTCAGGACTTGGATGTTGGCTCTGATTATGGAAGTTCATGGGAGTACCACAGCTTGACAGGTAGCTTGAAATTAAAGGGCGGGTGCATCTTTGAGTCTCAATATTGATAAGAAGACCTTACAGTTTATAGTATGGGTCTTTTTGTGTCTTTTCAATGGTTCCTTTTTATTTAATGTTCAACCCAGGACCTTGCTTTAACACTGGCGACAAACTCTATAGGACCCTTAGTGGTAGCGAAATATTTTACGCCATTGCTGCTGAATGGAACAGGAGCCTTTGGACGTCAAAGTACTGATCCAGGCAAAAAGCATCAAGCTATCCTTGTGAACATGTCTGCCAGAGTTGGATCCATAGGCGATAATGGTAAGCTTTGTGTCCACAATCAAGATTTTGATTGTGTACTTAAAATGTTTGAAACATGAACCTTTCTCCTACCTCAAGTCTAGCTGTATCTAATGAAGTTCTGCCTTGGACATCCACCCTGTTTGCACAGTTGATGTGATTTTGTGTAACATTCCCTCAACATTTCAATGTTCCTTTGGTAACTTAATGCATTATCTTTAGGCAAAAATAATTGACTACAAAATTGCAGTCATAAGGTTATCACAGAAATGATCCCGAGCCCCTCTAGTTTAATTATCCCATTTTTTTGTCATGGCTCTTTAAAAGGTTTTTTTTAAATGATAAGTCACCCCATTTTTTTCAAACTGCCCCATTATGTTAAATGAAACTTATTCCCAGTCAAATCCTTGTAACGCCACAACCTTAAAAGAAGTAGTTAAAGTTAATTAGGCGTCACTATTATTGCTGTACAGTGGGCAGTAAAAGATTTCATTATTTTAATCCATCTTAGAAGCATTTGGAATTCACTTCTGTTGAAACTTTAATTATTATTACTATTATTTGAAACACAACAAGATGAGTCCACAGCAGACACTCTGCTGACTTTTGTATTGGATCATACATTGGACACTTCCCAAGTGTCTAGGTCTGTGTGATGTATCGGYGAATGATGCATGCAGATCCCAGTAAGGTGGCCTTCTGCAGCTGGAAGATGGTAATCTTGTCAGCGCCAATTGTGTTTAAGTGCAGGCCAAGGTCTTTAGGCACTGCACCCAATGTGCCGATCACCACTGGGACCACCTTTACTGGTTTATGCCAGAGTCTTTGCAGTTCGATCTTTAAATTCTCATATYGTGTCAGCTTTTCCAGTTGTTTCTCTTCAATCCTGCTGTCACCTGGGATTGCAACATCGACAATCCATACTTTGTTTTTTAACACGAYTGTGAGGTCAGGAGTGTTGTGCTCCAAAACTCTGTCTGTCTGATTTYGGAAATCCCAGAGTAGTTTGACGTGTTCATTCTCTGTAACTTTTTCTGGCTTGTGATCCCACCAGTTCTTTGTCKCAGGCAGATGGTATTTGTGGMACAAGTTCCAATGAATCATCTGAGCAACGGTGTTGTGCCTCCGCTTGTAGTCTGTCTACATGATCTTCTTGCAGCAGCTGAGGATGTGATCTATTGTTTCATCTGCTTCCTTGCAGAGTCTACATTTAGGATCTGACTTCGAGTTTTCAATTCAATTCTGGCTTTGATGGCATTGGTTCTAATGGCTTGTTCTTGGGTTTATTATTATTATTATTATTATTATTATTATTCACAATGGAACTGGACAATGCTTGATAATAATGAGACTCTAATTATGTTGTTTTTATTAATTTTGTGGTGTTTTATATTGTTTAATGTTTTAATCTGTATTACATTTTTATATGTACTGATTTGTTGAAAACTGCCTTGAGTTGCCGATTGGCTGAGAAAGGCAGTATGCAAATACAGTAAATAATAATAATAATACCAGCACCATCTCCCCGTACATAAAATGAACAATACATAAGTGGTTACAAAACTTTACAAGAAACCCTGTCCACATATATGTGTTGGATATTGGGACACTACCTATAGTGCCATATAATGCAGCTCGAAACTACATTATATAGTCAGTGTAGACTCATATGATGCAGTTTAGTGCTGTTAAACTCACACTGACCACATAATGCAGTTTGAAAAGGTGTCTTCACTGAAATCTTGTTTCCACAGCAAGCCACATTTTTCAGTATCCAATTATCACAGGGATAGATAATGAGGTGAAATCTTCTGAACAGCAAAACAAATACAGGGGTGTTAACCTTTTCCTGTGTGTGTGTGTGTGTGTGAGTGAGTGAGTGAGTGAGTGTATGTAAAATGAGAGAATGAATGAGACTGGAGTTACAGTTAAAAATGTACCTTTTCTGACTTACATACAAATTCAACTTAAAAACAAACCTTATTCGTAACTTGGATATATGGAAAAACTCTTACAGGAAAGACAGGACTTAATGCTCCTTTTTCTCTTGGTAATGTTCTGCATCTCAGGGTTGGATTTTTACATTTTTGGAATGTCATTGTGAGCATATCTTAATCCATTTCGTAGTCTTGTTCATTGGATCTGTGGATATTGTGCAAGCTCCCTTGAATATTTGGGTACTGTGCCATTCCCACACAATCATTAAGCAATTTTGACAACATTTGGATTAACAAGGAACACCATGTTTATTAACAGATAAACCAATGATAATTACAGTAGCAATAGGGAGCTCAAAGGCTTCACCATATCTTTCTAATGGCATTCAACATGATGAATTTAATTACCAACCTACCCATATTATTTCAGCTCAGATATTATTCAGCAGTTGCGTTGAAGTAAATCCAGATGTTGTAAGCAAAGGTGTTGTCTGTGACTGTACAGAGGTACTACACATACTGAATCTGTTTACCAACTTCTGCTTTGTTTTTCAGCCTTGGGCGGATGGTATAGCTACCGGATGTCTAAAGCAGCTTTGAACATGGCTACCAAGAATCTCAGCATTGAACTCAGGAGGGGAAAAGCTAAAGTAATATGTGTTTCCTTGCATCCTGGGACTGTAAACACTGATTTATCCAAACCTTATCATAAGAATGTGCCCAAGGGCAAACTCTTCTCTCCAGAACACTCAGTTAATTGTCTAATGAGTATTATAAACAATCTTGATATGGAACAAACTGGGAAGTTTTTTGCCTGGGATGGTTCAGAATTGCCATGGTGATTAACACTTCCCCTACAATCTTAAGCACCTCTTCGGAAATAGGAAACAACAGAGACTATTACCAAGTATGCCTATAAAATACAAGTAGATAAGTTTTGGGGGCTGCAAACCAGTTTTCCAAAACTGAAGAATGCACTGAAACTGTTGGGTGTCCACTTACAGATCAGTAAAAATATTTTTAAATGTTAAAATACCTATGTAAAGAGAAGGTATGCACCTTGCTTAAAAGATGAACTGCTATACTTGGAGGGTTCTAGTAGTGAGGAATTATAAGGTAAAGGTAGAGGTTTCCCCTGACATTAAGTCTAGTCGTGTCCGACTCCGATGGATGGTGCTCATCTCCATTTCTAAGCCGAAGAGCTGGCATTATTGGTAGAAGCCTTCAAGGTCATGGGGCCAGCATGACTGCAGGGAGTGTTGTTACCTTCCTGCAGAAGCAGCACCTATTGATCTACTCACATTTGCATGTTTTCAAACTGCTAGGTTGGCAGAAGTTGGGCCTAACAGCGGGAGCTCACCTCGCTCCCCGGATTCAAACCGCCAACCTTTCGGTCAGCAAGTTCAGCAGCTTGGTGGTTTAACCCGCTGCGCCACCAGAGGGCACAAGGAATTATACTTTGCTGAAAAATAAGATTCTGGTGCGGGACACATTTTTCTCATGGATCAGATACCTCCCAATGCTGGTATAATGAATTGCAATTTTAAGAAGATTGCTGAAGATATTGCTCTGGTTCTGCAAAGCTTGGAACTGTGGAAACACTTCTCACATAATCTTTACAAAATTATAAGTGTACCATCCCTTTTTGATTGGAGTGTGGAACATTTAGTCCTCAGATATTTGGGTCGTCAGGACTCAGAGGTCCTCATAACAGTGGATAATGGCAAAGTGTTGTGGGATTTGTAGTCCAATGTGCATAACCCATGGTACAAAAATGGTTTATTTTTACCCTCTACAGACAAATGGTATTTCCAATTTTAGCTCACATTAATAAAAAGCTGAGAGGCAACATCCTGAAAAACATCAAGAAGAAAATTGCAATGGAACATCAGTGAAGACAAACTTTTATATACATAACAATGGTGGCAAGAATAATTTATGCAAGGACATTGAGACAAAAATCAAGATCTCTAAAAGAAGATTGGATAAAGAAAATTCTTGACATTATGAATATGGACATTACAAAGACACACAATAAACATATGAAGACAACAGAAAATACTTGGAAAAAAGAAAAAGTGAAGTTACTAATCTAAAAAGGGGAAAGGATATAAAACTTTGACAAACAGAACCGCCACTAAGAGAAAGAAGAGAAAAAGTATAAAGTTCAAGAAACCAAGAATAAAAACTTATATAATCCACTATGAAGAGAAATGGAAGAAACTACCATCTTACTACATTTTTTTTCTTTCTATCCCTGTCCCTTTACTCCCAATTTCTACCCCCTCCCCATACCCTTATTCCCATCCCATCCCCATTTACCTGGATATTACCCTGGAGCTTTCGTCCTTTTTCTTTGTATTCATTTTTCTTTTGTTTATCTTATTTATTTTTATCTTTTTTTTTTCATCCCCCCTCCACAGTATGTTGTAGAAAAATCCCTTAATAAAATTTTGTTAAAAGAAGAAGAAAAAGAAAACTGCAAAAACATTCCAGGCAGAATAATGCTGGTGGCTGCAAATCAATAATGTGCACAAAGACCTGGCTACTGGCATGAAACTTAATGGGGGAGCAGCCATGACTGGCTATTCAAGAGGGATCATCAGAGGAGTTCAACTCTCCACCTTTCTCTCTATCTCCCTCTGCTCTACGAGTAAAACTGGGTCATACTTTGAGGAATACCTAAAACATTAAGGAATAATATACAAAATCACCTTAAGAACAGGCAATGAACTGTGTTTCAATGTAACATGCTTCAATGCAGTTGGCCCTCTGCAGCTGCAAGTTTTACTTTTGCAGATTTGATTATTTGCAGATTTAATTAATATGCTCTCTCTAGAAATCTCTATGTCATCCAACATGCTTTTGCTGGGAATTGACCATTGAATTGCACTGAAGAATCTAGAGATTCCTAGAGAGAACAATCCTTTAGGCCAGCGTTTCTCAGCCTGGAGGTCATGATTCTGGGGGGGGGATGAGGGGGCTCCAGAGGGGTCACCAAAGACCATCAGAAAACATATATTTCTGATGGTCTTAGGAACCCCTTTGGCAGAGAAGGCTGAAGATCTCTCCGCCTGTCCTCCTCTTCCTTTTTTGAAACAGACTGCAATTCCTCCCACCAAAAGCCCTCATCCACTGTGATTGGCCAGCCTCTCGACCAAGGGTAGAGCTGTTTCTGAGACTCCAGGGAGGGGAGAGCAGGCGTGCTTGGTGCATGGCAGCATGGTGCGCATGTACAGGCAAGGGAGAGCATGCAAGGCTGGAGGGAGGTTCATGCCAGTGAGTCCCTTCAAGACATGGGGGTTCTGTGTGAGAAGTTTGGCCCAAATTCAGAATGCTGTTTGGTTATAAGTGAACTATAAATTCCAGCAACTACAACTCCCAAATGTCAAGGTCTATTTTCCCCAAACACCACCACTGTTCACATTTGGGCATATTGAGTATTCCTTCCAAGTCTGGTCCAGATCTATCATTGTTTGAGTCCACAGTGCTCTCTGGATGTAAGTGAACTACAACTCCCAAACTCAAGGTCAATGCCCACTAAACCCTTCCAGTATTTTCTGTTGGTCATTGGAGTTATGTGTGCCAAGTTTGGTTCAATTCCATCACTGGTGGAGTTCCAAATGCTCTTTGATTGTAGGTTAACTATAAATCCCAGCATCTATAACTCACAAATGATGAAATCAATCCCCCCCAACCCCACCAGTATTCAAATTTGGGTGTATCGGGTATTTGTGCCAAATTTGATCCAGTGAATGAAAATACATCCTGCATAGCAGATATTTACATTATGATTAATAACAGTAGCAAAATTGCAGTTATGAAGTAGCAACAAAAATTATGTTATGGTTGGGGGTCACCACAACCTGAGGAACTGTATTAAGGGATCGCAGCATTAGGAAGGTTGACAACCACTGCTCTAGGCATTTGTAGGTCCTCTAGAATAACTCTACAGCCAGCATTTGGCGGAAAGTTGAAAGTAGAGTCATAATACAGGATCTAGAGATTCCTAGGGAGGCGTTCTGTCTGGTTAAAAACAATGTTTTATTTGTGGTTTTCTAGTGCACCCTTAACACCAATGAATGTGCACAGATGAATCCTGGTAGACACCTGGCTCTGCACATAGTACAGATGGAAAAAAACAAAAACAGTGACATAGCTTCTATGCACAAGTGGATACAGTCGCAGGTCATGAAGGGTAATAGTCTCCCTTGGGCTGTCACACCCTCAATTGTATATTATTCATGCATGGTGTAAACAAATAAGAGCATCAAATATTGAAAAGTGCTCTGAGGAAAGGTTGGAGGAGTTGGGTGTGTTCAGTATGGAATAATACTTGATGTCACAACAGAAATGAGCAAAGATTTGCACTCAACTAAATGTCAGGAGAAATCCATAATAGCAAGAGGTGCCCAACAGTGAAAGAATCCCATTTGGAAACTTCAGAAAGAGGCTGAACATTTCTTCGCCGTGGCCTACAAGCAAAACTGTTTGGTTTTATCACTGTTGATTTTCTCCTAATATTCCCCTTCATTTTATTGTATCAAATTAAACAGCACAACATAGGGAGGGTGGAGAATTTGCATGGAATTTCATGCAGTTTTGAAAGATTTTTCCCGATTACCATATACATTTATGTTGTTGTTGGGTTGTTGTAGGTTTTTCGGGTGGTATGGCCATGTTCTAGAAGCATTCTCTCCTGACGTTTCATCTGCATATGTAGCAAGCATCCTCAGAGGTTGTGATAATGCTTACCAAAAATTCAGGTGAAACATCAGGAGATAATGCTTCTGGAACATAGCCATACAGCCCGAAAAACCTACAACAACTCTGTGATTCTGGCCATGAAAGCCTTTGATAATACATTGTTTATTCATTCAGTCACTTCCGACTCTTCATGACCTCATGGACCCACTCCAGAGCTCCCTGTCGGCCGTGGCTAACCCCAGCTCCTTCAAGGTCATGCCAGTAACTTCAAGGATACCATCCATCCATCTTGCCCTTGWTYGGCCCCTCTTCCTTTTTCCTTCCATTTCCTCCAGCATCACTATCTTSCCAAGTTTTCCTGTCTTCTCATTGTATGGCCAAAGTACTTCATCTTTGCCTCTAATATCCTTCCTTCCAGTGAGCAGTTGGGCTTTATTTCCTGGAGGATGGACTGGTTTGATCTACTTGTGGTCCWCTCTCAGAACTTTCCTCCAACACCACAGTTCAAAAGCATCTATCTTCCTTTGTTTAGCCTTCCCTAAGGTCCAGCTCTTATAAATTTATGTAATCCACCTAACGTGCATCACCCCCCCCCCAAAAAAAAACCCCTCAGTTGTGAATATGCACCTATCTAGCTATCTGATGTTTATGAAGTGTATATTGTTCTCATTTCATTTCTTCTAATAGTTCTGGAAGACTTCCACACTTGAGGCATGGACCATTTATTTTTGCAGATGTCTTAGAAAGTGCAGAAGGGCTGCTTCTGTCAAGATAGTCAAATCCAACAAAATTATTTCCATCCCTGCCTGACATTTCTACAATTTAGAACACGATGCCCATCATAGTCTTTCAAAACGATTGCAAAAATACAACTTTTTAAAGGGTACCGTCACAGAAAAATGTATCTCAGGCACCTTTTTACTCTGTGTCCCAATAAGTTTTAATTTTCTATTTGCCAAGCAGAAGTTAGGTATATTTTTATTTATTTATTTACTATTTATTTATTTACAGTATTWGTATAYCGCTTTTCTCACCCCGAGGGGGACTCAAAGCGGTTTACACATAAGTAATGGCAAAATTCAATCAAATTAAAACAATACATCCATAAGCAGTAAAACAATCATTAAAACAATAAAACYGTCTCGTCCGTCGAATCGCCATTCCAGTCATTGTCTTTCCGAAATGCTGCATACATTTACTTCTACTTCCCGAAGGCCTGATCCCAAAACCATGATTTTAATTTTTTTCTAAAAGCCAGTAGGGAGCGAGCAGATCTTACCTCATTTGGGAGTGTGTTCCATAGGCGGGGGGCCACAGCCAAGAAGGCCCAGTCTGTTGTCCCCACCAGACGCATCTGTACTGTTGACGGGAGCGAGAGCAGGGCCTCTCCGGATGATCTTAGATTACGAGGTGGGACGTAGGGGTGGATGCGTTCGGACAAGTAAACTGGGCCAGAACCCTATAGAGCTTTATAGGTCAAAACCAGCACTTTGAATTGGGCTCGGAGATGGACCGGCAGCCAGTGGAGCTGGCATAACAGGGGTGGTATGCTCCCTGTATGCCGCCCCAGTTAGTAATCTGGCTGCCGCCCGTTGAACTAACTGAAGTTTCCGAACCGTCTTCAAAGGCAGCCCCACGTAGAGCGCGTTGCAGTAGTCTATTCAGGATGTAACCAGAGCGTGGACCACCGTGGCCAGATCAGACTTCCCAAGGTACAGGCACAACTGGTGCACAAGTTTTAATTGTGCAAAAGCTCCCCTGGCCACCACCGAAACCTGCGGTTCCAGGCTCAGCGATGAATCCAGGATCACTCCCAAGCTGCGAACCTGTGTCTTCAGGGGGAGTGTAACCCGATCCAACACAGGCTATACTTGTATACAGCCTTTCTCAGCCTATTGGCAACTCAAGGCAGTTTACAACAAGTCAGTACACATAATAGCAAAATACAGATTAAGCATTAAAACAATATAAAACTACAATAGAACAATAAAAACATCATTATCATTAGCGTCTCCTAGTTAAAAACATTGTCCAAACTTCATTGTCAAGTAATTTCATTTCCTATGTCAGTTACTCTGCATTTGTAAATGCTTGCTCGTATAGCCATGTCTTAACTTGTCTCCAAAACATTAAGAGTGAGGGAGCCGGTCTAATCTCCTTAGGGAGGGCATTCCATAGCTGAGGGGCCACCACAGATAAGGCCCTGTCTCTCATCCCCGCCAAACGTACTTGTGATGAAGGCGGGATCGAGGGCAGGGCTTCCCCGGATGATCTTAAAGTCCTAGATGGCTCATAAGGGGAGATGCGTTCAGTTGGGTAAGTTGGGCCAGAACCATATAGAGTAATCATAGTATACATCTGATGTTTGGTTTAAAATAGTACAACAGTTACTTCACAGACTCATTATAACATGTTGAAAGATTAAAATGAGAAAGAAATGGGGATTCTTGGGGCATAGGCATTCTTTCTCGCAGTGAAAATGGGTATTCTTTTCATTATGCTCTTTGCCCTGCATTAATGTTTTATCTGTCATTAGAGAAGGTACATAAATATTACTCACCAAAATTGCCTTCAAAAACATGATGAACTATGCAACAGGCATTGCAGAAGGATCACATGAAACACTCTGGGAAATATTTTTGGTACATGGGTAATGCCCTCCACTTGTTATGCCTGTTTTGACTTACCTTTCAGCTAGGGGATATCTAAATACCAAACAATGCACACAGCCTTGTGCAATGTCTTCTGGAGCTTGCAAAGAGACAGTTGATGCCTTTGCTTGAGACAGCATCATTTATTATATAGTCTAACTGACATTTTAAAAAATTTAAATCCGAAAAGACATCAGCATTTTGAGTTGTGCCAGCTTTTTTTTCCTAATATGAAATCAATCATATTAATTTTCGGAAATTTATAAAATTATAAACCTTCAGATTAACAAAACTGCACATTTTAGGTAAAGGTACAGGTTTTCCCCTGACATTAAGTCCAGTTGTGTCCGACTCTGGGGGTTGGTGCTCATCTCAATTTCTAAGCCAAAGAGCCGGCGTTGTCCATAGGCACCTCCAAAGTCATGTGGCTGGCATGACTGCATGGAGCGCCATTACCTTCCTGCCAGAGTGGTACCTATTTTCACATTTGCATGTTTTCGAACTGTTAGGTTGGCAGAAGCTGGAGCTAACAATGGGAACTCACCCCGCTCTCCAGATTCTAATCGGTGACATTTCGATCTGCAAGTTCAGCAGCTAAGCGGTTTAACCCACTGCACCACCAGGGGCTCCATTTTTATTTTTATTCCCCAAAATTATATTTTATTGCAGAATCTACATTGAGCTAGAACCACAGTGTAGAGCAGTGGTTCCCAACCTTTTCTTTTTGTCCAGGAACCACTTGACCAGAAGATCACTTTGACCAGCGACCACTTGAACAGGGACCACGCTCCAGCATTAGTACCAAAAGGATTATGAATCGGTTTTTGGTGAACTTTAGACTGGATTTGGTAATTGGGGTGCCGATTCAGAAAATTGCATTGGATAGACACATCAGCTCTAGTTTCTGATACAGAACATAGGCCATCCAGTAGTCACCATCTGCTTGCCCACAGGAAACCATATTTAATAATCTAGAGCTGATGTGGTAGTAGGAATCTTTCATGGCTAGTCAGCCTCTCCCCTTCCAACATCTTTTGGATTCTGATTTTAGCAGGCATGTTTTAATTAATTAGTTTAATTACTGTTTTAATATTTTAATGTATTGTTGAATGTTTTATGGTGATGGCATAATTTGGTGGTTCTGTGAGGCTGCCCTGTGTCCTCCCTCGAGGGTGAGAAGGGCGAGTTATAAATATAGAAAATAAATAAATAAAGAAATATCGTGCCAGCTTTTCTAGTTGTTTCTCATTGATTCAGCTGTCGCCTGGGATTGCAACATTGGTGATTCATACATTATTATTTTAGTGGCATCTTGATACTGCTTCCCTCTCGCCTCAGCTCTGAGGGCCCTTCCACATCTTGTTAAAATCGTTTTCCAGTAACATCATCTGGCTATTCCATGTTTATCATTCATAGTTTCATGTTATCTATTCTTCCGGCAGGAGGTATCTCCCACCTCCGCTCCCTCCTTTGTTTTTGCGCCTACCTTCAGGAAAGGTGGGCATCTCCACCTCTGTCTCTGTCTCTCTCTCTCTCTCGGTCCCAATGGCTGAGGAGAAAGTCAGGAGAAGAGGTGACTTTTGGTGCACACGCCGGGGTCTTCAGGCACGCCTCCGGACCCAAAGCGGGCCAGGCAAGGGAGCAAGTGCGGCAAGTGTAGTTACTGGGATGTATAGTTCACCTACAATCAAAGAGCATTCTAAACTCCAATTTCGTGCGGGGGGGGGGGGGGGTGACCATTCTGCCTGGTTGAAAATTTCGGAGGGGGGGGTTGAAACCCTGCCTCCTAGCTCACGCTGAAGCAAAGAGCAGCCTTCAATAGCCTGCCTAGCTCCGCCCCTGTCACCCACCTCCACCAAGTCTGGCCTCCTTAATGAGACCATTCAACACACACACACACAACTTGGTTGCTTCACTACATTGGCTATTGCTGCAAGTAATGACAGTGTGAATAAATTGTCAATATTTGCGTGAGATAGTGCTTACAGTTCTGGAGGGACTCTTAATTTTTTGCATCTCATAGACTTAGCATGGGGATTTGGTTAACCAGTTAAAATTCATGAGTAAACCAGGTTTTTTAAAAAATCTGAAACATTTCGGGGGGGGGGGTTGAACCCCTAAAACCACCCCCTCGCTACAGGCCTAGTTACTGGGATATATAGTTCACCTAAAATCAAAGAGCATTCTGAACTCCACCAATGATGGAATTGAACCAAATATGGCACACCTAACTCCCACGACGAACAGAAAATATATATCAGTGATTGGTTGGGGGGGGGGGGCGCCAAAATACTGTTTGCTTACCTTGAAAATTACCTAGGGCCGCCTCTGCCTACAACAACCCAATATTCCTACTATTTTAGTGATGCAAGGCCACTTCCCTCTCGGCCCAGCTGAGAGAAAGGAATGCACCACTGTTGACAGGAGGCTTTTCTTATTGATGCGGTGACACCACTCCCCACAGCTCTGAGGGAAAGGAATATTTTCTGTGAGCAGAGGGAGAAGCGCTCTCTCGCTCTGTGCGTGTGTGTGTGTGTGCCTCTCTCCCTCTGAGGCCGCCCCTTTTCTGTCAGCCCTGCCTCTCTCCCGCCTTCTTCCTCCGCCGCCTCCTTTTCTCCTCCTCCTCCTGCGGCGTGAGGCCAGGGCCGCCTCCCAAGGGCTCGCAGGGACGGAGAGAGAAGCCGGGCGCGGGAAGGGGTTGACACAAAGAGGCCGGCCGCCATGGGAGAGAGGCTGCGAGGCCAAGCAGCCGGCGCCTCCTCCTCCTCTCCTCCTCCTCCTCCTTCAGCAGCAGCAGCCGCGCCGGCGCTCCACAACGGCCTGCTCCTCCACAACGGCTTCCACCCGCTGCCCGGCTGCAATGGAGAAGCCGCCCCGCACCCGCTGCTCTTCGGCTCCCCGCCGGCCAAGAAGGGCACCCGGCCCCGGCGGAGGGTGGACTCGGGGAGGAAGAACAGGCCGCGTAAGTCTCGCCTCTTTTGTGCGCCTCAGAAGATGGAGGGGGAGCATCTGCATCAAGGAATGCGCCGCTCGCCACACTGCTCTCCCTGGCGTGACTCATGGCTGTGGAATCCTGCCAGGTGGAGTTGGGGGCAGGCAGGGAAGGAGGCCTTCCCACTGCTGTGGCTTCAGTGCTACGGCGTGACAGGAGTTGTAGTTTTACAAGGCCTTCTCTGGCCCCTTCCACACAGCTGAATGAAGTCCCACATATTCTGCTTCGAACTGGAATATATGGCAGTGTGGACTCAGGGTCTTTCCAACCCAGAATATCAAGGCAGATCATCCACAGTATCTGCTTTAAACTGGGTTATCTGAGTCCACACTTACAGATAATCCATTTCAGTGTGGATTTTATGCAGCTATGTGCAAGGGGTCTCAGATAATCCAAGCCCTTTCCACACAGCTGAATGAAATCTCACAATATCTGCTTTGAACTAGGTTATCCGAGTCCACACTGCCAGATAATCCACTTCAATATGGATTTTATGCAGCTATGTGGAATAGGACTCAGGGAATCCAGGCCCTTTCCACACAGCTGAATGAAATCCCACATCTGTTTTGAACTGGGTTATGAGTCCTCACTTCCAGATAATCCACTTCAGTGTGGATTTTATACAGCTGTGTGGAAGGAGGCTCAGATAACCCAGGCCCCTTCCACACAGTTGAATGAAACCCCACATTATCTGCTTTGAACTGGGTTATCCAAGTCCACACTGCCAGATATTCCACTTCAGTGTGGATTTTATGCAGCTGTGTGGAAGGGGCCTCAGATAATCCAGGCCCTTTCCACACAGCTGAATGAAATCCCACATTATCTGCTTTAAACTGGGTTATCTGAGTCCGCACTGTCAGATAATCCACTTCAATGTGGATTTTGTACAGCTGTGTGGAAGGGGTCACAGATAATCCAGACCCTTCTACACAGCTGAATAAGATCCCACATTATCTGCTTTGAATTGGCATTTATGGCATGTGGACTCATGTGGCCTTTCCACTCAGCAATACAACCCAAAATATCAAGGCAGGTCATGCACAATATCTGCTTTGAACTGGGTTATCTGAATCCACACTACCAGATAATCCACTTCAATGTGGATTTTATACAGTTGTGTGGAATGGGCCTCAGATAACTCAGGCTCCTTCCATACAACTGAATAAAACCCCACATTTTTTGCTTTAACTGGAATATATGGACTCAGGGCTCTTCCACACAGCTATATAACCCAGAATATCAAGGCAGATCGTCCACAATATCTGCTTTGAACTGGGTTATCTGACTCCACACTGCCATATATTCCATTCCAATGTGGATTTTATAAAGTTGTGTAGAAGGGGCCTCAAATAACCCAGGCCCTTTCCACACATTGAATAAAATCCCACATTATCTGCTTTGAACTGGGATATATGGCAGTGTGGACTCGGCTAACTTAGTTCAAAGCAGATATTGTGGATGATCTCCATTGATATTCTGGGTTATAGTGTGGAAGGGCCCAGAGAAGGCCTTGTCACTGCCATGGCTGAATGCTATGGGTGACAGGAGTTGTAGTTTTGCAAGGTCTTTGGCCTTCTCTTCCAAAGAGTGTGGCTGCCTCTCCAAGCTACAAGGGGCTATGATTCCAGAGCATTGAGTACAATCAAGCAGTGTCGAGCTGCATACACACACACAAAGAGAGAGATTTGGGATGCATCTATTTATGCAGTTAAATACTTCAACTGCCATGGCTCCGTGATATGGAATGCTAGAATTTGTAAAAGAACTGCTCGCTTGGTTCCATAGCATTGAGCCATGGCTGTTCAAGTGATACCAAACTGCATTCATTCTACAGTGTAGATGCACCCTGAGGCCCCTTCTACACTGCCCTGTATCCCGGGATCTGATCCCAGGGCCCTTCCACACAGCCCTATATCCCAGAATATCAAGGCATAAAATAATCCAGCTCAAAGCAGATATTTATTATATAGTTTGACATTTTAAAAATCTTAAATCTGAAAGGACGCCAGCATTTTGAGTTGTGCCAGCTTTTTTCCTAATTTGCTGCCTTGATATTCTGGGATATAGGGCTGTGTGGAAGGGCCCCCAGGGCCCTTTCACACAAACAAATAAAATTCCACATTATCTGCTTTGAACTGGGATACATGACAGTATGGATTCAGATAACCCATGGCCCTTCCACACAGTCATATAACTCAGAATATCAAGGCAGAATAATCCACAATATCTGCTTTGAACTGGGTTATCTGAGCCCACACTGCCATATAACCCATTTTCACACAGTTTTATTCAACTGTGTGAAAAGAGCCCCAGATTATCCTGGATTATCTAGCAATGGAAACTCATATAATCCAGTTCAACGCAAATAACCTGGGATCAGATCCTGGGATATAAGAACTGTGTAAAAGGGACCAGAGTCTCCCTTATTCCAAGTGTGTTTTTGAATATTGGTTTGGGCATAATGACCCATCTATCAATGACATTCATGTTTTGTGTGTGTGTGTGTTTCATATTCACCTTATAGCCTCATGGTCATTTTATCTCCAGTAAGTTGTGCCTGAAACAAAGAGAAGCAATGCAGTTTGTCATCACTTCAAATGCCATGCCTCAGTGCATGGACTCATGGGAGATTTACAAGGTCTTTAGCCCTCTTTGACAGTGTCGATGCCTTAGCCAACTACAAATCCCAGGATTCCATAGCATTGAGCTGTGGCAGTTAAAGTGGTGTCAGACTGCATTCATTCAGTTTCCATCTACAGTTGTCCTCATGATGCACTGACCCCTGGGTCCTTAATAAAGGCCAAACCCCACTGCTCCTCCTTTTTGGGCTCCTCCCTCATAATCACACTTTTTCTATTCCTATCTCACCCAGAGTTTTAACATTTTATTTTGTGCATCTGGCCTGCCCTTTGTGTTTGATTTTTTTATTATGTTACTAGCTGTCCCCTGCTACGCGTTTCTGTGGCCCAGTCTGTTGATCTGGAAAATAAAGAAAGGAGAAAGCGTTGGTTTCTAATATTTGTAATTTCTTTATGCTTGTGAGGAAACAGTATTTCTTGTTTCTTTGTCAGTGTTGATGTGGAGAGTGTCTGGTTTGCCCACCCTGGAATATGCAACATATCATTGTCCTTCTTTAGGGGTCCCTTTCAAATCTATGATACTATATATCTCTCTCTGTGTGTGAATCATATCTATCTATATCTTATCTATGGCTGGATGGCTCTTTGTCAGGAGGACTTTGATTACGTTTTCTTGCCCTGGTGAAGGGAGTTGGATTGGATGGCCTTAAGTATTTTCTGATGGTCATGGGGGTTCTGTGTGGGAAGTTTGCCCCAATTCTGTCGTTCGTGGGGTCCAGAATGCTTTTTGATTGTAGGTGAACTGTGAATCCCAGTGACTACAACTCCCAAATGTCAAGGTCTATTTCCCCCAAACTCCATCTGTGTTCATATTTGGGCGTATTGAGTGCTTGTACCAAATTTGGTCTAGTTCCATCATTGTTTGAGTCCACAGTGCTCTCTGGATGTAGGTGAACTACAACTCCCAAACCATTCTGAACCCCACTATAAATTCCAGCAACTACAACTCCCAAATGACAAAATCATAATTTTTTGAGTGATGGTTACTCCTTGTGTTGTGAGACGTTTTGTTGCCAAATTTGGTGTGATTTCGTTCATTGGTTCTTTTGTTTATAAGGTACTCATTATGCACAGAGCATTTATATATATAAAGATTTTGCACTGTTTTATTTTGTTAATTTTTGTATTATATCATGATGTAATTTTTCTGTGCCTAATTATGCTGTACTATTTTTGGGCTCGGCCTCATGTTAGGCTCCCCGAGTCCCCTTTGGGGAGATGGTGGTTGGTTATAAATAAAGATGATGATGATTATGATTATGATTATTATTCAAAAATGTAAGATGGACTCAAGATTTGTCTGTTCCCAAAATGAAAGATGTCACCTACCTCATCCACCCAGGAAATCATTTTTTTTAAAATTCTGGATAGGTGGTGTTCAATTTGTTTGTTCATACATTTCCTTTAAACACATCTGTGCTTTCAGACATGTAAAAAAAAAAGAAATAGAAGAGTCTCTTACCATTATTTTATGGGGCTATATTGTTTGGAGGGTGGGGGAAGTCTTCAACCAAAGGCTCTTTCACACAACCATATAACCCAGAATATCAAGGCAGAAAATCCTGCCTACTTGTTTGTTGAACTTTCCCTACGCTCCTTCAGAATGTATTATACTCATTGAATCTGTACCTCAGCTATGTTCTTTTTTCTCAGCCATGTTGTTTTGATGTTGTTTACAATTGTGGTTGTTTTATATTTTATCTGGTGTTTTTAATTGGTTGTTTTTTATTTGTAATTTTTGGACTTTTCCCTTGTAAGCCACCCCAAGTCCCCAAGTTGGCGGGGTATAAAAATAAAGTTATTATTATATCTGCTTTGAACTGGGTTATCTGAATCCACACTGCCATATACTCCAGTTCAAAGCAGATAATGTTGGATTTTATTCAGTTACTAGCTGTCCCCTGCCACGCATTGCTGGTGATCTGGAAAATAAAGTAATGAGAAAGTGTTTGTTCCTAATGTATGTAATTTCTTTATGCATGTGGATAAACAGTACTTCTTGTTGTTTCTTTGTCACTGTTGATGTCGAGATTGTCTGGTTTCCCTACTCTGGAACATGCAACATATCATTGTCCTTCTTTAGGAGTTCCTTTCAAATCTATGATACTATATCTCTGTGTGTGTGAATCATAAATATCTATCTATATCTATGGCTGGAGGGTTTTGATTATGTTTTCTTGCCCTGATGAAGGGAGTTGGACTGGATGGCCTTAAGTATTTTCTGTTGGTCATGGTGGTTCTGTGTGGGAAGTTTGCCCCAATTCTGTCATTGGTGGGGTTCAGAATGCTCTTTGATTGCAGATGAACTATAAATCCCTGTAACTACAACTC